TCGCGCGCGCGCCGGCGCCGTGGCGAGGCAGTTTGTGGAGCGCGGCATAGGGCGTGAGGGCGGGGCTAGACTGGGCAACTCGCGAGACCGTCCACATCGATGCTGGGCCATGGCGCGCAGCTCACCAACCTGTTCGACATCCTACGAGACGGCGCCCTCAGGCCCTCGGAAGGGATCGTTGGGGCCGGGGTCTACGGGTTCAAGGTCGAGGTCGGCGGCGACGGCCGGGCCTGCGCCGAGGCCGTGCTCCAAGCTTACGAGCGGGCGAGAACTGGGTATCATGGCGGCGCGACGAGGACATCGACGGGTCATCGGATGCCAAACGGCTAGGAGAGGATGGGGGGGGATGACGGAGAGATGATGGAAGGAGGTGGGAGGGCGAGGGATGGGGGGGATGGGGGAAGGGATGAGGGAGGAGGGATGGGTGGATGATGGAGCAAGGGATGCGAACGTGCATGCCATGTTCTGTTTTCCATGCCGCAGATCTGGACATATCCAGCGGCGTGGGCGCGCGATCAGAAGATGGAGTGGGGCGTTTCGCAGCAGCGGCAGCGATGTGAGCTGACGCAGCGTCGGCAACGTACCGAGTGGGGCAATTCGCAGCAATGGCAGGCGGCGGGCTTGCACAGTAGCTGGCGGTGACAGCAGTAGTCACAGTGGCAACCGTGGCAACAGCAGCAGCAACCGCCGACCGCCACCCGGACTGCGGCATCGTCGCCAGCAGATGACGCGGCTGCAGCGGCTTCTGAGGCGGCCGCGATCGGACAGCGCATGTCAAGTAGCGGTCGTGTCTGGCAGCGGACCGTTCACGTGCAGCGGGCGATGTGCAGCGCGGCCAGCAGCGGCGCCCCGGCCCCAGCCGCAGTGAAGGGCAGTGAGACAGGCGTTAGATCCGCCGCGCCCTTGCTGGGATTCCTCGAGCACAGCTCCGGCTTGGCACGCCGCCAGACGTGGTGCACCCTGTACATTGCTGGTTGTGTCTATTGCGTCGGGCGCTTGACTGCGCCGCGCGGCAGGGCTGCGCGAAGCGACGTCGCGCTGCGACCCTGGGCTGCGCCAAAGCTGACAGCGCCCGAAGGTCTTCCCAGGCGGCCCCCCACCCCAGTACTAACCGAAGCGATGGACAGCCGCGGGCAATGGCCAGGCGGGCGACCTCCCTCTGAGCTGACGCGCGACGCAGTGCTTATCTTGTGTCAGCGCTGTGGAGTGGCCGCGGGCTCCCACTCGTGACGTTGCGCGTGTCAGGAGCCGCCGAAACCAAGCGCATCGCGCGGCAACTGGGCAGCGGTGAGATCGAGGAGAAGCAGGCCGTCTCGCCGAGCAGTTCCCTTTGCTTGCCCCGGGCGCCCGCGATGGGGCGCTCAGATGCGCCGCGCAGATTGGCAGCGTCCTTTCAGAGCGTGCAAATTCTTGAAAGCCAACTGCATAACAGTATTGCTTCCAGCCGAGATCTTCGCAGGTAGTGGTCACTTCTCCCAGGCGTGGCGGCAAGAGGCGGGGGTGCCCGTCATTGAGTGCGCCAGCGTGCCGCTACGCTCCCCCGCGTGCAGAAGAGAATTCGCGGGTGGATCCTGACTTCTGCCGCGGTCTCCGCGTGGCTCTGAACGTCTTGCGGAAGCTTCTCTAGAGCGCGTGATAGGCCCAGCGCGTCGACTCGCCTCCGCAGCGACGAACTGCCGATGGGCCTGCCAAGCCTCGCTGCAGCTGACCATCGGAAAATGGAAGTCGGCAGTGTCCTGTTACGCTTCTCTTGCTCTGTGCTGCGGTTGTGTCCCCGCCTGGGGATGCCCGCGGCTTTGAAGAACCCAGCCGCCAGTCGATTGTGGCTTTGTCTTCCCATGAAGCATATCTTGGCGCTGAAGACCGCGACAGCGATCGCCTCCGGGAGAAAACGAACCCAGCTCATCGGCGCCCGCGTCGATCTCTCAGCCAGCGAGAGGAAGTGCCAGGGCCGAGGAGTTTGCTCGAGGACAGGCGAGCTGCATGTTGAGCACGCTGGCATGGTGAACGGCGTCCTAGCACAGTGTTTCCGAGACGCCCTGGCTCCTACCCCTCTCGCCGACTATGGCGGCGCGCGTTGATGGTTTTTCTCCACAAATGTCGGCAGAGCGGGAGTCAATATGCCTTGGGGAGTGGTCGTCGTTCAAGTGAAGTTTTGAGTTTTTGGATTCCGGCCAATGCAGGGCAGCGCAGCCAATGCGAAATTGAACATTTGGCCGTAGTGGAAAACATGAGTTCAAGAGCTCATGACATGACCTGCATCGTCCTAGCTCTGGACGCAGTGCCTCCACGGTCGGCCGTCCAAGATCAGAGGGTGGAATGCAAGCAGGTGTGCTCGCTTGGCGCCCTTTCGATCTTCACCTCTGTCCCGTTCTGCTCTCCTGTTTTCTGTCTCCGTTCCCATCGGGGCTCAAAAGTTCCTACTTGCCCCACCCGCCTGTGACCCCCCTGAACATCACGGTGGGGGCTCATGTGCCTTGAAAGCCGGTTTCAAAGTCAGGTTTTGAGTCTTCGGGTTCCGTGCAGTGCAGAGCAGTGCAGTTACCGCGGCATTTGGCATCGGGCCGTAGTGAAATACATGAGTTGAGGAGCTATACGTACATATATTCATTTATACATGTGTATATATATACATGTATGTATGTATGTATGTATGTAGGTAGGTAGGTAGGTAGGTAGGTATGTATGTATGTATGTATGTATGTATGTAGGTATGTATGTATGTATGTATGCATGCATGCATGCATGCATGCAGGTATGTATGTATGTATGTATATGTGTATGTATGTATGTATGTATGTATGTATGTATGTATGTATGTATGTATGTATGTATGTATGCATGCATGTATGTAGGTAGGTAGGTAGGTAGGTAGGTAGGTAGGTAGGTAGGTAGGTATGTATGTATGTATGTATGTATGTATGTATGTATATGTGTGTGTGTATGTGTATATATGTATGTTTTAAATTGTATATATATAAATATGCGTATTAAATGCTGCTTCGATTCGCGACCGCAGCCGACTTGCTACAAACCCCCGAACTGGGCAACCAGCCCTCGGAAACCGTGCCGTAATAATAGATGGATGCCAGGGGAAGGGATCGAAGGACGGCCGTTCGGCCAGTTGTTAAACTTCATTTAATGAAGCTCTGGATCCCTTGGCCGGCGCTGTAACCTCCGAGTAGGGTTTGGGATACACGTGCCTCAAGATTTCACCTTCAGCGCTACCTGATAGCTTGCAGGGTTGAGCCTCTCAAGCGTGGCGCTCAAATTTCTTGCTGAACACTGAACGGGGTGCCCGCGTCAACCCTCGCACGCATGGCAGGTCTCTGTGGGTGCAGGACTGCGGCGGGACATCCTCAGCTGGAACCAGAGGATGTTAATTGGCGACACGGGACAGCACGCAGGTTCATCCCAGCACGGATCCGCTGCGCCAGCCAATGTAGGAGGAGGGTGAAGGGGAAGAGGAAATGGGAGGGAAGGTGGAGGGGGGAAGGGAAGGTGGAGGAGGATGAGGAGGAGGAGCCCAGCGTCACTCACCCCGTCGGCCCGCGCGCCGAACAGTACTTTTTCGCCCGGAGCTTCTACTTCGTAGACGACGTGTTCTCTCAGGCCGGGCGCCGCTGTCGATCGGGTGGCGGCGACCTTTGGTGGCTACTTCTCCCTGCGACCCATTCTCAACGCGAGAAACCCACGCCCCCTTCGTTTCGCCCATGGTCTGGTTCCTTGGCCTCTGTACCCACGCCCTCAGGGAACCCGCGGCCGTGGCTGCGCCAATTTCCCGACGCTTTCCGACAAACATCGTTAGACGTCATTGTTGTTTCAGGGAGGTTGCTCACATTTCGCGACCGCGACCTCCATCGTGCATTGCCCCTTCGGATCGTCCCTTTCTTTTTGGGGCCTCGGCTCGTACCCTGCTCTGTAGAATCGGGCGCGGGCCATTGTCGCCATCGCGAGTCTTCCCGAGCACTGTCTTGGGCGTGGGCGTCCGGCAGGCTCGGGAAAGATCGAGGCGGCTGGTTGCTTCGCCACCTTCGGCCTCTGGAGGCCAGTTTCGGACCCCAGGACCATCTCAAACAGGCTCAGTATGAAGCGCCGTCCCCAGGGAAGGGTTGGAGAGGTCGATGGGGGCCCTTTTCTCCAAACAACTCGAGCCCCGGGGTTTCCGGGAATGTCCAGCAAGAGTGACGCAAGCGGGGTAGGTCAAAAGCAGGACGGGGACACGGTTGTGCCTGCCCACGCGTGCGAGCAGCAGCACGTGGTGGATAGCCCTCTTCACACTAGACGCGCGCCGCTGCAATGCTGGGTGCTGTCACAGCTATCTCGAGCATCAGCCGATCGGCACAAGAGAACCAGCAGCCTTTTCAGAAACGAAGGGTCGAGTCCCCCTCCATCTCTCATTTCTTGGCCCCCTTCCGCTTGCCCTTCTGCTCCCTCTGTTTCCTCCCCCCCTCTCCCCTCTCCCCCTCTCTCTACCTCCCTCCCGATCCTTATCCACTCTTCCACGGAGGTGGTACCCAGCGTGGACACCGAAGAAGGCGCCCTGGAGTGCCCCATGCCCTTCGACAAGTGGGAGCACGCCCGGGCGCCCAGAGTTGATGATGACGATGGTGGTTTTGATGGTGATGATGATGGATGATGGTGAACTATGACGGATGATGGCCGTTGATGATGCTGCTGCTGCTGATGATGATGATGATGATGACGATGGCGTGGATGATTAGGATGGTGATGGGTGGTGGTGGTGGTGGTGGTGAGGATGATGATAATGATGACGATTTTGTCGTTGATGATGATGCTGCTGCTGCTGCTGCTGGTGATGTCGATGACGATGGCGATGCTGATGACGGTCATGATGTTGTGATGATGTGGCTGCTATCGGTGACGACGATGGTGTTGCCGACGATTATGATCATGCTGTGATTGTTATCAGTGTTGTGCTCGTTGTTGAGGATGCTGCTGCTGCTGATGACGATGATGCTGATGCTGATGCTGATGATGATGATGACGATGATGAGGATGCTGCTGCTGACGACGACGATGATGATGATGGTTGTGGTGGCGGTGGCGGTAGTGATGATGATACTGATTGCGAGTCTGTTGCTGCTGATGATGGTGATGATGTTTGCAATTCTGATTGTGACGACGGTGCCTATGTTGTTGTTGTTGTTGAAGATACTGATTGTGATGATGCTGATGATGATGGTTATGCTGATGATGCTGATGATGGAGACGACGATGAATCGAATGGTGATGCCATGGTGATGGTGATGTGGAGAATGATTCCGGAGGGCCAGAACGAGGATGCGGAGGTGGTTGAGGAGGAGGAGGTGTGGGAGAGGAAGATGAGGATGTTGGAGGATGATGGCGGTGGTGATGGTAACGATTGGGTTGGTGGTTATAATGCGCATGGTAGTGGTGGTACGTATGTGCATGTTTATGATGGTAACGGCGAGCCCGATACTGGTGTTGCTGATTGTGATGATGATGAGGAGGATGAGGTGTAGGAGGGCAGAAGGAGGAAGATGAGGAGGGGGAATAAGGGGGGAGGCGGGAGAAAAGAACAGAAGGAGGAGGAGGAGGCAGGGGAGGAGGAAGAGGTGAGAGGAGGAGGATGTCAAGGAGGACGATTAGGTTGTTGTTGATGATGATGATGCTGATGCTGATGCTGATGCTGATGCTGCTGATGATGCTGATGATGATGCTGATGATGATGATTCTGATGATGATGATGATGATGATGATGATTATGATGATGATGATGATGATGATGATGATGATGATGATGATGATGATGATGGTGGTGCTGCTGCTGCTGTTGATGCTGATGTAGCGGATGATACTGATGATACTGATGCTGATGCTGATGATGATGAGGAGGAGGCGGAGGAGGAGGAGGAGGTGGAAGAGGACCACACCGGATCCGAAGTCCGCGAAAGCTCCACAGTGTGGAGACTGCCAAGGGATTGAAGAAGATGTTTCAACCTCCAGCCAAGGAGGAAAAGGAGGAACGTAAGGAGGATTAGGAGGAAGAGTTCCTGCGCGGTCGTTGCGCGAGGCCGCGACTGCGTGGGGGCAATGACGTCCACATCGTCAACCTCGTGCCCGCCGGCCTCACTGCTGATGTTCTCCCAAGGGCTTGACATGCGTTCGGTCCCTTTGACTTGGACCTGCAGCCTCGGAATCCGCATGCGTGGTCTGCACGTGCGCGCACTCTGGCCGAGGCGACCTGAAGGTCAGTGGCGCGGCTTGAGCAGGTGGGGGCAAACGCCAGCAGTTTTTTTTGTGCGTCCTCAGTGACTTTTTTGTTGTGTGGCAGAGCATCGCCAACTTTACGGCCAGCCGCGGTGGTTTGCCCAGACGAGTGCGATGGCGGGGAGGAGGAAGGTGAAGGGGAGGAGAGGGATAGAGAAGAAGGAATAGAGAGGGGAAGGAAGAGACAGAGGTGGACAAGGATGAGGTGGAAGAGGGATGGAGACGGGAGGCGTGACCCCTCAACCGCCTCGGCCTCATCCCCCGTGCTATCCTTCTGTGGCAGTTCCTTCCTCAACATCCTCCCTCTCCCTCCTCCCTCCATACCCTCTTGCTCCGCCTCCCACAGGAGAAATGATTTGGGGCGAGCAGGACTGATAGGAGAAGGAGAAGGAGGCGGACGGATGGGAGCAAGACGGGGAGGAGGAGGGAGAGGAGGAGGAGGAGGAGGAGGAGGAGGAGGAGGAGGAGGAGGAGGACCAGTGTGAACCCAAGAGCCATCAACGATGTTGGAATACACCCTCCCTCCAAGTGCCCTCTTCACAGGCCCCTACAACAACTCATTTCCATTGGGGGATCTGCCTCAATGGCAGACATCCGTTTGAAGACCTGGAAGCATGCTAAAACATTGTTCTCGGGATTCCAACGCCACGGATCAACCTGACTTTTGCGTTTTGAGAAAGGGCGCGTTCTGTGGTCGCTTGGAGGGGGGATGAAACCCGACCCCCTCCCCCCTCCTCCCCTACTTCTCTCCTCTCTCTCTCTCTCTCTCCTCGGGTCGGCGCCTGCGTCGGCGGAAGCTGGCAGCGGCGGTGGCGACGACGATTTCCTTTTCTGTCGCCACTTTCGAGGGCTGCTGGTGGGTCCAGCGGAGTGTGGCACTGCGCAGATCTGAGCGGGACCTCGCCGTGCCTGGGGGGCTGCGATCTGCGAAACTGTCGCCACTTTCGAGGGCTGCTGGTGGGTCCAGCGGAGTGAGGCACCGCGCAGATCTGAGCAAGACCTCGCCATCCCTGGGGGGCTGCGATCTGCGGAACTGTCGCCACTTTCGAGGGCTGCCGGTGGGTCCAGCGGAGTGAGGCACCGCGCAGATCTGAGCGGGACCTCGCCGTGCCTGGGTGGCTGCGAGCCTCACGAATGCCGCTCGCAGAAGTATATGCGCCCATGTCACGTCATCGCCTCCGTATAACGTCTCCCAAGCTACTCATACCCCACATTGCGCAGGGGTTGGGTACGTCGCCAGGGTAATTTTTGTTTGGGGGGGCACATCTTAGCAAGTTTCTGTGCGCACCCTTTTTTTAGCGCCAGTTGGTGTGGGATGACATCTTTTCCATTGAATCCCCTTTGGAGTTCCCCGTTGCGTCTCGAATGCGCGATTTGTTACGACCGATGGCTGGGCGAATGAGCGGCCCGCCGGCGCGAAACGTATGGTTGGGAACGGGTGGTTGTGGTGGTGGTGGTGGTGGTGGTGTGTGGGTGTCCTTGAGGGCCCGATGGGGCGCCCTGGGGCGGCTCGTAGGCTTTGTGCTGGGGACCCTGTTGGTGCCTTCTCGCCCCGATCATCGTCCTCGCTTTCCTCTCTCTCTCTCCCTCCCCGCTACTCCGTCCTGTCCGGGCGACGGGCTTCCCTGCGCACGTCGAGCCAGGTGGACGCTGACGTCAATGGCCTCAGCCTCCCCTTCAAACCGATCTGTTTTACATAGGGGGCATGCCGACCTGAATCCAAGGGAGGGGCCGACCTTGGCGAGGTCCCCCGTGGTTCCTGAGCCGCACGTTCCATTTTTCCTCCTCTCTCCTCCCTCCTCCTTCCTCCTCCTCCTTCTGCTGCTTCTCCTCCTCCTCCTCGTCTTTTTCCTCCTCCTCCTCCTCCTCTTCCTGCCCGCGCTGACCCTCAAGGATCCGTTCACTGCGGATCTGCGCGATTGCTCGGTCGTTCCTCTTCCGCATGCATCAGAGCGCGAGCCACACTGCTCATCTGCGAGCTCGGAGGTCGAGCTCTCCCTCCTCCCTCCTTCCCTTCCTCCCTTCCTCCTTCCCTCTCTCCCTCCCTCCTTCCTCCCTCCCCTCCTCCCTTTCTACTCCCTCTCTCTCCCTCCCTCCCTCTCCTCCTTCCCTTCTCTTTTTCCCTCCTCTTCCTCCTCCCTCCTGCTCTTCCTCCTGCCCTCCCTCCTCTTCGGCTTCCAGGGCCTCCCTGTAGGTCTTTTTGACCCGATGCTGGGACGTGTCGGCGCTGTTCTGAACATTTTGGGGAACATGCGAGGACGATTGGCATTCAGCAATCACCTTGAGATGCTGGAGTTGTTGAACGCTTTGTTTCTTTTTCAGAGCACGAGCCTGGAGTAATTTAGTGGGGATCGTGGCCTCCGGAGCGCGAATCTGGTTGAATTCGCAAAAAGGATTCTGCCTTCTGGTCCGCGAATCTAGAGCGACTTATTCAGGATTCTGGCATCGTGAGCGCCAAATTAGCATCTGGTGCAATTTACTAAGGATTCCGGTCTCGGGAGTGCGCATCAAGTGTAATTTATGAAGGAATCTGGCTTCGGGAGCGCGAATTTGGTTTACTACACCATGGATTCTGGCCTCGGAAGTGCGAATTCTGGCCTCGGAAGCGCGACTCTGGCGTGGCGTAATTTTGGAGGGATTCTGGCCTCGTGAGCGCGGATCTGGTCTATTCATCTGTGTCCCAGGCCACCCCAGAGTCTCATTCAATTTGATTAGGAGGTGGTAGCCAGGTTGGTTTTTGGCCTCCCCCCCTCGCGCGGACAGTAACCATTCACAGCGGGAGGCAGAATGTAGAACTATACCATTGAAAACTGAAAATTGGTACTGGCGCAGGGAGCAGGGACCCGAGCTTCGCAGGTTGGTGGCCCCACAATATGGCCGGCGGAGTATGTTGATGCCCTGCTCCTTGACCGCGCTTGCTATTTTGATTACGGTGCTGATGAAGGTGATATCACTCAATGCAGTCAACCCGCATCGTAAGGATGGGCAACCTTCTTGAAGGTACCCTTGCATCCTTGCCTCTTGGGCCCATCCTTAGCGAGTCTTGCTTGCCAACCTCGGTCAAAAACGCCAATGTGGCGTTCCAAGGCCCTTGCATCTTTACCGCGTATCCTTATTATGCGGGTTGACTGTACGCCTCTCTGACTGGCCGAGTGCCCCTGCTTCCAGGAGGCGGATTCTACATCTTCGTAGAGAGTAGCAACAGCCGCAGCTGCGCAGCGTGCAAACTCCATGACGCCATCCCTCTGACGGGCCGATCCCTCTGAAGGGCCGAGCTCCCCGCTTCGGCCAGGAATTCAATGCTTCTCCTGGCGGTTCCACATGTCTATCGGGGACCGAGCCCTCCTGCGGGTGGCACGGGGGCCTCACGCCCGCGCCGCGAGGAGTGCGTCCCCCGCGCGCACTTCGAGACCCCGGTGTGGGCGTTCGTCACGGTGCCGGGCAGACCCACGGGAAGCTGGAAGACATGGGGAGGAGGAGGAGGAGGAGGAGGAGGAGAAGGAGCAGGAGGAGGAGCAGGTGCAGGAGCAGGAGGAGGAGGATCAGTGTAAACCCAAGACGCAACAACGGTGTTGCAGTAAATGCTCCCTCCAATTTCCTTTTCATAGCCCCTACCAAAATTATGTTTCATCGAAGGGAGTGCCCCATTGAAAGGAAATCGTTTGAGAATCCTCAATCGTGCACGCCGTTCCTGGAAGTTCAACGCCGCGAGTCAACATGACTGTCGCGTCCTGACAACCTCACATCGTGCCAGAACACCGCTCCTGGACTCGAGTCCGACGAATCCTTGAAGCTGCCATAACTTTCTAAGACGAAGGTGCTCAGCGCTAAGACGAGAGCTATATTTTGGAAAGGAACCGCTCCCCACCCTTACACATGTTGCAAGCTTTAAACGAATGTGGGCGGCGCTAAGGCGACAACCACAGTAGGAGCACGATCCGCCCTCAACTCTAGCAACTATCGCAAACTTTAAACACATGTGCGCGGCGCAAAGGCGAAAACAATTTTAAGCATGCGCCCTCCATGTTTGGAGGAACTGTTGTGCACTTTTGAAGCGAATGTGCGCGGCGCGAAGGTGAGAACCACCTTTTGCCAACGAATCGCCCTCCATCCCTGAAGCTGTTGCAACTGTAAGACTTCAGGATCATACGCGATGAGGGCGTCTCAGGCGAAACGCCCGGTGCGCCCCGCCGAAGTCTCTGGGGGGCGATTCGGAGGAGTTCTTCATCACGAACTAATGGAGGAGGGAATTGATGGAGAAGGCAATGATGAGGAGGATCCGTGTAAACCCAAGACGCATCAACGATGTCGCAATACAAACGACCCGCTGTCAATCCGTGAAGCCCCTGCAAATTTTTAAGACGAGTGTGCGCAGCGTTCAGGCGAGAGCCGCATTTTGAAAACGACCCGCCGTCCATCCGCGAAGCTCGTGCAAATAGTTAGACGGTTGTGCGCGGTGCCATTGCGAGACCCACATTTTGAGAACCACCCGCCCTCCACTCGTGAAACTGCTTCAATTTTGTAAGCAGCTTCAGGATCGTACGTGGTGAGGAGTTCTCAGGCGATCAGGCGATATGTTCGGTCCGCCCTACTGACACGTGTCTCGGGGTGCGACAGGGAGGAGTTATTCACAAGGGGTCGAGATGGAGGATGATCGGGAGGAAAAGGATGAAAATGAGGAGTGTTACGAGGAGGAGAGTAGGAGGATGATGAAGGGGTGGGGGGGAAGGGGAGAGGGTACGCAGGGGGGGATCGATGGATCGAGTTGAAGAGGAGTTGGAGGAGGCGGAGGAGGAGGACGACATGTTGGAGGAGTAGACTAAAGAGGATGAGGAGGAGGAAGAGGAGGAGAATAAGTAGGAATGTGAGGAGGTATTTGAGGAGGATACGCAATATAATGATGCTGATGGTGATGGATATGATGATGATAACGTGTTTCCCGATACCCCCAGGAGGCCCCGTCGTGTCGTCCCCTCTTGGGACCTTCTCCGTAGTTGTTGGTTTGTAGGTGCACGTGCGTGCCTTGAGCTCCGCAGATTTAGTCGAGTAAAGAAACCTTCCTCTCCATTCGACGCCCCCCGGTTAATCATGTCCTTCTAGCTGTGACAAACGATGATGATGCTGATGATGCTGCTGCTGCTGCTGCTGCTGCTGATGATGATGATGATGATGATGCTGACAGTGATGATGCTGATGATGCTGATAATGCTGATGGTGATGATGATGATGCTGATTATGATGATGCTGATGTTTATGATGATGCTGATGATGCTGCTGATGATGATGATGCCAGTGCTGATGATGCTGATGATGTTGATTGTGATGATGATTGTCATGGTGATGCTGATGTTTATGCTGATGATTATGACGATGATTCTGCGGGCGATGCTGATGATGATGCTGATGCTTCGGATGATGATAACGACGACGATGCTGATGGTGATGCTGGTGATGCTGATGATGTTGTTGTTGATGGCAGTGTTAGCTATGATGATGCAGCTGAGGATGAGGGTTATCATGGTGCTACTGTTGCTGCTGATCGTGATGCTGCTGCTGATGATGATGATGGTGGTGGCGATGACGACGCCCATCACGACGGCGATGATGGGAATGGTGGTGATGATGCTGATGCTGTTGTTGATGAAGAGTGTGATGCTGATGATGTTAATGCTGACGGTGGTGCTGATGATGCTGATGATGACCGCGATGCTGATGATGATGAGGATGATGACCATGATTCTGATGATGTCGATGAGCGTGCCCATGATTATGCTGAGTAGTGGGTGACGGCTGGTGCTGATGATGGTGTGTTTTGTTGTTGATGGTGGTCGCCACGACGACGGCGACGACGACGATTTGGATGAGACAGATTTTGATGGTGCGGTTAATGCTGCTGCTGTTGATGACGATGCTGATTATGATGGCGATGAGGAGGATTCTTTTGATACTGATGCTGATGCTGTGGATGACGAGGCGGATGATGATGGCGGTGATGATTGTGATGGCCACGATGATGCTGGCGATGACGATGACGATATCGATCATGATGATGATCACGATGGTGATGACGCTGATGATGATGAGGAGGAGGATGAGGATGCGGATGATGATGATTATGAGGAGGAGGAGGAGGTTGACCAGTGTAAAATCAAGAGTCATCAACGATGTTGGAATTCACCCTCCCCCCAAGCTCCCTCTTCATAGGCCCCCACAACGGTTCATTACCATTGAGGGAACTGTTTCGTCGGAAGACAATCGTTTGAAGATCTTGGTGCATGTCAAAACTTTGTTCTCGGGTATTCGACGTCACGTACCAACCTGACTGGTGCGTCTTGGCGATCCGGAATCGTGCCAAAGCGCCATTTTGGGGACTTCGACACTGCGAACACATAACTGTTGCACCCTCATAATCCTGAATCCTTCCAAACTCTATTTCTGGTACGTTGATCATGGGAATATTTGGAACTCTTTACAATTTTGAAAACGATTGTGCGTGGCGCTAAGGCGAGAGCCACATTTTGAAAAAGAACCGCCCTCACTCCGCGAAGCTTTTGCCACTGTTTTAAAAGAGTGTGCGCGGCGCTTAGGCGAGAGCCACATTCTGAAAATCACCCGCCCTCAATCCGTGAAGCTCCTACAATTTTTAAAAACGAATGTGCGCCGCGCTTAGGCGAGAGCAACATTTTGAAAACCACCTACCCTCAATCCGTGAAGCTCTTGCAACTGTTTAATGCGAGTGTGCGCCGCGCTAAGGCGAGAGCCACATTTAGGAAACGCCCCGCCCTCGATCCGTGAAGCTGTTGTCACTTCTTAAGCTTCAGAGTCATAAGTGGTGAGGAAGTCTCAGGCGAAACACCCGGCCCACCCAAAAAAATGGCTTCGGGGTGCAACAGGGAAAAGCTACACCGCACTCACTTCTATACCCCTGGGTGGATGTATGTGGCACTCACTTCTATACCCCTGGGTGGATGTATGTGCAGCTGTTTTTGCGCGGGCATGTGCGTGCATGTCCGCAGCATGTGCCAGGCATGTGCCAGGCATGTGCGGGCGCTTTTGTTCGAATGTCCTACTGTGCGCATGTGCCAGGGCATGTGCGGTATATGTGACCCCGTTTTGCTGCGTGCGTTGTAACGCTCATGCCCGCGCACGCCGACGCACATGCCCGCAGATGCCCGCACATGCGGAACTTGTGCGAGCGTCGCAGATCGGTCAACGGCGCATGCACGCACATGCGCTGAATCCCGCGCGCGCATATGCTCGCACATGCCGATGCACATGCACGCACATGCCCGCACATGCGGAACATGTGCGGAACTCGCAGATCGGTCAGTGGCACATGCACGCACTCGTATGTGTTCCCCCCCTGCGGACGACAGCGCGGGCCCGCACATGCACGCATATGCGCTGAATCCCGCGCCCGCACATGCTCGCACATGCCGATGCACATGCACGCACATGCGTTCTCTGAATTTTCAGGGCTCCCTACTACAAGGGCCTTCGGCGCTTCGTGACCTTCGGGGCCTGGGGGGGGGTCCCGAGGTTTCCCGCGGCAATCAGGCTCTGGCCTCGGAGATGCCGTGCCCTATTGTGGTGGGGCCACTTTGGCTTGAGGCATTCTCGCAACGCTAACCTCCGAGATGCCGTGTCACATGGTGGTCTGGCTATTTTCGCGTGAAGCATCCTCGCAATTCTGTGTTCAGAGATGCCCTGAGCTCAGTTGGTCCATCCACCTTAGCCTGAGACATCCTCGCAACTCTAGATTGCAAGATGCCCTGACCTGCGGTGGTCAGCCCACGTTGGCAGTGTGGTCTGGACTCTGGTTTCCGTGGTTTCCAAGATGCCCTGTGCAGGTGGTCAGGTCACTTTCGCCAGAGCCATCCGCGCAATTCCAACCTCAGAGATGCCCTGCGCTGAGGCTATCAGGCCACTGTCGCTTGAGACATCCTCGCAAGTCTGGCTTCAGAGATGCCCTGAGCTCTGTTGGTCCATCCACCTTCGCCTGAGACATCCTCGTAACTCTGGAATGCAAGATGCCCTGACCTGCGGTGGTCAGCCCACGTTGGCAGTGTGGTCTGATCTCTGGTTTCCGTGGTTTCCGAGATATATCCTGAGCAGGTGGTCAGGTCTTTTTCGCCAGAGACATCCGCGCAATTCCAACCTCAGAGATGCCCTGCGCTGAGGTTGTCAGGCCACTATCGCTTGCGACATCCTCGCTACTCAGGGTTCAGAGATGCCCGGTTGTTAATCCGCTTTCGCCTGAGACATCCTCGCACCTCTGGTTTCCGAGATGCCTTGCGCAGGTGGTCAGGCCACCCTCGCCAGAAACATCCTCGCAACTCTGACGCTGGATATGCCCTGACCTGCGGTGGTCAGGTCACTCTGGCCTGAGACATCCTTGCAAGTCTTACCTCGGAGATGCCCAGCCCTATGGTGATCCAGCCGCTTTCGCCTGAGACATCCGCGCAACTCTGGGTTCTGAAATTCCTTGAACCCAAATGATGAGGCCACTGTCGCCTGAGATATCCTTGCAATGCTGACCTCGGATATGCCCCCACACGAGGTGCCAACAGTCCTTGCAGGCCTCGATATGCGTGAGGGCTGTGCCGAAGGAGGCGCCGAGAGTTTTCTGGGGGCGTGCTGTCCCATGGGACGCCTCGTTGTCTCACGAGACGCCTCATGTTTACTTTGAATGCGAGCTTGGTGTCCGTTAGGATCGTCGCTTGCCTGGCCCGGCCTGTGCAAATGCTGTCCGTGGCTGTGCGGGGCATGTGCGGAACGTGCAACAAAGCGGGGGCTGGCCAGGCCATGGTCGGGTGGGCAGGAATCCGACATGCCCTGAGCTCAGGTGTTCCATCCACTTTCGCCTGCGTCATCCCCGCAACTCTGACCTCGGAGATGCCCTGCCCCATGATGGTCTGGGACTTCCTGAACTCAGGTGGTCAGGTCATTTTCACCTTAAACATCCTCGCAACTCTGTGTGACCAGAGATGCCCTGCCACATGGTGGTCTGGTCAATTTCGCCTGCGACATCCTCGCAGCTCTCGTTTCCGAGATGTCCTGCGCTGAGGTGGTCAGGCCATTTTCGCCAGAGACATCCTCGCAACTCTGGGGTCCGAGAAGCCCATGTCGCCTGCGACATCCCCGCATCTCTGACCTCGGAGATGCCCTGCCCCATGATGGTCCAGCCACTTTCGCCTGAGACATCCTCGCAACGGTTCCGAGGTGCCCTGAGGAGGTGGGCAGGCCACTTTTGCCAGAGACGTCCTCGCAATTCTGGTATCGGATATGCTCCGAGCTGAGATGGTCAGGCCACTGTCGCCTGAGACATCCCCACAACTCGGACCTCGGTGATGCCCTTGCCCATGATGGTCTGGCCACCTTCGCCCGAGACATCCTCGCACCTCTGGGTTCCGAGATGCCCTGCGCTGAGGTGGTCAGGCCACTGTCGCCTGAGATAACTCCGCAACTCTGGCCTCGGAGATGCCCTGAGCTCAGGTGGTCCATCCACTTTCGCCTGCGGCATCCCCGCAACTCTGACCTCCGAGATGCCCTGCCACATGGTGGTCCAGCCACATTCGCCTGAGACATCCTCACAACTCTGGGTTGCGAGATGCCTTGTGCTAAGGTGGTCCGGCCCTTCTCGCCTGAGACATTCTCGCGTGATCTACATACCGGAGCGCTGACCCCATTCTTGTGTTGGATTGGTGTCATATCATGCCACATCCCTTATGCGGGTATGGTGTTTCAGTTGGAGTGCCAGCCGCATTCGCTTCCTTCGTTCCCCCCGCTTCTCCCCTCATTCCTCTTTCCTGCTCATTTGTCCCTCCCTCCTCATCCGATGTTTCGACTCTGCGGCACGTGCGCGCATGTGCGTTTTATGTTTTCAGAGTTTGCCAGACTGTGCATCCGACAATATGCGCGGGGCGCTGTGGCGCGCGTCGAACGAGCAGATGCGGAGCGCCACTCAGGACGAGAGCCGATGCTTCGATATGGTCAACCGCTACCTTCGTGACCTTGAGATCGACCTTGAGGAAAAACCGTGGTGCTCGCCGTTGCGTTGCCTTTGCGAGAGGGAAGACGATCCCAGATTTCCTGGAGATGAGCCACTCGAAGACAGTGCAACAGCAGACGCCGACGGAGTTTTAAACGACCTGGACATAGATGCTGATCGGTAGCCCATGGCCGAGGGTTCGACGACCCAGGATTCGCTCGACCAGCACCACATAGCGCTGACCTTACAAATGATTTGTTGGGAACGCTCAGGACCTCCAACTTTGAGGGTATTCGCGCTGCTCGACAGTCCGAGGCAGCTCCTATGGACACTTCACGGTCATTCCTCATTAAGAAGAAACGCGCCGAGGACGATCTCATGATCAGTCCTTTACCTGAACGCCTGACACAACGTTTTAACGGGCAAACGAGGCAGTATATGGAAATAATGGTCAGAGCTCTGTGCTGCTGATCCGGATGACACTGCGGCCTTTTGCATGCGCCGAGGAGCTGCTTCCGCAGACATCTACCGATCCACGGCGTGTCATTCCATCTCGCTGGCATGGCGAGTGGGAAGACGCTGGGGCAGACTACGACAGCGGGCTCAACGACCCGTCTGTGCCCAATATCTACGATGCGAAGTACTAGTGGATCATTCCAGAATTTTATGACCCCGACTTCCTGTGCCCAACCGTCCCGCGCCTGCACCTTCAACGTCAGACCATCCTCTGGCTCTGCGATGTCGGGTCTCTATTGAGGCCAAACTATGGGTTGGCGACGCCAGGTCGGCCTTTGCACAGGGGTTAAGCAATCGGCGGGACTAGCTTCTTTTCGCCTCACCCCCTGCTGGTGGCGTTTTAGGAGGAGACCCAAGCGAGTTGATCGTTATCGCGGCCTGGTAACCAGCCCTCCGGTCTGGCGCAGAAGCCTTGTGACAGCTTCCGAAGGATGCGGTTTTATTCGACGTCTTCTTGCGCCGTGCTCATGCGCGAGACACTTGGCGGTCGCGCGAAACATTTCTTCGGATTCGTCGTCGTCGATGCAGATTATTGGCTGGGAGGCGGTATTGCGGATCAGTTTTTCGATGCCATTTCGCGCCCCCGCAAGCGCTTCAAATTCGAGCAATGGACAGAGCTTATTGATGACGCTACAGAGTGCGGCGGACATACTCTACGGCAGCATAGAAAGTTCGATCACTCGATTTCCGCGGCGCCGCACCTTTCAGAATGGGCGCGTCCCATCCCTGCCGCGCGGGCGCTGCGAGGGCCCAGAACTCCCGGCCGCGCCAGAAGAAATTGCTGGTATGCGTGGAGTGCGTGGGGAACTCAATAGGGCGCGCCAGGAAGGAATGCCCGGCGGCTTTGGGGGCGCGTCTCTCCTGGGCGGCACTTTTGCCGAGCAAGTTCCGCTGATTCCGCTGGGGTGAAGGGCGTGGTTGAGGCTGGTGCCTCTCTGCGACGTGTCAAGCGTGCCAGCAGGGGCGCTCCTATGGCCGTGGGGGGGGGCTGCGCGCAGGGCATCGGCCAGCTCTTCGCGGCGTTGGTGGTCTGCGTGGCGCCCGACCTTTCCATGTGGGGGAGGACCTGTTCACCTGCGCCCTGACCGGGATGGGCCCCTCGAGTTCCTCGCCATCGTCGTGATCCTCGTCGCGGGGCCCCTGCTGCACTCCGAGTGGGCCCAGGCGCAGCGCGGAGCTCGAGAGCGCCTCGAGGGGGCGCGTGGAGAAACCCAGGGGGGAAATATGAAAACAAGACTTGCGACCGTTAGTCGCCTTCACCTCGCTGTCTCCGTGCTCCACCAGACCCCGCGCGAGAGGTCGCAGGGAAACCCCCTTCGGCCCAGGGCGCTGGTCTGCAGGTCTCCCCCTCCGTGGGGATCTCTCCCTGGGCGTTCTCCGGCGGCCCGGCCCTCGCCTGTCCCGCCTTCGCCTGCCTCCCCTCCCCGCGCGGGGTCGACGGACGCCTGGTCCTTCCCCGCCGCGCTGCTCATCCCTGTCAGTCCTCAGGCTGAGCCCTCCTGCCACTTGGGCGGCGCATGCCGCTCGCGCCCGCCTTAGCGGCACTACCCATTCCAGTCCCCAGTCTGGGCCATCTCGCCACCTTGGCGGCGCGGGCTGCTCGCCCCCGCCTGATGGCGCCGGCGGCCTCCCCCCCTTTCGTCCTGCCGTCCTCTGTATGTTCCCTCCCGCCACTTGCGGCGTGGTCTGTTCGCGCCCGCCCAGGCTGCCACCCCGACGCCACGCGGTGTCTGGCGATCCGGATCTATTCCGTTGAGCGCCCGCATGCCCAGTCTTTCCTCTGAGACGGTGGCCTGCGGTCATGCGTTCCGCGTCTCTCGTCCTGCCCTGGGCTTGCTGTGCGTCATGATGGCGGTCTTCTTCGTCAGGGACGAGATTGGCTACCCGAATTACCACCTGGTGCTGCGCGTCGCCTGGAAGGATTTCCTGGCGTGCGCTCTCACGTGAGCGGCACCGAGGCCCTCCTCCTGTTTGCTTCCCCCCTTTCTTGGTCTTGTCTCTTTTCGCCTTCCTCTTCCCGTGCGCTCATTTAAACCGTCGCCTCTAAGCTTCGCCCCTTGACGCCGCCCGATCCCTTGCCGCGGTCGCGATCCAAAAATCGCCACCAACCCGTCCAGAAACGATGCCCATGAGAGCTGAGGGGGGGTGGGGGGGTGCGGGGGGAGGCCGGCCTGGATGGCGTGTTTGGGCCATCTCTTTCCGGGGCCCGCGTTGGAAGGTGGGGGGTGCGAATAGGAGGAGGGGGAGGAGGAGGAGGAAACGGAAGAGGAGGAAGAGGAGGAGGAGGAGGAGGAGGAGGAGGAGGAGGAGGAGGAGGGAGGAGGAGGAGGAGGGGGAGGAGGAGGAGGAGGAGGGAGGAGGGGAGGTAGGAGGCGGAGGAGGAGGAGGGAGGAGGAGGAGGAGGGGAGGAGGCAGAAGGAGGGATGGGATGAGGGAGGAGTAGGAGGGAGGAGGGAGGAGGGAGGCGGGGGAGGGAGGAGGCGGGAGGAGGAGGGAGGAGGAGAGAGGGAGGAGGGGGGAGGAGGAGGAGGAGGGCGGAGGGGAGGAGGAGGAGGGAGGAGGGAGGAGGGGGGAGGAGGAGGAGGGAGGAGGGAAGAGGAGGGTAGGAGGAGGAGGGGAGGAGAGGAGGATGGAGGGGAGGAGGAGGGAGGAGAGGGAGGAGGAGGAGGAGGAGGAGGAGGAGGGAGGAGGAGGAGGAGGAGGAGGAGGAGGAGGAGGAGGGAGGAGGAGGAGGAGGAGGAGGAGGCCGGAGGAGGAGGAGGAGGAGGAGGAGGGGAGGAGGAGGAGGAGGAGGAGGAGGAGGAGGAGGAGGAGAGGAGGTAGGAGGAGGAGGGAGGAGGAGGAGGAGGGAGGAGGATGAGGGAGGCGGAGGAGGAGGAGGAGTGAAGGAGGAGGAGGAGGAGGAGGGGAGGAGGAGGCGGAGGCGGAGGAGGGAGGCGGAGGCGGAGGAGGAGCGGGAGGCGGAGCGGCGGAGGAGGTAGGAGGAGGAGGAGGAGGAGGAGGAGGAGGAGGAGGAGGAGGAGGAGGGGGTCCGTAGCCATTTTGGCTCAAGTAACATCTGCGGACTCCCCCGCTCTCGAGGGGGCGCCCGACGCTGCGCGGAGTTGACCCACCAGGTGGCTGCCAAGCCAGGGCATCTCCTTTTCTCTTTCACTCACAGCCATCACATCTGGCTACGGTAAGCTCTGCGGCCGTCTGTTCCCATGGGGCGCAATGGCGGCGGCAGGCAGCAGGCGTTCAGTGCTACCTGGACGTGCTGTAACAAGAAATGCGGTTTCGACAACAACTTTCCTTGGCGTACAACGTGCTGGGCGTGTGGCAAGCCCAAAGGTGCGGGCCCCGTACCTTCGGTGCCGCGCCCTCCTGCTGGCGCTTGGGTACGTCCTCCTCGGCTGCAGCCTCAGGGAGGCTCACCTGGTGCTGGACAAGGGCCTGGTGCAGTCGGCGGCAAGCTTACCCCTGAGCGCAGGGACGCCATGCTTGCCATGTCTGCCGAGCACTTCGAGGCCTGCAGCATCTGGCTCTCGCCTGGTCAGAAGGCGCACCTGCTGGGGCTGCGTGCCGTGCAGACGGGCGACCCGCTGGCCCTCAGTCGCCACGCCAAGCAGCAGCATGACACGCTCAAGGATCAGGTCGCCAAGGCCAAGAACGCCTGGGAGAAGTCTCAGGAGGTGCTGGCCAAGCAGCTGCAGAAGACTGCAGAGCTCAAGGCGAAGTACGTGGAGCTTGAGGCCAAGGAGCTCGAGGCGGCCCGCGCCGCCGCCAGCGCCTTCACCGAGCTCGGGCGAGCTTCCAGGCCTCAGCCTGCTGACCATGCTGCTTACCTTGTGGAGCAGCTGCGGGAGCTGGGGGTCGAGGCGGGCGTGGTCGACTCGATCAAGCAGGTCGCGGAGGCCCGCCAGAAGGCTAAGAAGGACGAGGAGGAAGCGGCTGCTGCCAAAGCCCGTGCTGAGGCGGCAGAGCGTGCTCAACATGAACGTGATGCTGCTGGTGGCGCTGCTGCTGAGCCTAGCGCTGCTGCAGGCGATCACGACCTGGACATGGACGCGGCCATCGGCAACCTCAAGCAGGGCGACTGGTTGGACAAGCTCGTCAGCTCTGCAGGTGAGAGCGGTATCACTCGATCGCAGCTGGAGGCTGCGCTCGATGAGGCCGGGGCCGATTACAAACGGAAGCGCGTTTAGCCTTGCGGCTAGATGCGCCCTGGGGCCTAAGGCCCCGAAGTTTTGGAATATTATCTCTGCCAATGTCACTGATCGCTCTGGGCTTGACATTTTCCTCTCCTCCCCCTCTGTGCTCCAGGCTCATCTAGTCGGTGTGCAGGAAACGCGGGTGTTGGAGGTTGAAGCTTGTGAGCATAAACTCAGGCGGCAAGGGTGGAGAGCCAAACTTTCGCCAGCCCGTCAGACGGCCGGAGGCGGTATTTCTGCTGGCACGATGCTCGCCGTGCCAAAGCATATCGGCTTGGCGCCGATTGAGAGCTTTCCGATCGACGTGCAGGTGGGGAGGATGATGGTGATGCATGTGGGAGGTCTCGTACCAGGGGGTTTCCTTGCGTGCACGCTCTATCTGCATCATTCTGTCGGACTTGCGCCTGCCAACTGGGATCTTCTCTGCAGGCTAGGCGCGTTGCTGAAAATGGCCAACATGCCTTTCCTCATCTTCGGGGACTTTAATCTCGAGCCTGACGTGCTCCAGCATTCAGGCTGGGTTGATGCGATTGACGGCGTTGCCATATACACTGATGCTGGAACATGTGCGCCAGCACACAGGACCATCGATTTTTTCGTTGTCTCCCAGGCGTTTGCGGCGAACGCCTCGGTTTCATTGCTGGCTGAAGTGGCTATTACCCCGCATATTCCAGTAAAGTTGAAGCTACCCACCTTGGACACTATACCTTCGTTGCGCATGGCCAAGGTTCCCCGCAGGTTCCCCAGGGAGTTGCCCATTGGTTGCCGTGGAGAGCCCAACGTGGCCAGGTGGGAGGTGGCGTCGGAGATGATGAGCAATGCCAGCATATCTAAGTCGTGGCAAGTTTTTGTTTCGGCTGCTGAGCTTGAATGGTTAGAGGTGTTTCAGATTCCTCCTGAACTTTCGAAGCCTTACCTTGGGCGCGGTGGTGATATTCGAACTGGGTGGTATCGACCGAGCCGGCCTGCTCCAGTCCCCTTTCCGCGTCTGAGCCCTCAAGCTGTGTGGTGGAGAGCCTTGGCCCAGGTCCTCAAGACCCTCACGAGGCCCATCAGCACTGCCCAGACTAAGCAGGTACTTTGCAGGATCCGTCATCTTCAGAGTTCGCCTGATGTTCCCGATTCGAAGCTCGCGGTCTGTTTCCTGGAGGCCCTGGATCGTTTTCGCGTCTTCGACTACGTAGTTATGGACTATTTCGCCACCGTCGCCAGCGACACTGCCGAGCGCCTGCACAAGCAGGCGACCCAGCTGAAGATAGTCAACTGGGACCGATGGGTAAAAACGCACTCGGTAGGTGGGGCTGCGGCGCTCTTCAAATATGTGCAGCTGCCAGACCCTTGGCAGCCGTCCACCCTTGACTCTTTCACCCTCCGACCCAACACCAGCATGGGGGAAATGGAAGAGCTTGAAAGGGAGTGGAGCAAGTGGTGGCAGGTGGGGGTCGCGCAGCCCCCTGTGCACTGGCCTGAGGATCTCGGAGAGCGCCCGCCTCCCCCCACGGTCCCAGAGCTTAAGAAAGTGTTGATGTCCTTCCCGCTAGGCACTGGTTGTGGATACGACCAGGTCCCGCCTAGGAGTTTTCTGCACTTGCCCGACATTGCGCTCGAGCTATTGTGCGGCCTCATCGGGATGATTGAGGAGCAGGCGGACTGGCCCCCCCTCACGAACAAGATTGTTTTTATTCTCAAAAGGCTGGGAGGGGTCCGACCCCTGGGGCTTTTGCACGATCTCTGTCGGGTGCAATCCAGGTTGAGAAGGCCTTTGATCAGGCAATGGCAAGACAAGAACTATCGGAGTTTCTGGTGGGGCACCAAAGGGAAAAGCGCTGACATGTGCGTGTACATTCAGGCCGTTTGGGCGGAGTATTATCAGTCCAAGGGCCTGTCGTCTGCTACGTTGCTGCTTGATTTAAAGAAAGCGTTTGAATTGGTCAAGCATCACCATCTTGTCCAGGCGGCCTCTCGCACTGGTTTTCCGTTGTGGCAACTGCGCCTGCTCGTGCAAGTCTATCGGTCGCCCCGCCTGCTTGACCTCCAAGGGACGGTCAGTAATCACATCACTGCGGAAACCACGATTATCCCTGGGTGTGGTTTTGCCACTGTTTTGCTGCAACTTATTTTGCTGGGCCCCCTGGATGTTGTTCAGAAGGAGTTTCGGGCCATCTGTTTATCCGTGGTTGTCGACGATTTTGCTTTGCAGAGATCGGGGGAACACGGCCGTGTTGTTGCTGATGTAGCTGGCGCTGGAGTGAAGCTTCAGCGCGAGCTTCAGCGAGTGGATCTACGACTCGCTCTTGATAAGACGCGAGTTCTTGCTAGTGACACTGACTTACGTGATCAGCTGTCCAGGAGGCTAGTATCGCTTAGGGCCCAAGGCGTGTACCACGAGCGCAATTTGGGGGTTGACTACAGTTCAGGACGGTTTCTCAGGAGGACCACCAGGACGGGCAGAATCAAAGTCGCCAAACCTAAGCTCAAGAGAATGAAACATCTCCAGGGAGGTACGGCCAGGCGGAAAACCATGGCCATCATGGCTAGGGCGTCGTTGGAGACTTCGGTTGCTTTTGGGACCTCTGTTCAGGGTACTGCCTCTAAGGAGCTGGACGTGTTACGTTCCCAGGCCGCTGCTGCGCTCGACGCCAAGACCAGCGGCAAGAGCCGCACTCTCGCTCTCGCGCTCGCGCCGCAGGTCAACTACGACCCGATCTGGAGGGCTACGCTGGAGCCTATCAAAGCCTTCAGCTCTGTTCTTTGGGCGTCGCGTGTGCCATGTCATGTCCTAGAGCATGGCCTTGGGGCTGCTAAATTGGCGCTTTCTGGGAAAGACCAAATGTGGCCGCAGGTTCGGGGTCCCTTTGGAGCCTTGTATGCTACGCTCACCAGAGTCGGGATCGTCGTCGTCGAGCCCCTGGTCTGGAAGCTGCCTGATGGTCTGGAGCTGAAACTCACCGACATCTGCCCCAGGGTCCTCCTTCACTGTTGTGCGCATGCGGTGCGCCACTGGGTCAACCTGCAGATTTCGGAGCACCTTCAGATGCCTGAGTTCCGGACTGGTTTTTGGGATGGGCCTCTGAAGTACCTCCTGAGCGCCAAGGGGGACCTCACTTGGCAGCAGCGTGGGTACCTCAGGAGTGCTATCATTGGAGCTCAGTGGCCCCAAGATCGGCAATTTCAACAAGGTTGGATTGACTCCCCGAATTGCCTTGCATGCCAAGAGGCCCCTGGTACCCTCGTGCACCGGCACGCCGTGTGTAAGAGCATGCTTGAGGCAATAGGAGAGCCACTCCCCGATGCAATCAGACTCATGCTCCCGCATGCGGACCAGAATGACCTGGTGCGCCTGATGCTGGAGCGAGTGCTTGTCCCGCTCCCCAAGGCCCCTCAGGCGGTGTTGCAGATGCCGTTGGAGCCTTGTGTGAAATGGTACGGGGATGCGCATCAGCTCACAGGGGATCTGTATCTTGATGGGTCCTTGTTTATTGATTATCCACATCGCGGGATAGCTGCCTGGGCAGTCGTCGCGTTGGCCGCCGACAGTGACACGGCTGTCTGCACCATCACTGGTCTTCTGCCCTTCCCGCTGCAGGACATAGACGGTGCTGAACTTTACGCCCTGCTTGCAGCGCTCAGGTTTGCTGTGCCACCAGTAGTCATGCACACGGATTCCGATTTCGTGTGGAAAGGCTACAACATCCGCGGACCAGCCGACACCACGTCGTCGTCGGCGGCCTGGGCCTGTCTTTGGAAGCAAGTTTGGCACAAAATCGACGATTGGGGGGGAACCCCCCCTGAGGTCAAAAAAGTGAAAGCCCACGTGACCGACACCATGGTAGCGGAGGGGAGGTATAAGCTTCGGGATATACTTGGAAATGATGCCGCTGACGGTGCTGCGAAAAGTCGTGCTCGTGACCTGCGGCCCTATCCCCAGTTTCTGAAGCTTACTATGATGCAGAGGAAGATGGTCAGTCTTACGGGGAAATGGGCCGCCAGGGCGGGTGAGGCCATAGCTTCTGTTGACTGTCTGCACCGTCAGCGTTCTGCGCGTTCAGCCCCCTCCCTAATTATTGTCAAGCCAGAGCCCCCCACCCTAGAGCAAAGGATCCAGCAGTCTCAGGCGTCTCTTAAAGCCGCTGGGTCCAAGCATCATCGGGTGGCGTCCTTTTTTGTGGGTGAAACCCAGATTTTCTGTTGCACTCACTGCGCTGCATGCACCTCCCAGCGTGTGGTGTCTCTTGCGAGTGAGTGCTTGCCCCGTCGTCTCTCGAAGGATCGTCGCCTTGTCCTCGATCGATTGCGACGGGGAGAGTACTGTTTGGCTAAGAGGGTTCAGAGGTATGCAGGCTATCGCCTGCTCCCAGAGCCCTAATCTCTTGCCTGATGTCCGATGGGCGTGGCTAATGGCGGTTGTAAGGTGCGCCCCTAGCCACGCTGGAGGTCTTGCTGAAGTGCCATAGACTCTGTGGCGCCCCAGGCTGTGCCCAGGAGGATGAGGAGGAGGTGGAGGAGGAGTAGTAGGAGGAGGAGGAGGAGGAGGAGGAGGAGGAGGCGAAAGAGTGGAGGAGGGAGGAGGAGGAGGAGGTGGAGGAGGAGGAGGGAGGAGGTGGAGGAGGAGGAGGTGGATTTTTCGCAACATCAGCCACGGGGGTGAACGCAGAAACCTCAAGTCAGACAGCTGGCTCGGGTGCTGCGGCGGCTGCTCGAACAACTGTGCAAGTTCGAGCAGGCTGCCACAGTGACCCAGCGCGGGAGCGACCAGAAAGGAGGATGGAGAGGAGGAGATGAGAGGAGGAGGAGGAGGAGGAGGAGAAGGAGGAGGAGGAGAGGAGGAGGAGGAGGAGGGAGGACGAGGAGGGAGCATGATGATGAGGAGGCGGCTGGAGGCGAGGGCGGAAGGGACGAGGAAACTGAGCGGGCAGGGAGTCTCCCCAGGAGGAGGGCGAGGACGAGGACGTGAGGGCGAAGGAGAGAAGTGGGCCCTGAGTTTTTCAGAGGTGGGGCCCTGACTGGCCATCGCTCGGACGTCCATTCCGTGTGTTTTTTGGGTTTCGTGCGTGGCTTTTTCTCCGAATGATCAAGAATGCTCCTCGATGGTCCTCGCCGAAGGAAAAATGCACACGTCCGAGCGATGCCAAGCGGAGGGATGGAGCCCCGAGGACGAGAGCCTCCATCAGTGAAGGCTCAGCTTGTGACCCGCCTCCTGCCCTCGGGGCCCCTCTCTGCTCCCACCCGGCGCAGGGCCCCCTCGAGTCCGTGGCGGCCCGGTCAGTGAGCGCACCGGGGCGCAGCGAGGGGCCCACGCGCCGTCGGAGCCCGAGGGAGGGGGGGATGGCGAGCCGACGGCTGTCCAGAGGCTGGTGAGCCCGAGCAGCTCACTACCAACGCGGCCGCCAGATGGGAAAAGGGAAACAGGGAGGGGGCACTGGGCATGGCGTGGTTGCGGCTCGGTGCCGAAGGCGAGAGAGAGAGAGAGAGAGTGAGAGAGAGAGAACAGGGATATATATATATTTATATATATATATATATAGAGAGAGAGAGAGAGAGAGAGAGAGAGAGAGAGAGAGAGAGAGAGAACGACGTGTGTATACAAAGACAGAGAGAGAGAGAGAGAGAGAGAGCGAGAGATAGAGAGAGAGAGAGAGAGAGAGCGATATGGACATGTGCAGGGGACGCGGGGAGAGGCAGGCCTCGACGCACGCTGGACAGCGGGCAATGCTAAGGTGTGACCAGGACCAGCAGCAATGACCAGTTCGCAGAGGTGTGCACATGCTCCGCCAGACTCCCCCGCCATGGGCATGTGCGGAGCAGCGCGGGGACGAGACTAACGAGGTGACAGCTGGCAGCGGCAAGGGGAAGACGCACATCTCGTGGACTCGCACGCCTCACCAAGACGCACCTGCTTGAGCTTGCACGCCTCCACAGGCTCACTAGATACACGCACAAACACAAACACACGCTAGAGCTCTCAGAGGAGGAGGCAGATGACGTGGGCAAGGACGGAGAGGGAGAGAGAGAGAGAGAGACCAAACAACACACACAAGCAACTAACACACAAACTGTATTCACATTATACATAATCACACCGCTATATATACATACATATATATATATATATACATGTAACCAAAAACAACAGCAAACACATACATATCACTAAACAGAGGCACACACAAACACATAAAGAGAGAGGGACGGAGGGAGGGAGGGAGAGAGAAAGAGAGCGAGAGAGAGAGAGAGAGGTCCCCAAGAGGAATCCTACGAGAACACCAGGTGGCAAACATCGCTGTGTTTTCCTGTACTGCGCCTGAAGGATTTTGGGGCTCTCGCCTTTTTGGTTCTGACGCTGCAAGGCGGCCCAAGGGCATCCCAAGATCGCCCAACGACGGCTTAAGGGTTTCAGGAGAGGGCCCCAAGACGGCCCCAAGACGCCCAAGAGGCCCCCCAAACGGCCCCCCACGACGGTACCAAAACGGGGCCCAAATGGAGAGCCCGAACTGACATGTCGAGCCCTCCGCCCCCCAAAAGGCCGCCCGAGACCGCCAGACCCCCAAAAGGCCACCAAGAGGCCCACCAAGCGGCCTCGGAGAGGCCACCGAGAGCCCCCACGAGGCCCCCGAGAGGCCTCCAAGGGGCAAACCAAGAAACCCTCACGTGCATTCAAGAGGCCTCTGGCCCACCATCCCAGCACGGTGGAGGGATGGGCCGAAAAGGTCACTAGTCACAGATGAAACTTTTTTGTTTTTTCTCTCTTGTTTTTCCCTCTCTCTGATTTTTTTCTGTATTTTTCTTGTTTTTTTCCTCCTCCTCCTCCTCCTCCTCCTGCTCCTCCTGCTCCTCCTCCTCCTCCTCCCGCCCCTCCTCATCCTCCTCCTCCTCCCCCTCCTGCTCCTCCTCCTCCTCCCGCCCCTCCTCCTCCTCCTCCTCCTCCTCCTCCTCCTCTTATGTCTCCTCTGTAATTCGTCTGGAGGTGCTCCTCGCGCCGTTCGGGGCTCGTCGTCGGCCCGCCTCCGTGCGCTCCTCGGCTCCCCCGCGCGGCCTTCCTTCAAGGCCTCCTGGCCCTCCCCGCGCGCGGAGCCGGCCTGCTCCTCCTCCTGCTCCTCCTGCTCCTCCTGCTCCGCCTCCTCCTCCCCTCCTCCTCCTCCTCCTCCCCTCCTCCGCCCTCCTCCTCCTCCTCCTCCTCCTCCTCCTGCTCCTCCTCCTGCGCCTGCCCCCGTGCGCTCCTCGGCTCCCCCGCGCGGCCTTCCCAAAAGGCCTCCTGGCCTTCCCTCGGGGGCCCGCGCGCGGAGCCGGCCTGCAAAGGGCACGGCCTCCCGGGGACCCCAATTTGGCGAGGCGACGCCCGTCGTGGCGGATCGGTTCCGGGTCGGGCGACAGGGGGGGGGATCGCAAAGGGGGGGCTTGAGAATCAGCTCATTTTTGGGGGGATAGCAAAGGGGGGGATAGCAAAGGGGGGGGGTAGCAAAGGATAGCAAAGGGGGGATAGCAAAGGGGGGATAGCATGGGCGCCTCCCGGCGCCGGGAGGCGCCCATGTATCGAGGAATGGGCCCCTCGCTGAGGCCGAAACCAGCTGCATGCAGCAGATTTCGTACCCCCCCCCCTTTCCCAATCCCATCCCCCCCTTTCGCCCGGCCCGATCGTTCCCTGGTGGCCCCGGGGCCTGAGGACCAGACGAACACTTTCTTGCACGCGAATGGGAGCCCAGTGGCAGAGTGCAGGGGGGACGGCGCGACACGACGACGAAAGCGACGGACGACGGACGAACGACCAGAGAACCAGACGAACGCACCACCACTGAAATATCAACTTTCGCAAGTCCGCGCAGATCTCTGCGGGCAGCGCTTAGGTACCCTCTGGCGGCGCCGCCACGCCCGGGAGTACAGCCCCGATATTCGAGAAATCCGCGCGGAGCTTGCGGAGCTTCGAAAGGTTAGCCTCATGCAGCTTTTGACTCGACGACCAGCCCCAGAAACCCAAATTGTGAGAAGACGCTCGCGGTGTTTCCCCCCACCCACCTGATGAAGAAAAGAACTCCCGACCTTAGTGGGCCCCAGACAAGACAGGGCCGATTTTTCACCGTGTCCGTAAACAAATCTCTTGAACATGGAGCGGCAACAAAAACGTCGGCCGGAAACGGCAGAACAACAGCTTCGGGATTGGAATGGGAGCCACGGCGACGGCACCAGCAACAAAAACGGCGTCGGAACCGCCCCCCAAAACGGCAAAACAGAACTGGTAACAAAAACGGCCCTGTCGTTTCCGGGGACCACTAATCGGCTACACGCAAAGGTCACTCTGGGTAAAGAGTGACCTTAGAGGGGGGGCCAAACACAAGCGCGCAAGCAGCCACTATCGCACCGCGTTCGTCGATCGAGGGACCCCGGTGAGCCCGCACCAAAAGTCACTCTGGCGACAGGTCACTCTTACGTGGAGTCGAACTAAGCCACCAAGCTCCCGACGCGCCTCACCCTTAAGAAGATAGGGGAACGAGCAATGACATAAACGGGGGCGCGAGGATGATCGCTCTTCTTGCGCTCCGCGGCCTGGGCCGAAGAGCTTCCTCCTCCTCCTCCTCCTCGTCGTCCTCCTTCTCTTCCTCGTCTTCCTCTTCCTCATCCTGCTCCTCCTCCTCGTCGTCCTCCTCTTCCTCTTCCTCGTCCTCCTCCTTCTGCCCTCACGCGCCCTGCATACCGCGGCCGCCAGCCCCACAGTGCGCCCGGTGCTCCCTGGGGATGCCGCGCCGTGTCTCCGGCGACTGGCGATCGCCGGCCCTGGCGGCCAGGCACAAAGCGTGCAACAGTCTGCAGCTTTTTCGGTTGAAGGACGACCTCCGGAACCAAACCTGCAAGAAGACGCTCGTGTTTTCCTTCAGGACGCCTGGCCCAGAGATCCGACGTTACGACTGGAAGCGGGCCCTGTCGCGAATTCACGCGCTTGAGTCCGTCTTTGCGCTTCCTCGGTGGGCGGAAAGAAGAGGATCCCTGAGATCCGACTTCGCGAAACAAAGACACCGTCGCGTCTCGACCAGGGCCCTAGACCCGATCTTTCTGCCACATGTTTCCCAAACATCCTGTGCTCCCTCCTCCCTCTTCCTTTCCCTGCCTCTGCCCCCCCGCGAGCCAATTTTGGCACACCCCTCGCACGCTTCGTGGCCCCAGATGGGGGCTCGAACGAAGGCCCAAATGCCAAAGGACACACGACGGCGCCGCCTCATTTCTGCACACCCCTCGCAAGTTTCGTGGCCCCTATAAGGAGGCTCGAACTGAGGCCCAAAGGCCAACATCCGAATGCCGGGCTGCCTCATTTTGGCACAAACATCGCACGTTCCCTGGCCCCACAGGGAACTCCAACGAAGGCCCAAAAACCCAAAGTCCGTATGGCGGCGCCGCCTTCTGTCGGCACGCCCCTCACACGCTTCCTGGCCCCCATGCGGAGCCTCAATCGAGGCCCAAGGGCCAGAGTCCGCACGCCAGCGCCGCCTCGTTGCGGCGCACCCCTCACGCGTTTCGCAGCCCCGCAAGGGAGCTCCGCCGAGCACTCCAGCAGCAAGATTCGCATTGCGCACGCGTCCCGGTCCCGGTCCCGGTGCCGGTCCCGGTCCCGGTCGTCGCTGTCGTCGTCGTCGTCGTCGTCGTCGTCGTCGGCGCCCTCCTCCCCCTCCTCCTGCTCCTCCTCCTCCTCCTCCTCCTCCTCCTCCTCCTCCTCCTCCTCCTCCCCTCCTCCCCCTCCCCCTCCTCCTCCTCCTCCTCCTCCTCCTCCTCGGCACGCCCGTGGCACGCTCCGTGCCCCCGTGGGGTGCTCCGCCGAGGGTCCTCACGCCTGGGTCGGCACGGCGCGCCCGCCCCCAAGGTGGCACAACCTTCACGCGTTCTCCTCCCTCCTCCCTCCTCCCTCCCCCTCCTCCCTCCCTCCTCCTCCCCTCTCCTCCCTCCTCCTCCTCCCTCCTCTCCCCTCCTCCTCCCTCCTCCTCCTCCTCCTCCTCCTCCTCCTCCTCCTCCTCCTCCTCCTCCTCCTCCTCCTCCTCCTCCTCCTCCTCCTCCCCCTCCCTCCCTCCCTCCCTCCCTCCCTCCTCCCCCCTCCCTCCCTCCCTCCCCTCCTCCCTCCTCCCTCCTCCCTCCTCCCTCCTCCCTCCTCCCTCCTGACAAGAGAGCTCGCCGAAGTCCCCAACGGCGGTGCTCGCATGGCGCCGCCCCGCCAGGGTGTGCGCGGAGACCCGTCATTTTGCCCGCCCCCCTCCTTCTCGCTTGCCTTATGTTGCTCCCATCGTACTTAAGGACCACCTCCAGTAACTAATTTCGAGCACCCGGGACGTGTCGAAAGAGTGTCGAAACAGTGTCGGGAGAGTGTCTCCCAGGGCCCGACGCGCGAACACCCTGGAGCTTGGGCACTTGTTTGGGTGCTCGAAATGCTTTCTGGTGATCCAGGCTAAAGTAGGTTGGAGTATCGTAACGCTTGCCTCGCGGAGCTCGCAGCCTCACACGATTGGGCCCATCGCCAGGATATTTCGAGCCAGATCGATCTGCGATGGCCCCGGGGCCCGAAACCGAGCGAAACCGCCCGACGTGAAAAGGATGCAACTCCCAGAACTCACCGAAGGGCGGAGGGAGGAGGATGCAGGCCGCAGAGAGGGCGGGCATCTAGAGGCCTCCCAGATGGGGTCAGAGCAGATAGAGTCGGAGGGTCACGCCGCATCGCCGATGCATGGGCGTCGTCGGCGATGCATGCGCGGGCAACATTTCCATCCATATCCAGTGCGACTGGGACTTTCTTGGAAAAGGCGTCGCAAGGCCGAGGCACAGCACTGGATACGGAAAAAAACGATCCGCCAAGGGCTCGATTTTCATCCATATCCAGCGCGCCTCGGGATTCTGTGGATGGGAGCCTGAAACTACAAGCTGCAGTGGATATGGACACAAGTCTTGCCCGGCAGCATGGGCGACGTCTTGGCGGCGCGCAAAATGGGGGCAGGGGCAAGGGGGAAGGAGGCCGCTTCTTAGAAGACACGCCAGCCCTACATATGCAGACAAGGCCCGCGCCTTCTTAGAAGCAGGAATGCTTCTAAGAAGCCTTCCCCCCTCCCCTCGGAGACCTAGAGGTTGACACCAACACCAAGATCTGCGGTGTGCCTTCAGCGAGGGAAGATGCTCCCGATCTCGGTGACGGTGGTAACATTCGGGCTTTCTGAGTGGCCGGACTTTTACCACCGATCCCCAAATCTAGGATCATCTCACCCCTGTGGAGGCAACCCCCTTTGTTGGTGTTGGTGTTGGTGCTACTTTTTTAGCAGGGACCGTTCCGATAGGCCTACCAAGAAATGGTCCTAGAACCCCAACGTGTTCTAATCACAAAAACAATGTTCTTAGATCTTAAACCCGATGTCTTAAAACAAGACAGTCTCAGCCAGACATGTTCTAAGAACATCTCGCGGAAGCCACAAAAGGTTCTTAGAACATTGTTTGGCAGGCCTGTAGTCGAGCCAGGACGCTTCGCCACTGCTTGACATTAGCAGGCCTCCAACTCTGCGCGTGGCCGAACGTCGGCGTGGAGAAAATCTGGCTCCGCATCGAACCGCTTTGCCGATGCATCGCTGGGAGCGCCGCCCGCCGCCGCACGCCCAGCGAGGGCGCGCCCCGGCCGCGGGGAGCCGCGCCCGGTCCTGCGCTCGGTGCCGCACCGGCGGCAGTAGTGGGCGTCCGACGGGAACGCGGTGCCGCAACTGGCGCGGGGGGGGCAGGTAAGTCGAATCGAATCGGCGGAGATCGAATCGATCAAACCGATTCGAAAGATCGAAGGAGGGCCCAGAATCGAATCGATCGGCAGGAGGGCCAAGAATCGAATCGCAACGGATCGGATCGGCGATGGAAACGGATCGGATCGGCGGGTGTCGGCAGCCGAATCGGGAAGAGAAGTCGAATCGGCGGAAATCGGCAGACCAGTATGCGTCCAATGAGAAATCGGAGCCCAAATCGGAATCCCAAGTCGAATCGGATGGGAATCGGAAGCCACCGAAATCGAATCGCATCGAATCGGAGGAGTCGAAACGAGCCCTGGGGGGGCACAGTCAAAGCTGATGATAATCGGTAGTAGGCTACACGCAGGAGGTGACCCTGGGTAAAAGTGACCTTTGGCGCGCGGCTTTCTGGAGGCCGCGGGGGGAGGAGGAGGAGGAGGAGGAGGAGGAGGAGGAGGAGGAGGAGGAGGAGGAGGAGGAGGAGGAGGAGGAGGAGGAGGAGGCCAAACTCGAGCGCGCAAGACGCTACGACCGCACCACGCTCGGCGACCGGGGGACGCCTGTGGGCCCGCACCGAAGGTCACTCTGGCGAAGGGTTACTCTTTACGTGTACTATTGTTTTTTTTCCCTAACAGAAATAATTCGCTGAGCAATTAATGCTGTAGCTGTACTGTAGGGTGCTACAGTAAATAATTCGCTGAGCAATTAATGCTGTAGCTGTAGCTGTAGCTGTAGTCGAAGTAAGGATGCGCGGCAAAGATGCAAGCCCCCTGGACGCCCGTGTTGAAGCCTTTTCGAGCGCGGCGGGCCATCAAAAGTAGTCAAGGATGAACCGAAGAGGCCACCTAGATGGGGTCGGAGTAGATGGGGTCGGAGGATCGCGCCGCATCGCCGATACGTTGGCGATGCATCGGCGATGCATCGGCGATGCACCAGCGATGCATCGTCGACGTCGGCGGCGCATCGGCGACGTCGGCGTGGAGGAAATCGGGCTCCGCATCGGGCCGCATCTTTGATGCATCCTCGATGCGGCGCGATCCTCCGACCCCATCTGCTCTGACCCTATCTGGGAGGCCCAGAACCAAAGAGTCACGGATGCAAGAGCTTTGTGGGCCCCAGAAACGGCAGGGCCGTTTTTTCACCGTTTCGAAAAAAATCCCTTGAAAATGGAAACGGCAAAAAAACGGCGACAGGAAACGGCAAGAAAACTGCTCTAGGATTGGAACCGGAGCCGGATCCGGTCAGAAAACGGCGACGGAACCGGTAAAAAAACGGCGTCGGAACCGGCGAAACAACGGCAAAACGGAGCCGGTAACAAAAACGGCCCTGTCGTTTCCAGGGCCCACTAAGTGCAAGAGCACCCTTGGGAAAGCTACTCCAGATTTCGTTATAAAAGGGGTCTGGACCCTCCAAGACAAGCCATTTCAGACCCCCCCTGGTGGGAGAACCCTCCAAAACATCGTCCCCAGACCCCCCCAGGCCCTCCAAGATAGCCTGGAAGAGACCCCCCCCGAAATGAGACCCCCCTCCCTTCATTACGAAATCTGGAGTACCCATTCTCAACATCGGTTTCGAATGTAGCTCGTGCCGGGCGGGAGGGCGCCAGATCCACGGACCAGGGCGACACAGGAAGCCCCCGCTGCCTGCTTTGGCGACGGAGCGCATCGACTTTGCACGCAGACGGGACCCGCCGCGAATCCACGCGCCGGGCAGGAAGGGGGGGGGCGAGGAGGGGGGGAAAGGAGCATCACGACCTGCGACCATATCCGTATTCGCGCCCACGCGGCCTGGATTCCGGGGCGCGATCCCGCGGATAGGAGGTCGCACGGATACACTCCACGAGGGGCACCCGCGACAACACGCGCCCTGCATCGGCGGGGGCGCGGCCCAAAAGGAGGGGCCCCATGGACGCACTAATAGATAGACACACACCTCAGGATGGATTCCACGTCTGTCCCTGTATGTTCTGGGTTTTCGTCTTCCCCCCCACTTCCCATCTTCCTGGGAGCCGCGGCGACGAGACGCCTCCAGGAAGCCCCCCAAAAGAGGGGCGAGTCGACGCCAGCACGGGGGCCGCCGCTGCCTCGCCTGGCCCCCCTCCCCCCCTCCCCTCCTCCTCCTCCTCCTCCTCCTCCTCCTCCTCCTCCCTCCTCCTCCTCCCTCCTCCTCCTCCTCCTCCTCCTCCTCCTCCTCCTCCTCCTCCTCCTCCTCCTCCTCCTCCTCCTCCTCCTCCTCCTCCTCCCCTCCTTCCTCCTCCTCCTCCTCCTCCTCCTCCTCCTCCTGTCAGTGCCCATCCCGACAGAAGGCTTGGCCCGCGAGGCCGCGGACCCCTTCCCCCATGCTCCCCCCGGGGCCCATCCGACCAGGGGGCCGCCAGTTGCCTCGCCCCTGGGGGGCCCCTCCTCCTCCTCCTCCTCCTCCTCCGCCTCCTCCTCCTCCTCACCCCTCATCTCACTCCTCCTCCTCCCTCCTCCTCCTCCTCCTCCTCCTCCTCCTCCTCACCCCTCACTCCTCATACCTCCTCCTCCTCCTCCTCACCCCTCACTCCTCACTCCTCCTCCTCCTCCTCCTCCTCCTCCTCCTGGCCCCTCCTCGTTCTCTCGTGGTCTCCTTCTGCTTCGGCTCTCCTTTGATCGACCCCCCCCCCTCCCTCTCCAGAGACGCCACCGCCTCCTCGGGATCGGGCCGCCACGGGAGGGAACACCTCGCGACGAGGCGCCATCTCGAGCGCCTCCTGAAGAAGTCCGAAGCCGGCACCGCGAGTTAGAATGGCTGCCACAAGGCAGGCCTTGGAGAAGTTGGAGGTCTGGACCTCTGGGGTAAAATCGTGATTGCACTCTTTTGGGCGGTTGTTCAGGCTCTCACTCGATCGCCCCCCCCCCCCTCCAGGGGCGTCCGCCCCTGGAGGGGAGGGGGGACGCCAGCACCCCATGGGATGCGGAGGCCCGCAGCGTCAGCGTCAACCGGATCGATGGATCGATGGAAGGAACGCCGGGGGGGCGGGGGCGGTGCGTCTCAGTGCCACGGCTTTCGAGAGCTAAGTGCCCCGCCAACCTGAATATGGAGTGCACCCTGCGCGACTTTGAAGGAAGGGGCGAGTCGGCTAGAGTCACTGAGCGCACCCGAGTCCGCCAGCGTGAGGGGTTCCATAACGCTCTCGTGCAGGGGGGAGGAACACGGGGGGGCGGAGGGGGTTGGATGACGAAGGGGAGTATTTTTTCAGAATTGCTGTCCTCACGAAGAAGGTTTTGGAGGCAACTGCTGGGTGGTCCCCGTAAGAGCGACCAAAGGCGATAAGGCTTGATTCCAAGGCTGTTAAGATGGACTAGGCAAAATCGAGTCCAATATCGAGCCCGATTAAATTGGATTGACCAGGGTTCGAAGTAATTGCGCTGGATCCGGCGGAATAATGCTGGATTCAGCCAATTTTTCGCCCTCGGAGATTCCAGCGCCGATGCTGAAGTGGACCTCCCAGAAGTTGCATCCTGAGAGGAAGGACTTGGATGAAGATGAGGATGAGGATGAGGAGGACGAGGAGGAGGAAGAGCAGGAGGAAGAGGAGGAGGAGGAGAAGGAGGAGGAGGAGGAGGAGGAGCAGCAGCAGAAACCATAGCCACATTGGCCAAGGCTGAAAAGCCAAGTCGTGGGGGCTTCAACCTCAGGTTCCCGTTGTGTGCGACAACCATCAAAGGTCGCCCAGACGCATCCGCTCTGAGTCCAACTTCAGTGCTGGGCCGTCCGTCTCCGTCCATAACCTCAGGCAACCGTCTGTCTGCCTGTTCTCCGTCGCTTCCCTCCACCCCGGCGTGCACAGCAGCCGTGGACGGAGGAACGTCGGGGGAAAGGCGGCATACTCTTATGACAGGTGGGAGTGCAGCAAATGCGGGTGTGGCAAGAACCTCCAGCACTGGACATGAGACGAACACTGCCGGACCGACAAATCGGACTCCAGGCGACCAGGTAACCGCTGGACCCGTGCCAAGAGCGCCGGCGAGGGTGTGGCCTCTGCCTCCATCCAGAGCCTCCAGAAGCTGGTCGATCTCGCGACGCAGAAGGGCACCGCAGCCAAGTAGAAGGACCAGGTCGCCAAGCAGACTCGGGAAGGCAAACCAGTACACCAGCGAGCTGCAGCAGCGCAGCGCAAGGCAAGGACTGCCGACCGCAAGCTCGCGCAGACCACCGAGACGCTGGCGAACCGCAAGGACCAGACCGCTAGGCAGGAAGACCTCGTCCAACAGATGCTGGCAGAGCTCACCACTGCGGAACAGAACTGCACGCATGTCCTCTGGGAAGGGTACCAGTGCACCGTGGGAAACTTCCCCAAAGGAGGAGATGGTGAAAGCAAAGGCGCTTCCACCATCATTTTGACGGCCACATTCGACGGGTCAATTGGCGGGCTGTCTTCCGAAGAGGGCGGGCTCTTCGATAATTGGGGCGACTATGAGTTGGAAGCAACCGACCAAGAGGACATTCCAAACGTAAGAAAGAACTCGCCATCCACATGCAAACCCTCGCCCGAAGGTTGTTCTCCGATGCCACACGGGCAACCCACGAGGAGCAGAAGAACCGCATGGCAAGTACGCGGAGGCTCGCTGGCAACCGCGAGCCTCCTCCTGTTGCTGCTGGCCGTGACTTACCTGAACCACGACCTGCTCCCAGGGATGCACCCGTGGAACCATTCGAACCCCAGCAATCACCAGGCTCCCAGAGCCCGAAGGCCTCCGCCCCTTTCGTTCGGGAAAGGGCTTCTGAAGTCCTCGCAGGCACTGGGAAAGGAGCTGGCACGACGGGGGGAGAAGGAAACCATGACTAACACACCAGACCGACAAGGCCCAGCGGTTCCAGATCGACGACGCCGTGGACCTTTTCTACTACATCGCAGAGATGAGCAGTGCACGAGGCCCGAGGGTAGCTTATCGCCTTTCATCGCAACCAGACCCACTGCCGCAACGGATTCCCAACTCCCCCCTCGCAACCTCACGAGGATCAGGACCCAACATCAATCCCAAGTGGCATGCATAATATTTCAACTATTCCAAGTGGGTTGGGTCGGCACACGCTCGACAACCCAAACGTTCGGGGGCACCCGTGCAACAGCCGCCACCCCACTTGCCGACAGGCCGGCACTAGCAGCCTGGGGCGCCACTCAGGGATCGGGGGGAGGAGACGCACACAGCGGATTGAGCAGCAGCGCCGCCAGCCTTGGGTAAGGCGGTGGAGGCAGCCGCAGAATCGCCTCAGTGGACTGGGAGTCTACTACCACGGCTCGGACAAGCACTGGGGGCACCCACTTACGGTAAGTTCGTGCGGCGTCACCGCGCGCCACGGTTTTTGACACCGCGCTGATCGCTCAACCTTGACTCGATCGCGGCCCCGATCGTTCAAGGCTGAATTCGGTAGGGCACTACTATGGCAATACCGTGTCCATCGGTGCTTCCGCGTCGCAGAATTCAACCTTGAACGCCTTCGCCAGCGTCGCTGGCGCGCCAACGCCGCACGAACCGACCGTGATTGAATCAAAACTGGGACCTGGTCTTATGTTGCCCCCATCGGACTTAAGGACCACATCCTAGAAATAATTCCGAACACCCAGAAACGTGTCGAAAGAACATCGAAAGAGTGTCGAAACAGCGTCGGACGAGTCTCCCAGGGCCAGGCACGTGAAAACCCTCGGGTTTCGGTACTTTTCTGGGTGTTCGAAATTCTTTCTGGTCATCAAGGCTGAAGCAGGGTGGCCCAAGATGCGCCTCGATGGTCCTCGCCGAAGAACAAAATGCACGCGCCCGAGCGCTGCCAAGAGAAGGTCCCGCAGGATCCAACATGCAAGCGCTAGAATTAGGTCGGGCCTCCCCCCCACAAGGGGGGTTTTGGACGAACGAACCATACTCAAAACATGCTCAAACATAATTAACATTACCCCAATGCGACCCTACCTAGAAGTTGGAGCCCCTAGGAAAACAGCATTCTTTGCTATGCTATGCTATGCCATGTTATGATATGTTATGCTGCGATATGCTAAACTATGATATGCGATGCTGCGCTATGCTATGCTCTGCTATGCTATGATATGCTATGCTAAGCTGCGCTGTGCTATGCCATGCTATGCGGCGCTATGCTATGCTACGCTATGCTATGGTGTGCCGTGCTATGCGAAAGCTCAGCGAAGCTAAGATGATGGTAAGCTAAGCTAAGATAAACCTGAGCTAGGATGGAGCTCAGCTAAGCTAAGCTGAAATAAGCTAAGCTAAGATGAGATAAACAACGCTAAGCTAAGGGGGCGTAACTGGGGGAACCGCGGGGCGGATGCCGGGGGAACCGCCCGGGGCGCTTTCCACTGCCCGGCCCCTTGAAGCTAAGAGAGTAAGAACCCTCTAGGCAGAGCCTACGTAGGGAATAAGCTAAGCTATGATGAGATAAACAACGCTAAGCTAAGGGGAAGGAGCTGGGGGAACCGCGGGGCGGATGCTGCGGGAACCGCCCGGGGCGAGGAACACTGCCCGGCCCTTTAAGCACAGAGGGTAAGAACCCTTCTAGGCAGAGCCTAGGTAGGGAATTGTGGCCGGAGCGCAGTATCCCCAAACAGGTTGTTTCAACCCACTGCGGTTTCCAAGGTCGATTGCGTGCCCGTCCAGTGCGGGTTGGCATGGCATGTTAGAACATGATAACATGATGTTCGCACATGAGATGTTTACACGACAGCTTGTGTGACGCATGCCTATCAGGAAGCTACCGCTAGAGGGTGTCGTACTCTCTCGCACCTGGTCGACGAGTAAACTGTCGGGTCGGCATTGTGAGAGGCTCCACCTCCATGCTTTGAACTCGGAAGCAACTGTAAGAGGAAGCGGGGGAGGGCGCGGAAGCGGGGGGGCTGGGGATGATATCGAGAGGTACGCGGCGCACGTCTCAAAAGAAAAACCGTGACGTCGGATGTCTGAGGAGGGCGGAAGGCAGGGCGCGCATGACGGATGCTGAGGCGGCAGAAACGACGACGGCGGGGACGGAGAGCCGGAGGCAGAGGCGCAACAGCGGGAGGCGGGAGGCGGGAGGAGGGACGAGGAGCCAGGCGGGAAGCGGGAAGAGGGAGGCGGGAGAAGGAATGAGAGAGGTTGTGATTGGAGCCCCTGTGCTACGAAACGTCTCAGGCAGAACGGGCCGAACCATCTCGCGCGCAACATCTTCGAGCTTCGCATTGTGAGGGTGGCTCAAGCGAAACGGGCCGGACCACCTCGCGAGCGACATCTTGGAGCTCAATATTGGAAGGATGTCTCAAACGAAACGGGCCGGACAACCTTTCGCACACGTTCTGACAAGTTCACGTCACACTCGCTTCCCGTTAGGTCCTCTCCTGCAACTCCCTTTCTTCTCCCTCCGCCTCCTCCTCCCCCTCCTCCTCCTCCTCCTCCCCCTCCTCCTGCCTGCTCCCTCATCCACATCATCCTCCTCCTTCTCCCTTCCATCTCCTTCTCCTCCTCCTCCTCCACCTCCTCTTTATCCCGAACGACATCTCAGAGCCCAGAGTTGCGAGGATGCCTCCAGCGTAACGGGCTGGACCACCTCGCGCGCGGCATCTCGGACCCCAGAGTTGCGACGATGTCTCGAGCGAAACGTGCTGCGAGGAAGTCTCAGGCGAAACGGGCCGAACCACCTCGAGCGCGGCGTCTCAGAGCTCCGAGTTGCAGGGGCCTCCTGGGGCCTCCTGGGGACATCCTGGGGCTTCCTCCTGGGGCTTCCTCCTGGGCCTCCTGTGGCCTCCTGGACTCCACCTGGAGCTTCCTGAAGCCTCTTGGGGCTCCCAGGTGGGGATATCTAACATGTGGTCTTTTGGGCCCCTCAAAATGGGGGGGGGGGGGCACAAGAGCAGGAAAAATCAACGAATCGACACCGGATGTGTATTAACTTGGATTTTGAACTTAACATGGGCTCTTGTGAGTGTTTTCTAATGTGGGCAATGCAGCATTCCCCGCGCACGTGGGCGCGCGCGCGCGTACGCGCGCGTATGCGCGCGTACGCGCCGTGTGCCCTGGCTGGAGAAGGTTTGCATTGTCAGCATTGATTCTGTATTGTCCAGGATACAAAAAAATGCGTTTCTTCCCAAACCGTGCTGGCGTATTCTATGAGCGCGGCCTGCTAAGAAACTGCTCGGGCCAGGGCCCCCTGGATTTCTCCGTGTGACGCCGTCGGTTAAGAAACCCAAGCTCTGGTCGAGAAACTTTGCGGCTTTTCAGGGTTCGGTTTCTTGCGATGGTTTATTGTGGCCGCGCCCCCACTGTAGGGGGCCTCCTGGGGCCTCCTGGGAGCCTCCTGGGAATCTCCTGGGGACCCCTGGGGCCTGTCCTGGGCGTCCTGCGGCCTCCTGGAGCTCTCTGGGGCCTCCTGGGGCTCCCAGGGTCCCAGGGAGGGTCTTCTGGGCCCCCAGGCTGGACCACCTCTTGCGCGGCATCTGGGAGCTCAGAGGTGTGAGAATGTCTTGTGCGAAACAGGCCGGACCACCTTGCGCACGGCATCTCAGAGCTCAGAGTTGCGAGGATGTCTCAGGCAAGACAAGCCAGACCACCTCGCGCAAGGCATCTCAGAGCTCAGAGTTACGAGGATGTCTCAGGCGAAACGGGCTAGACCACCTCGCGCGCGGCATCTCCGAGGTCAGAGTTGCGAGGATGTCTCAGGCGAAATGGGCTGGACCACCTCTTGCGCGGCAGCTCAGAGCTCAGAGTTTCGAGGATGTCTCATGCGAAATGGGCCAGACCACCTCGCGCGCGGCATCTCAGAGCTCAGAGTTTGGAGGACGTCTCAGACGAAACGGGCCGGACCACCACTCGCGCGGCATCCCGGAATGCAAATCAACGAAAATGTCTCAAGTGAAACGGGCCGGACCACCTCTTGGGCGGCAGCTCGGGGCTCAGAGCTTGGAGGATGTCTCATGCGAAATGGGCCCGACCACCTCGCGCGCGGCATCTCAGAGCGCAGAGTTGCGAGGATGTCTCAGGCAAAACGGGCCGGACCACCTCGCGCACGGCATATCAGGGCTCAGAGTTTGGAGGATGTCTCAGGCGAACCGGGCCGGACCACCTCTCGCGCGGCAACTGGGAGCTCAGAGCGCGAGAATGTCTCAAGCGAAATGGGCTGGACCACCTCTTGCGCGGCATCTCCGAGGTCAGAGTTTCGAGGATGTCTCATGCGAAATGGGCCAGACCACCTCGCGCGCGGCATCTCAGAGCTCAGAGTTTGGAGGACGTCTCAGACGAAACGGGCCGGACCACCACTCGCGCGGCATCTGGGAGCTCAGACCTCGGCCAGAGTTAGCTTCTTTCGGCCAGAGTTAGCTTCTATCATAACAGCACCCCGTTCAGCAATATGTTTGGGGAAAGATGTTAAAAAATGGTCCCCATACTATTGTTTGACTATTTTTGAACATTCCTCCTGTAGAGGGGCAAGCCCGACTTGACGCTCGAAGGCACATCGTCGAACGCCCTCGCCATGGACGTTCCCCTCATCACAGCAGCAGCTTGGAACGTGAAGGCTGAGCTGGTTGGGGAATCGGTCATCGAGGAGTACACGTCGGCGGTCATTTCTAATCCTGCTCGTGCCTAACTGTGCTCGTTTCTAATTGTTCTTGGCCCCCTAGTGGCCAGGAAGAGGCCCAGGAAAGAACAATTAGACATGAAAGGATCCCAAACAATCAAAGAACTTTCGAAGACTTAGAAATGAACAATGTGTCTATGGGGGGCCGCCTTCGTCGATTCTGAAGGAGCCCAGCGTCAGCCCGGGAAGAGGGTGATGGATTGCCCGTTGGTCTCTCGCCCCCTCCTTGCCGACCGCTCCCTTGAGTGCGTTTGCGAGGGCCCTTGGGCTCAACCACATGCGGGCCTGGCAGGCACGCTCAGCCGTGAGCAGGCAGATGAAGGCACTGGCCGACCCACCCACGCCTCCCCTCGATTTTGAAGGACCCACATGGCCTCGGGAAGCTCACATTCGGCAGACTGGGGTCCTCAACAGCCAAGACCCATGGGGCCAACTACCACGCTGCAGCCACCTGCCGGTCCTCATCTCCCACCAGGCAGCGCGCGATTCTTCAGGCAGCAGAGACGTCGCACCACTCCAAGCGAGGGCAAGCTGCCCGACCAACGCAGCAGCATCGAAGGTATGCGCGACGACTTGTTTGCACGCCAGCAGTGCCAGCAGGGCCTTCGTCGCGAGCAGGCAACACCGAGCAGCTCGCTTTTAGAAGACGCTGGCTGCACGCTTCCAAGACTTGATGTGCTCACTCGTTGGCGTTGACTCTCTGAAAAGGCCTTGCGACGGGCTCAGCATGGGGGTCACATCGAGTCGGGGGTCACTTCAGCGGCGCCCCACATCATCCCCTTGGAGGCCCAGGACCTTTTCCAAGAACCCTGCAGGAACATTGGGGACCTTGCCAACCAGGACCTCGAGCAGGTCTGCAATCTAGCCAGCAATGCCAAGAAGATCAGGGACCAGGCTGACAGAGCGACTTAATACGCTAAGCAGCAGGGTTTCCAGGACTGGTTCAAGAAGATACTCCGAATGGAGGGGCCAAGTGGGCCCACCTGCTTACCAGCACCTGGGGTTTCCAGAGCCTAGACCTAAGATTGAAGTAGATGTGCCTGGAGCACCTCTGCGGGATGCTTGGGAGCCCTTCAAGGTCAAGGAAGATACATTCAGGAAACTGTGGTCAGCCCCCTGGGAGCTAGGACACCCAGCTCCTCAGGACTGGTGGCCTCAGTATCAACAAGAGGCTCGGGAGCAAACTCCAGATCTTCCTCCCATCGAGCACCATTGTTATCTTGTAGCCTGCCGCGCTTTCCCCTCCCATATGAAGAAAGGCGCTCGCCATTGACACTCTGGGAAGGCGATAGGCCGATCGCCAGAGACCAGAGCTGACACCGAGTATGGTCCAGGGTCCGCAAGCGAACCCATAACCAGCTTGGAAAAGGCCTGCGCGGGCTTCTGGGACGCAACTATCAAAAGATCCGACCCGCTGCGTGCTGCCTCTCTCCGCCTCGCCAGAGCCGAAGCAATATCTCGGATCGACTGCGACTGGCCTGTCTTGCTGGTAGACGCCGAACAATGAAGTCTTCGACACGCTCAACACGCTCTGAGTATATACATAGATTCATATATATATATATATACACATACACATACACATACACATGTATATATACATATATATATATGTATATACATATATAAAGGGAAAGGACTCGACGATCCACTACATACCGTGTGTATGGGGATGGCGATGCATAGTGCGGACCGAGTGTTCACTCACTATAGGGAGCGAAGCCACTAATTTCATGCCAGTGGACCGCTTCATCGTGCAGGGAGGGGTGTGTCCATCATGTGGCCTGGGCCAAAGCATGCCTACCCGCTGTGACGGAGCATGCGCATACTACTTTTCGCCCAGTGGAGCTCAACACATGGGTCGGCGATACTAGCATGCAGGTCCGAGAGCCCAAGCAGATGGTAGTGAGGCTCACCATCGGAGGAGCCAAGGCCGTAGTCTCCGCCATGCGATCGCGAGGACTAAAGCAAGCGACCAAATCCAAGTTGCTCGCCAGCTCGGGCTCCCTGCTTCGCCAGATCCACCAGGGGCTAGCTCCAGCTGGCATTCATGCACAGGCAGTTACCAAGGCGCGGACCCTGGGATCAACTCTTTCATCTCGAAGAAGGTACACCGAATTTTTTGTGGCCAGAACGAAGAAGGCGGGAGTTCGCGCCAAACGTGTTCGGGGAGTTATCAGGGCCGACAAGCAAGCGACCAAACTCAGTCTCACGTGGGTCAAACCTCAAGCGGCTTGAGGACCTGGGTGACCTGCTGAACAGGGAGGCTCGCCAACGGGCCTAGAAATGTTGAGGTCCACTACGTCAGGTTCGTGTCGAACCGACTTCGGCGTTAGTTTCTGACACCGCGGGGATCGTTCAACCTTGAACGATCGGCCGTTTCGAAACGTCCAAATCGTTCCACATCGAACGATTGTGGGTCGCCCGCGGCGTTCAACGTTGAACGCCGCTAGCGGGGTCACCGCCGGTCGACACGAAACGAACCCACCGTATGGCAGCGCGGACGTGAACACGCAGAGCTGGGGTGTGTGCTGCTGCTGCTGCGTGGAGGATAGGCCCAGGAAAGAAGGGGGGACCCCTGCGCTTCGGCAGGAGGAGGAGGAGGAGGAGGAGGAGGAGGAGGAGGAGGAGGAGGAGGAGGGACCTCCCCGAGCTCATGTGGGAACGAGTCGCCCTTGAAGAGGCCTGGAGAGGTGCCCTCCTCTCCCTCCGGAGAGCCTGCGGCCCCTCGAACATGGGCAGAGGCCCCGCAACGGCTGTCGTTACCACCCTCATGCAGGCCAAATGGGAACCCGAGCTACACCCTGCGAAATGCTTAAGAAATCATGGGTTAAGAAATTCATAGTCTCAGAACTTGAATAAAAACCCAACATTTCGATTAGAATCATGGGATTTACATTGAAACATTAAGAATAATCGAGACTCTGGCCGAAAAAATAAGTTTTCTTAAGCATCGCCTAAGGTGTACTGCGGGCCTGGACTGGCTACTCTGGGGGCGCGTTCTACACCCTCACCCCAGGCGAGGCTCCAGTAGACAGAGTGCACTTCTGCCTCGAGGCCCTCTCAGGGGCCACCCGATGGCTGGCAGCAGTGCCTCCTGTCGGAGCGGGCACCCCGCATCCCAGCATTCTTGCGGGGAAGGATCGGAGGAAGGAGCCGATTTCACAATGATCGGGAGGATGAGCCGAGCCACGGTCAGCGGGGCGGCGCGCCAGTAAGATTGCCTCGGCAGTGCCCCTCCCTGGCCATGAAGCCACGCGTGCTCGACAAAGGCATGGTCCAACGAATTGCTAGACATTTGAGCCACAGCTTACCACCCATCGGTCGCGACACCCGAGGAACATCGGGCAGGCCATGCCACCTCCCTGGAGGTGGTTGCTGCGGGAACGCTTTGGCCTGGAGCCCGCCGCTTCTCTGAAGACGAAACAGAGAAGCTGAAGTGCCCCAAGGCGGAGGAGGAGGAGGCGGAGGAGGAGGAGGCGGAGGAGGAGGAGGAAGGAGGCATCCAGCACGGACTGAAAGAGCAAATGCTCAAGAGTACAATGCCCGCGACCACAGGCCCTGTCAGATGGCACCCCTGAAGGCGAGCGACAGCGACAATGAGCGCACTCATCTGCACGGCAGTCCGCAGCCAGGAGGCCGAAGGGCGGGCTGCCAGCAGGACAAGTATGACATGGCGCATCGCTCGGCTCGGAGTCCACTCACGAAGACATGCAACAGCGACAACGAGCACACCGTGACGAGCGACAGTCCGCAGCCAGGAGGCCGAAGGGCGGGCTGCCAGCAGGACAGGTATGACATGGCAAATCGCTTGGCTCTGCGACCACCTAAGGAGACCTACAACAGCGACAACGAGCACCCCGTGACGATCGGCAGCCCGCAGCCAGCAAGCCGAAAAGCGGGCTGCCATAAGGACAAGAACGGCAACAACAACGAGCACACCGTGAAGAAGGGCAGCCCGCAGCCAGAAGGCCGAAGGGCGGGCTGCCAAGAAGACATCACAGCGGATACGATGTTGCAACCAGCACCAGGAAAAGTACATAAGATGCGGTCGGGCGGCCCGCAGCCCCAGAGCGGCCGAAGGGCGGGTCGTCAGGCAGCGACAGCAGACGAGATGGAACGCCCTGCTCCATGGCAGGCCCCCACAGAGGGGCCGCCGCCTCGCGTTACAGGCGAGGCAAGGCCACCGACCGGCCTGGTCGGAAGAGGCCCACAAAGACAGGACAAGACGATCAGAGAAGGTTGAGCGCCCCTCAGCTCGCGAGCCGAAGGGAGGGGCGCCCTTCGCAACGAAGAAGATCGAGTACGGCGCCCATCAGCTGGCGCCCTGAGGCTTCGGCGCCGCGGCGGCAGCGCTGCAGAGCCTATGTCGAAAGGGTCTTGAAAGGAGGAAGGAGGAGGAGGCGGGGAGGAGGAGGAGGAGGAGGAGGAGGAGGAGGAGGAGGAGGAAGGAGAAGGAGGAGGAGGAGGCGGAGGAGCAGGAGGAGGAGGAGGAAGAAAGTGTCGCATCCCCGTTTCCGAGACCCCCTTCCGCCAAGCATGGGGATGTCAACATCTCCAGGCGGGGCCAGGCACACATTTTGAACTGGCTGGACAGGCCGCTGCTGAGCAGAAACAGTGGGCGTGCTTCTGGCTTAGAGGACGTCCCCCGCTCCGTTGGGCACACGAGGTATGCGACCGCTGGCCCGAGCTCAGCATCCACTCCGACGGTGTCGCCCAGGGTCAAGCGAGGTTCTCCCTTCCAGATTCTGCAGTCATAGGCGCTGGTGGAAGTGGGAGAGACCTCGGGCATAGAGTGTAGAACATGTGACTGGGGATGCTCTGTGGCCCTAAATGGGCCAGGTCCTTCGGCGTGGCTGGCGCCGTGTTCCCGTGGGCCGACGCCAGACGGCTCCCTTTTCCGAGCCGGAAGCCGTAACCCAAGCCCTCCGCCACACCGCGGGCCCATGCAAATCCCGCCAGCCCTTTCGGGCGCAGGTGGTCTACGGAGCTGCCCTCCCTGGACCTCCTGGACCTCCTGGACCCCCCCCCCCCCCTGGACCTCCTGGACCCCCCCCCCCGGACCTCCTGGACCTCCTGGGGTTTACCCCTCCCTGGCGCCCCCCCCCCCCTGTACCTCCTGGACCTGGACGGGGCGGGTAGCTGGGGCGACCAAAACGGCATCGGCGAGGAAGCCCAACTCATTAATTTTACCAGATGCTGGGCCCCATGTTGGCCTCCTGGAGGGGGGACACTAACTAAGGAACCCCCCTTCTTTGATCGATCTCCTCCGAGATGGCCTCAAGAGCTCTCCCAAGGCTCCCAAGGTTGCCCCAAGAGGGCTCCAAGAGGTGGCCTGGAGGCCCCAAGAGGCTCCCAAGAGACCCCCAAGAGGCCCCCCAGAGGCACCCAAGACGCTCCAGGAGGCCTCGGCGAGAATGCCAAAATCCTCGATGTTACCAAAAAAAGCTTGGCCAGATTTTGGCCTCCTGGGGGGGGGGGAGCACTGATTAAGATGACTCCAAGAGCGCCTGGGAGAGCCCAAGATGACCTCCAAGATGGCTCAAGATATCCCAAGAATGGCTCCAACGATGCTCCAAGAGGCACCAAGACCGCTCCAAGACGGCTCCAAGTGGCCAAAGAGCTCCCCCAGGAGACCCCGAAGAGGCCAACATCCTTCCCAAACCTTAGGAAAATCAATGTTGTTGGCTGTCTCGCCGTTCCGCTTCCGATGGCCATCCGAGGCATCAAAATGGCTCCAAGATGGCCCAAGAGGGCTCCAAGAGAGGCTCAAGAGAGCCCCAACCCAAGACGGCCCCAAGAGCGGCCGAGAGCGCTCCAAGAGCGCCCCAAGAGCGCCCCAAGAGGCGACTTGTTGGGCTCCCGAGGGGCAACGGTAATCAATGATGCAGTGGCAATATTCGCGCGCGATTGCATCCCCATTTTGGCACACACACACACCCACACGGCTCGTGGCCCCATAGGGAGCTACTCCGAAGGCCCAAGTGGCAAAACTCGCATGCGGTTCCACCCCCAGTCTGGCACAACCTCTCACACGGTTCGTGGCCCCACAGGGAGCTCCACCGAAGGCCCAAGTGGCACAGTTCGCATGCGGTTCCACCCCCGGAGCTCCACCGAAGGCCGTAGTGGCAAGGTTCGCATGTAGCTCCACCCCCTCTCCATTTCGGCGCATCCCTCACACGGTTTGTGGCTCCATAGGGAGCTTCACCGAAGACGGTACGCACACGGATACTGGAGATGTCGTGGCAGTTCGGATCAGGATGAGGGGGGGCCAGGATGAGGATGATGATGACGATGATGTTGATGATGGTGCTGCTGCTGCTGCTGCTGTTGATGATGATGATGATGATGATGATGGTGATGATGATGATGATGATGATGATGATGATGATGATGATGATAATGATGATGATGGTGATGATGGTGGTGATGCTGCTGCTGCTGATGATGATGCTGATGATGCTGATGCTGAAGATGACGATGATGATGATTGCCCCAAAACGGTTCGTGGCCCCGTAGGGAGCGCCACCGAAGACGATATTCACAATTGCGGTATTCACAAATGCACATGGTTGGGCCCTTGGCCAGGCTACTTTGTGTTCTCGCATTTTGGCTTCCGATGGGCATCGAGGGCCTCAAGGTGGCCCCAAGATGGCCCCAGAGAGCCCAAGAGAGGCCCAAGAGTGCCCCAAGTACGCCCAAGAGCGCCCCAACAGCGGCTCAAGAAGGCTCCAAGTCGCAACTGTTGAGCCTCCCGGGGGGGGGGGGGGGCTGACTCTGCCACCCCTCCTCTTGTCCAGCAGTGGGGGCCAATACGACTCCAAGGGCGCTCCCAAACCCCCAACGAGAGGGCCCGAAGACTCACCAGAAGACACCCAAAAGGTCCACAAGAGGGCGCCGAGAGGCTCCACGGTGACCCAAAGAGAGCTTCGAAGATGGCCTTCCAAGTCCTCCAAGAACCTCTCACAACAACATACCCAAAAACCGAATTTCTTCTCCTCCTTGTCATCGTCCCTTCCGTCCTTCCTCCCCCCTCCTCATCCTCCTCGTGCCGCATTCCTCCTCCTCCTCCTCATCCAGCTGCTCCTCCCTTCTTCTCCCTGTCTCCTCCTCCTCCTCCTCCTCCTCCTCCTCCTCCTCCCCCTCCTACTCCTCCTCCTCCTCCCCCTCCTACTCCCCAACATGGTCCCAGGAGAGTCTTCAGAAGGCTCGTGCAGAAATCGGGGGGGGCTATTTGCTCTGGCCGACAGTCGACGCACCACGCATCCTTCGGGGCGGACAGGGTCCCCAAATCAAGACCACGCCCCCTTCTCCGATTGCCTGCTTCCCAAATGGCCCCCAAGGCTACCTCGATGTCCCGAAGAGGACCCTGGGAGAGCTCCAAGAGGAGCCCCACGAGGGCCCCAACTGAATCCAGAAGGCTTCCCAAAGGGTCCAAACATGGCATCAAGAGCCTCCCTGAAGTCCAATCCCACCAACCAGTTGGGCGTAGGTGGTCTAACGATTTGTGTTGTTCCATTCACTGCTAGGGGGTTGCATGCGCTCCCGCCTCGATGGTCGTCAACTGGTCTCCAGCATGATGCAATTATTTTTGAAAGACCCAATGGCTTGAAACGTGCAGCCGATGTAAGAAGCATGCGGCCACCGCGCGCTCACCGAGACACCAGCCCCTGGCCAATGCTCACCCGTGCGCATTCAAAGAGGTACTACCCTCGCCCGCTAGTCTGGGCAAATACTGTCGGGGCCTTGACCTAAGGAACCCTAAATAAGGAACGAGGCCCCTAGTTTCCATACGTGGAACTTCGATTTCGTATCGAAGACCGAAGGAAAACCGAAGGCAAGCTGCGAAAGACTTGAGGAACGCGGAGCCCCTCCCCAACGAGAAGGGTTCCTTCTTCAGGGCCCCGACCGTATGCTGAGTTCAAGCGCGCGGCACGAAAGACCTCCTGCCGCGCGCGGCTCGAGGCGCGGGCCCCGGACCGATGCCCGAGCAGAATCCGCCGACCCCGTCGGCGTGTGGAAGAAGCTCCTCCGTCCGCCTCCTCTTCGTCGTCGTCTTCCTCCTCCTCCTCCTCCTCGACACTCTTCGATCCTCCTCCTCCTCCTCCTCCTCCTCCTCCTCCTCGATCCTCCTTGTCCTCCCCCTCCTCGACGCAACGCCACGCCGACAAGAGCTTCCGGAGGCCCGCGCGCGCACTCGGGCGCGGGCGCTGGGCCTATAGAGACATGCCGGGACGCTCGGCCCCTGCCGGGAAGGCACGCGCCGGCACGCCCGCGCCGGCACTGTTCCCACAGCGTCTTCTCCTTTTCCGGAGCCTCCTCCTCGAGCGTTTCGGTCCAAGCCGAAATTAAGCAACGCCGTCATTGAGTCGAAGGGAAGCCCCTTCCCTTTGATCCCTTCCCCGGCGCGGGGGAGGGGGGGGGTCCCGGGGGAGGACCCGGGAGAGGACCCGGGAGAGGACCCGGGAGAGGACCCGGGGGAGGACCCGGAGGAGGACCCGGGGGAGGATCCGGGGGAGCACCCAGAGGAGGTCCCGGGTCAGATACGCAGCCCCCCCCCCCCCACCCCGAAGATGAGCTCAAAGATCGCTCTTGTAGCCCTCGATGGCTCCAGATCGCTCCCAAGAAGCCTACTACAGGCTCGAAGATCGCGCCAAGATATCTCCAAGTAGCCGCGGAGGCTTCCAAGAACGCTTCCGAGATGGCTCCAGGTAGCCCTGGAGCCTCCCAAAGACGTTCCCAAGAGGCCCGAATCATTGATTTCCCATCGGGAAACGTACGTACACTTTTGGCCTATACGACTTTTCGGTCTTCACGGCGTTGAAGACAACCCAAAAAGCACCCAAGAAGGCCCCAACACGGCTCAAGAGGCTCCCGAGAGGCGCCCGAAACGGCCCAAGAAGGCGCCAAGACGGCCCCAGAGGCTACCAAGACGGCCCAAGAGGGCCCCAAGAGGGTCCCAAGACGGGGAGCCCGAATAAAAAATCCGAGCCTTCCGCCCCAAGAAGCTCCCTGGAGGCCCCAAGAGGCCCCCAAGAGGCCCAAGGAGACCCCGAAGAGGCCCCAAGAGGCCCCAAGAGGCCCCCAAGAGGCCCAACAGATGCACCAAGAGACACCAAAACGGCCCCCTCATCCACCTCCTACTCCTCCTCCCCCTCATTCTCTTCCTCCTCCTCCCCTTCCTTGCTCCCCCTCCTCTGGTTCCTCGTCTGCCTCCTCCTCCGCTTAGGAACAGCTCGGCGCTAAGCCTGAATCATGCCAGGTGATGCATCCAGGAAGATCTACGGTCTTCGGCCTCTTCCTTCCTCATCCTTCTCCTATTCCTCCCCCTCCTACCCTGTACTGCACACCTTCCTCCGATTCGTTTCCCCGCATCTTCCGCCCTTATCCTCCTCCTCATCCTGCCCCTCCTCACCGAACCGGCCCCTGGTTGTTTCCCCTCGCTGACAGATCGCTGTCTTCAGGGTCGGCGGCACCAGCCGTAAGGCCTTCGCGATAATATGCTTCTGCGCCTTGCGGCGTCTGAAAAGCGTCGCGCGCTCCGTGCTGCTTTCCATGTGCCCCTTTCCTGAGGCCCCGCCCCTCCTTGCCTGAGCATGGGCAGCATCCTGCCCCGACTGGGCGCGAGGCGCCCGGGGCACAAATTGGCAACGCCGTGGCGCTGGGTGGGCACGGACGGATGCGGAGGACGCCGCGGGCAGAGGGCGCGACTGCTCCGCAGCCCGAGGTCGTGACGCCAGGCTGCTGAAGCTCGGGGCCAGCACGCTGCGCAGACCGACGTGTCGCCCACCCTTCTCCCCCCGCCCCCCCAAACACACACGTAGTGAGGAGGCCGAACGGTCATTCATCGTCCCTAGGTGCGTGGCTGAAGTGAGAATCCGTGAGGATTATGCTTGCTGCGTTGTTGCTGCTGCTGCAGTTGTTGTTGTTGTTGCTGCTGTTGTTGTTGTTGTTATTGTTGTCGTTGTTGTTATTGCTGTGTTGTTGTTGTTGTTGTTGTTGTTGTTGTTGTTACTGTTGCTGTTGATGTTGTTGTTGTTGTTGTTGTTGTTGTTGTTGTTGTTGTTGTTGTTGTTGTTGTTGTTGTGTTGTTGAGCTCTCACTTCTGAAGAATGAATATTGTTGACCCCCCCCCGTCCGGTGCACATTGATTCATTGATTGAAGTGTCTTTCCCGGGGCTCGCACCCTGCTTTTTATCAAGGAAAGTCTTGAGCGTCAAACTGTGTCGTCGCCCCCCGGGTTTACAACAACAACGGCTCCCGCCTGAGATTTCCACACTTTAGCCAGGACCTCCGCTCCCGCCCGAGACGCCCTCGCATTGTATTCAGGGATTGCGCTCTCGCTTCGGGCAAGAATCGCTCTCCCGGCGCTCTGGAATCGCGCTGTTGCTGGATTACATACATTTTACTGAAGAATAGCACCCTTGCGTTGGAATTTCCTGCAATTGACCCAAGCGCCGCGCTCCCGACACCCAGGCACCCAGGAGTCGCGCACACGCTTAGGACTCCCTCACAGATTACCTGGGAATCGGGATCTCGCTGCCCTTCGTGGCCCCGTTGCAGCCCTTCGCGGCCCCCTCGATTTGTTTCGTGGCCCCGTTGCAGCCCTTCGTGGCCCCCTCGCCGCCCTTCGTGGCCCCGTTGCAGCCCCTCGTGGCCTCCTCGCTGCCCTTCGTGGCCCCATCCCTTTGTTTCGTGGCCCCGTTGCAGCCCTTCGCGGCCCCCTCGCTGCCCTTCGCGGCCCCGTCGCAGCCCTTCGTGGCCCCGTTGCGCTCCTTCGTGGCCCCCTCGCTGCCCTCCGTGGCCCCGTTGCATCCCTTCGTGGCCCCCTCGCTGGCCTTCGTGGCCCCCAATATATGTATGCTCTTCGTGGCCCCCGCTCGTTCGCGCCCGTGGTGGCCCCATAGGCATGCCCTTCGTGGCCCCGCTGTCGCCGTTCGTGGCCCCCTCGCTGCCCTTCGTGGCCCCGTTGCTGCCCTCAGTGGCCCAGTCCTTGCCCTCCGCGGCCCAGTATACGTATGCCCTTCGTGGCCCCCGCTCGTTCGCGCCCGTTGTGGCCCCATGTGCATGCCCTTCGTGGCCCCGCTGTCGCCGTTTCTGCCCCCATCACTGTCCTACGTGGCCCAGTAGCTACCCTCAGTGGCCCCATCGTTGCCTTCCGTGGCCCCACATTATCTGCCCTTCGTGGCCCCCGTTCGTTCGTGCTCTTCGTGGCCCCATACGCATTCCCTTCGTGTCCCCGCTGTCGCCCTTCGTGGCCTACCTCGTGTCCTTGTGGCCCTGCTGTCGTTCTCTCTCGCTCTCGCTTTCTCTCGTCGTCCTTGTCGCCGTCGTCGTCGCCGTCGTCTTCGACGTCGTCGTCGTCGTAGTCGGTCCCCTGTCCGTCCCTTTTGGGGTCGGGTCGACGGTCCGCGACCGCCCCGCCGATCAGCGCTGCCGCTGGCCAGGCCGACGGTCCGCGGCCGCCCCGCCGCTTGCCGGGGCCCGGCCTGCAGGGAAGAAAGGTATACCCCCCAGAAAGGGTTCGATCGAAGACGAAGAGGGCGGGTATCGAGGGTTTGGGAAATACGCGTTAGTGGACACTCGAGCAAATAAGGGCGAACAGTCTTAAAATGATGGTTGTTGTTGTTGTTGTTCTTGTTGTTGTTGTTGTTGTTGTTGTTGTTGTTGTTGTTGTTGTTGTTGTTGTTGTTGTTGTTGAACTCTCACTTCTGAAGAATAAGTGTGGTTGATCCCCCACCGGTGTATCCTGTTTTTTCTCGATCAAACTATGCCCCTCGACGCTCGCACCCTGTGTTTTGACAAGGAAAGTCTTCCTGCTCAAAGTGGGCCCCTGGCCCCCTGGTTACAACAACAACGGCTCCCGCTGGAGACTTCCTTACAGTTTAGCCAGGACCCCCGCTCCCGCCCGAGACGTCCTTTGCATTTTATTCAGGGATGGCGCTCTCGTTTGGGACCGCCTTACAATTTAGTGAGGAATCGCTCTCCCGCGCTCTGGAATCGCGCTCTCGCTGGAGACTTGTTTGCAACTTACTGAAGAATGGCCTTGCGTTGGGATGTCCTGCAGTTTGCCCAAGCGCCGCGCTCCCAACACCCAGGCACCCAGGAGTCGCGCCCGTTGTGGCCCCATGTGCGTGCCCTTCGTGGCCCCGCTGTCGCCGTTTCTGCCCCCATCACTGTCCTACGTGGCCCAGTTGCTACCCTCAGTGGCCCCATAGTTGCCTTCTGTGGCCCCGCATTATCTGCCCTTCGTGGCCCCCGATAGTTCGCGCTCTTCGTGGCCCCGTACGCATTCCCTTCGTGCCCCCGCTGTCGCGTTTCGTGGCCTACTTCGTGCCCTTCGTGGCCCTGCTGTCGTTCTCTCTCGCTCTCGCTCTCGCTCGTCGTCGCCGTCGTCGTCGTCGTCGTCGCCGTCGTCTTCGACGTCGTCGTCGTCGTCGTCGTCGTCGTTGTCGTCGTCGTCGTCGTCGTGGTCGGTCCCCTGTCCGTCCCTCTTGGGGTCGGGTCGACGGTCCGCGGCCGCCCCGCCGATCAGCGCTGCCGCTGGCCAGGCCGACGGTCCGCGGCCGCCCCGCCGCTTGCCGGGGCCCGGCCCGCAGGGGAACAAAATATACATATTGGACACTCGAGCATATAGGGGCGAACAATATTAACATTGTTGTTGTTGCTGTTGCTGTTGTTGTTGTTGTTGTTGAATATTATTACTTCTAAAGAATGATTATTGTTGGGCCCCCTGGTGCACGCCCCCCTCGCCGCGCCTAGGCCGCAGCCACATTTTCATCATTTTCGTGAGGAAGTCTCAGGCAAAACGGGGGAGTCCGGATCCGGTTGTTTTGTTGACGCCCGCTTTCCCTTGCAAAAAAAAACTAAAGTGGACATTTCTTGTTCTAACATAACCAAACTTCAAGAATCCCTTGCAAAAAAAGGTAATGTGGACATTCGCGCGCGCAAGACGAAATCCGTCCAAAACCTTAGGTTTCGTAGCGATTTTAACATAAAAACATCAAAGCATTTTTTTTTGTTTAAAAAAAAATGTCAAAAATTCATCCCGCGCGCTCTTGCGGATCCGTAGGAAACCCAACACTTTTTAAACATTTCTGTCAAACGGGCTTTTGCGAGCAACTTTTTCGAACTTCTGCAACAACGGTTGCGCACCTGCCAGGGCCATCATCCCTGTCAAATAATACCATGCGGGACACATTCGTTTTTTCTTCGCGCGCGCACGCCGTCGTCGTCGGCCGCGGGGCCCTGAATAGTAGCCACGGTCGTCCGCATGCCACGAAGTGAAGTGTCCGAACGTCATAGGGCGGGAAGCTGGGTGTGGGTGGTGGCGAAGAGTCGTTTGGAAATTTGGTAGAGCTTGAACCGGCCCCCCCACAAAGTGGGGGTATTGCCCGCCTCCTATGAAAACCCTGGCACTGGTGAGAACGGAGTGTCCCCACGTGCTAGTACGTGTTGTTGTTGTTGTTGTTGTTGTTGTTGTTGGTGTTGTTGTTTTATTGCTGTTGTTGTTGTTGTTGTTGTTGTTGTTGTTGTTGTTGTTGAACTCTCATTTATGAAGAATAAGTGTGGTTGATCCCCCACCGGTGTATCCTGTTTTTCCTCGATCAAACTATGCCCCTCGACGCTCGCACCTTGTTTTCGTAACAAGGAAAATCGTGATGCTCAAACTGGGCCCCTGGCCCCCGGGTTACAACAGCAACGGCTCCCGCCTGAGACTTCCTCACAATTTGGCTAGGGCCCCCGCTCCCGCCCGAAATTTCCTCGCATTGTATTCAGAAATCGCGCTCTCGCATGGGACTTCTTTACGATTGATTCAGGAATCGCTCTCCCGGCGCTCTGGAGTCGCGCTCTCGCTGTAGACTTGCTTGTAATTTACTGAAGAATAACGCCCTTGCGTTGGAATTTCATGCCATTTACTCAAGCGCCGCGCTCCCGACACCCAGGAGTCGCGCACACGCTTAGGACTCCCTCACAGATTACCTGGGAATCGGGATCTCGCTGCCCTTCGTGGCCCCGTTGCAGCCCTTCGCGGCCCCCTCGCTGCCCTTCGTGGCCCCGTTACACCCTTTCGTGGCCCCCTCGCTGCCTGCCCTTCGTGGCCCCGTTGCAGCCCCTCGTGGCGTCCTCGCTGCCCTTCGTGGCCCCGTTGCAGCCCTTCGTGGCCCCCTTGCTGTGTTTCGTGGCCCCCTTGCAACCCTTCGCGGCCCCCTCGCTGCCCTTCGTGGCCCCGTCGCAGCCCTTCGTTGCCCCGTTGCAGCCCTTCGTGGCCCCCTCGCTGCCCTTCGTGGCCCCGTTGCATCCCTCCGTGGCCCCCTCGCTGCCCTTCGTGGCCCCATATATGTATGCCCTTCGTGGCCCCCGCTCGTTCGCGCCCGTTGTGGCCCCATGTGCAAGCCCTTCGTGGCCCCGCTGTCGCCCCTCGTGGCCCCCTCGCTGCCCTTCGTGGCCCCGTTGCTGCCCTCATTGGCCCCGTCCTTGCCCTCCGCGGCCCAGTATACGTATTCCCTTGATGGCCCCCGCTCGTTCGCGCCCGTGTGCATGCCCTTCGTGGCCCCGCTGTCGCCGTTTGTGGCCCCCTCACTGTCCTACGTGGCCCAGTTGCTACCCTCAGTGGCCCCATAGTTGCCTTCTGTGTCCCCGCATGATTTGCCCTTCGTGGCTCCCGCTCGTTCGCGCTGTTCGTGACCCCATACGCATTCCCTTCGTGTCCCCGCTGTCGCCCTTCGTGGCCTACCTCGTGTCCTTGTGGCCCTGCTGTCGTTCTCTCTCGCTCTCGCTTTCGCTCGTCGTCCTTGTCGCCGTCGTCGTCGCCGTCGTCGTCGACGTCGTCGTCGTCGTCGTCTTCGTCGTCGTCGTGGTCGGTCCCGTGTCCGTCCCTCTGGGGGTTGGGTCGACGGTCCGCGGCCGCCCCGCCGATCAGCGCTACCGCTGGCCAGGCCGACGGTCCGCGGCCGCCCCGCCGCTTGCCGGGGCCCGGCCTGCATGGAAGAAAGGTACACCCCCCAAAAAGGGTTCGATCGAAGACGAAGAGGGCGGGTATCGAGGGTTTGGGAAATACGCGTTATTGGACACTCGAGCAGATAAGGGCAAACGATCTTAAAATGATTGTTGTTGTTGTTGCTGTTGTTTGTTGTCGTCGCCCTCCCCCGCGACCCACGCGCGACCCACCCTACGACCCGCCCGCGACGCAAACCGCGACCCAAACCGCGATCCACCCGCGACCCATCCCGCGACCCACCCGCGACCGACCCCCCGATCCACCCGCGACTAACCCCGCGACCCACCCCGCGACCCACCCGCGACCCACCCCGCGACTCATCCGCGACCCACCCGCGACCCACCCGCGACCCACTTGCAACCCACCCGCGACGATCCATATTGGTTTGAAGAAAAAATCGGCGCCTGCGGCGGGCTCGTTGTATAATTTATGAAACTTGGGCGCCTGCGGCGGGCTTCTCCAGAATCTCGCGTACTGCCGACGTCCCCCACCGCCCCCTCACTCTTATCCGCATCTGCGGGGCGCTACGTATTGCATCCTCGGGGGACCTTGTCTGTCCCTTCGCGGCCTTATCCGCGTCGAATCCGTGTCGAATCCATGTCGGACCCGTGTCGGATCTATGTCGAATCCGCGCTAAATCCGCGTCGGGTCCGCATCGAGCCCGCGTCGGGCACAAGAAAAGAGACTTACTTTGGGCACAGGCGAGGTCCCCCGAAGAGGCCGCCATCCCTCCCCTGCTCGCCCAGGACGTGTGGAGCCGACCTCAGGCAGGCCCCCCCCCCGACTCCTGGAAGCGCCCCTCGGGCGGCTCCGTCGCCACCTCCGGGATGCCGAGCTGTTTTGCCCAGTGATTGCGGGCGAAGAGCTCCCCGAACCGGCTGAGCTTCAAGCTGCGCGCCTGATCCGACGGGTGCGCCACGGGTGCGAGCTCGATCAGGAGGCGAGCGCTGGCTCCAGTGATGTCGAAGATCTGTGGAAGTGGAGACTCTCCGACAGGCTTGATCCGTGGGTTATCATCACAGAAAACTGTGCCTGACGATGACCCACAGCTCCCAGAATGATATGCTGGCCACGTTCGCTCGCGCGCGTTCCGGCAGACAACAACATGGGTGTGCCAGCCATGTTTGGCGATCACGTGATTACAGATCTTGGCGAAGTCTGGGTCGCTCACGTCCACTGTCGAAGCTCCAGCGGGAAGTCTGACTTGCGCACCTGCCATATCCGTGCCTTGCTCGCTCGAGAAAGGCGACGCGTCCGGCAGGACCGCAAAGATGCGACCACCGCAGCGTATGCTGTTCCGATGCTCCTGCATGTTGACCGAGCCCGTCAGCCGCAAGTGGCCATAGACAAGGTGGATCTCGTCGTCGACCTTTGAGGTTCTGTAGCTCGTGATGCGCAGGCCCAACCTCCCGGCCTCGATGATGGGTGCCTGGAAGAAGCCTTGGCCGTTGCGGCGTTTCGCTGCAAGGAGCAGCTCTGCCTGCTCGTCCTCGTCAAGCTTCAGCTTCCTCGCCAGAACAGGGACAACGTCCGCCCACTCACTTGCGGAATAGCCCTCATGCTGAAGCGCAGCGTACTCTGGAGGATCGATCGATATCTGCATCTGCAGGAGATCCGCCGACCCCTTGGGGCTCATCGGCGCGTGAGGTATTCCCCCCTCCCCGAACTCTTCCGCCAGGAGCCCAGTCTGGTCGATTTGGAGGGGGAGTCCCCCGGGGACCGCCCGAACGCGCCATGGGGGCAAAGAGGGCCCCAAAACAGGCAAAGAGGGCACCAAGAGGCCCTCTGGACGGTCCAGGAGGGCCACGAGCCGCCGAAAGATCGATCGAAAACGCTCGCGCTGGCCTCCAGACGGCCCAAAAGGCCCCCACGACGCTCCAAGATACCCTCTAGACGCGTCCCAAGACGGCCCCCAAAAGCAATGCTCTGCCCATGTGCCTGGGGAGAACTTGCATGTGTTGCAGATTCGCCTCGTCTGCGATCACAGCATGTAAGACAAACCAAGAAGCCTCCTGGGTCGACCCAAGACGGCCCAATCCCTTCGAGAGTTCTCAGACGGCCCAAACGGGGGGACAGGGCCCCCAAGCAGGCCCAGAGGGCACCAAGAGGCCCTCTGGACGGTCCGAAAGGGCCACGGGCCGCCGAAAGATCTAGTGAACACGCCCACGCTGGCCTCCAGACGGCCCAAGAGTCCGCGTCCTAAGACGGTCCAAAAGAATAAACATCGCCCAGCTTCTGCGGGAAACCAACATTTTTAGCACATGCGCCGCTCCTGCGATCGCAGCATCCAAGACAACCCAAGAAGCCTCCTGGGTCGCCCCGAGACGGCCCAAGAGGCTCCCACAAAGGCTCCCAGACGGCCGCAGCGGGGGGACAGGGGGCCCATAAACAGGCCCGGAGGGCGCCAAGAGGCTCTCTGGACGGTCCAAGAGGGCCACGAGCCGCTGGAACATCGATCGAATACGCCCACGCTGGCCTCCAGACGGCCCGAGAGGATTCCAAGACGCCCCCCGGGAGCCCTCAAGAGGCGTCCAAACACGGCCTGAAGAGCAAAACTCGCCCCACCTTCATGGGAATACATGTTTTGGCGGTTGGTAGAACAGTCGCCTCTCATGCGATCACAACATCCAAGACAGCCCAAGAAGCCTCCCAGGTCGGCCCGAGACGGGCCAAGATGCTCCCCAGAGGGCTCTCAGGCGGCCCAGACGGGGGGACAGAGGGGCCCAAAGCAAACCCAGAGGGCACCAAGAGGCCCTCTGGACGGTCCCAGAGGGCCTCGAGCCGCCGAAAGATCGATCGAGAACGCCCACGCGGGCCCCAAGAAGCCTCAAGACACCCTCTACAGGCGTCCCAAGACGGCTTCAACGAGCAACACTCGCCCATTTCCATTGCATTTTGAACACGTTCGCCTCGTCTGCGATCACAGCATGTAGGACAAAGCAAGAAGCATCCTGGGTCGCACCGAGACGGCCAACGAAGGACAGAGGGCACAAAAAACAAACCAAGAGGGCACCAAGAGACCCTCTGGACGGTCCAGGAGGGCCACGAGCCGCCGAAAGATCGGGCGATCACACCACGCCACTTTTGCCCTGAGTCGCTGCTTGGTTGTCCCATCAAGCCCCCCACAGGCTTTCAGGGAGCTCCGCGAGGCTAAAAAAACCGTCAAACGCCCCCCAGGAAGCCCCCAAGAGGATCAAAAGCTGCTTCCGAAACGCGCCCGAGACGCCCCGCACGAGACCCCGTCCGCCACTCGCGTGGCCTGCGACCCGCAGCCCAAGCGCGATGGTGGGATGCGCCGAAGGCCAGCCGGAATTTCAAAATATACCCGCCGTTAATACACGTGGGTTCTCTCCAATTCCCCTGTGCGCGCACGGCGAACATTGGAAATGTCAGCCGCGTGGATGCCTGTTGCCGGACATTGCCGTGGGCCCCGGGGGCATATTTGGCGAGAACGCGGCAGATTGTCCCAGCGGGCGCCTGCACGCCCCACAACTCGCTCCGAAACCCACGCGACGGTTCCAAAACGTTTTTTTACAGATGCCCGCCGAATGTATACGCGGGTTCTCGCCCGTTTCCCCGCTCCTTTTCGCGCGCAGCAGAGCGGCCCAAACAGAGCGCCAACGCAGTCCAAGATAGCGCCGAGATGGCGCAAAGTAGCCCAACGACGATCCAATATGACATCGAGACGGCACTCGACCCGCCCAAGACGGCCCAAGAATCAACCAGCGGCGCGTCGGAGGCATGATGTCTTGCTTTCCCACGCGCACTTCAAAGAGAGTTACCGTTCCTAACATAATCAACATGGCCAGAAGACTAGTCCACGGACACTCCGTTCTCGCTCCATTAGATCCTTTCCACCTCCTGTCCCCTGCAGCCACCTCCCGGACAAGCTTCCCCTGAACATCATCCTGACCTAATTTTCGAGACGAGAGTCGCTCCTGCGACGAAGGCCGTCCCGCGGCTTACACGAATCCAGTAACTACGCCCGCAACAAGAAACATCCCATCTGCCTTCTGGGCATCGGTGGGTTAGGGAAACCTCTCGTCCCAACCACTTCTTCCACTCTGGAAAGTGATATACTCCTGCTCCGTGTTCATAAACACCCGCCCCCTCGACCGACGGCTGGCCCGAAGCAAAGACAACCGCCCAACCATCCTGATCATCACAACAAGTATCAGACAAAGTGCACTTTGCGACAGAATTGATCATCTTTGGGCATCCCGTCCTCACTGTGTGTTGGTCTGCTACACGACGGCAGGGGGCATCATACTACCCCGTGTGTGCTGGCCCACCATCCCTCTCAGGAGAAACGCTGCGATGTGCACGTAGCGGCAACACCCCCCGACCCCTTGGGGTGTGAGATGCTTACCCTTCCACCGCTCCCTCCACCCAGACCCGGGTTCGGTCGATTTGGAGGGAGGGGGGTCCGCCCGGATCCCTCGGGCCCGGCCCCACCGCATCATGGGAGAATAGAAGCCCCCACAACGAGCCCATAAGCCACAAGAGATCCCCAAGACTGTCCAAGGGGGCCCTCAATCGCCGACGGCTCATCCAGGACGGCCAAGTAGCCTCCCGACGGCCCAGGACGCCCCAAACACGCCCCAAGACGTCTCCAACAGCCCTCCCAAGAGGGCCCCACGAGCCAACATCCATTGATGCTCGATCCGTTTCTGCAGGAGTTTGGCGTTCTCGCCTTTTGGTTTCCCGACGTTCCAAGACGGCCCAGATGGCCCCCAAGATCCCCCCGGACGACCCCAGAGGCCAGAAGATCAGACGGCGTCCTGCTCCTCATTCCCCAGCCTGACGGCCCCAACTAGGCTTATGGTCGGGGAGCCCCAATCAGGAGAGATTCCCCTAGGGAAGAAAAGCACTCCCAAAGATATCTCTGAGACCCAGGTTGAAGATTTCAACAAGACACAGCTCCGAAGCTCTCCTAGTTACTAGGCCCCAAGACAGGCAAAGAGAGCCCCCACGTGGCCCCGACGACGGCCTCAGGAGGCCTCCAGCATGGCCCCAAGGGAGCCCCTGGACCGCCGCAAGAGAAGGGCCCCCCTAGAGGGGAACCCGAGCCCGCACGTGCAGCCCTCGGCCCCCCGAGACCAGTGAGAACCCCCCGCGAGGCTCCAAGAGGCCCCCCCCATATACGCCCCCTTGAGATCCGTCAGTTCAGCGATCCGGCCCCTGAGAATCCCCATGGCGACTGGGGGGGCGAGAATTACCGAACTGATGGATTTCGGTATGCCAGGACACCGGATCAGTTCAGTGATCCTCGCCCCCCAGTCGCCATGGAGACGCTCAGGGACCCGATCGCTGAACTGAAGGATCTCAGGGGGCGTACCATGGGCCCCCACGAAGCGCCCAACCCCCCCATGCTCCCAAGAGGCTCTCAGGAGGAACCCACCACAAATGCCAGTTCCCCAAGGGGGTCGGCGGTGTGGCGTGAGCCGAAGAATCACTTTCCGCCGTCGCCACTTCCTTGTCGGATGGCTTCTCCCCAACAATGTCAAGCTTGGCCTTGGAAACCCACTCCTTGACCCTGGCCGCAGCGAACTCTGTGCCGCCCTTGATCTTCTCCGTCAAAGTTGGCTCTTTCAAAACAACTTCAATCTCAGGAAGATTGCTCCCCCGGTTAGCGGCGACGAGAAGTTCGATATGAGTTGGGCTTGTGATGAGCACGCGGCGCTCCTTGTCCTCGTTCTTGAACCGGAAGTAGAGCTCGAAATCTGATATCTCAATCTTCACGTTGGCGAAAATGTCCTGGATGCGCTCCTCGTGTGGATTCCAAACGCGGGAGGCGTCATCCCTGAAGACCAGCAAAACCGAAATCGGCTTTGAGGCGGACCGAAAGAGGTGCTCTGTCTGGGCGAACTTCGAGAACACACCTGAGGCGGCCTTCTCCCCCAGCCTGCGAAATAGCGCGTTGAAGAACTCCCTCCCGGGCTCCGTGAAGTTGGAGGCCGCGAAGGCGTCGCTGCACCAGCAGCCCTGCACGATTGGAGCTCTCATTGGCCTGAACAGCGTCCGCGAGCGGTGGAGCATCACGCCACGCCCAAGCTGAGAGGCGCGAATCATGTTCAAAGCACTGGAGATGTTGGACTCAAACGGACCCTGAGAGCGGCAATGGCGCTGGCCTTGGCCGGGAGCGAGCACCTCGAGCCAAACTGGATACAGGGGCGTAGGTGGACTCACGATGTATTTCTTGCCCCTTTCCCAATACCCCCATTCCCTCGGAGGAGGGACATCCTCCCCCTCTTCTCCATGAGGTTTTTGTGGAGGGGGCCTCAGGGGTCTAGAGCGTCCAAGATGCCGCAGGATGGCCTCAAGATGGCCTCCGATGCTCCAAGACGGCCTCCAAGGTGGCCTCCGAGATAGCCGAAGATTTCTCGAGACGGCTTCGAACATGCTCCAAGACGGCCCCAAGTGCCATCGGAGCCACCCCCTCAGGACACCGCCATGAAGCACACATCCTTCAAACACCTCAGGGACATCAAATGACTCGTGCCTTCTCGTCTTTTCGCTTCCGATGAGGTTCTCAAGCCTCAATGCGGCCCCGATTTGATCCAAGAGAGTCCCAACAGCGGTCCGTGAGGCCCCCGAGACGGTCCAGAGAGCCCCCAAGGGCGCCCAAAAAGGCGATGCTGATGGCCCCAGAGGGGGGAGGCAAATCGATAACCACATGCCGATGATAGTAAAGGGACCCCCCCCCTTCAGTGTTTAGAGTTGATTATCGTCGCCCTATACAAAATTCAAATTGGGCGGCGAGCGCTGAGGCCGAACTTCATTATCACCTCGAAACGCTATGTTGAGATAGCAACATCAAGCGATGTTGATATAGCAACATCAAGCGAAGCGATCACACTTTTTCAGGATGTGTCAAGCGAAACCAATAATTTTGGGAGGCAGACTCAAACGAAACGAGCAATGTTCTTATTATTCTTCTACTTTCCTCTTCTTCTTTTATATTTCTATCTGTCCTCACGCTCGCCTGAACTTTTTTATCCCTGGGGTTGATTATCCATGGAAAATGAAGCACATGAGCTACCCTACACGAGCACTTAAAAAATCAATTTTCATAAAGCGTTTGTAAATTAAAATTGATAGATTTGGAACTTTGGATTTTTCCTTTCTTCGTCCTCTTCTTATTCTCCTCTTCTTCTTCTTTCTTATTATTCTTCTACTGTATTCTTCTTCTTTTATATTTCTCTCTGTCCCCACGCTCGCCTGAACTTTTTTATCTCTGGGGTTGATTATCCATGGAAATTGAGGCACATGAGCTACCCTACACGAGCACTTACAAAAAACAATTTTCATGAGAGATAAGCCATTGTTGAGGATATTTCTATGAAAACTAAATGCCAAGGATGTCTCAAAACGTGCTCGGCTTGGTCTCCTCTTGATCATCTCTTACTTCGAGATTATGCTGAGGTCTGCTGGGCTACTTTTATTATCTCTCCCTGAACCCCGAACTTTATTATCCCCTAGTGTTTATTCTCACGGGCATGAGGTTACCCCCCCCTTGTGGTCGATAGCCGCCACGATGGCTTCAAGAGGCCCTTCAAGGCTTCCAGGAGGGGCCGCAAGAGAGCCCCAAGAGGGCCCCAAGAGGGCCAAAAGACGGCCCCAAAGGCGTCCCACGAGGGCCCCAAGAGGCGGTGGGCTGCCTTCTCTTTCAACTTTCCTCGCCTTCCCGCGAGCCCACCTTCCGTAAAATAATGTCTCACCTTTCAAAAGCCAACGCCGGGATGCTCGTAAACGAGAAATCTTCTGCCGCGAACGAGGGAGCTGACACGGCAGCGGACCTCGGCGCGAAGCTGGCCACCATCCCCGTCGATTGCAATGCACAACTAGCCAGGCTAGACGAGCCAACGGAGGTGCAAGCCAGAGCGGAAGTTGCCCTTGGAGTGAGGGCCCCAACTCTCGCTGAGCGCACGGCGGGCACTCGAGCTCGCCGCCAGGAGAGTAAGACAGCTGCCCTGGCCGACCAGCTCACCTCTGCCAGTACCCACCATCCATCGGGGGGCTCCCTCAAGTGTTCAGTGCGCGTCTTTTCTCCCACTCGGGCCTGGCCAAAGCTCGAGTGGCTCAGGTCCCCAGTGCGAAAAGGACACCTGTGGCAGATCAAATCCGATCGATGTTTCGCAGCACCTCCGCAACACTGGCGGGCTGTGGTGGCGCACTACCCGTGGGGGGTCAGGATCTCATACGCTCCTGACCCTAAGCGGGCCCTGTTCCAGGCCCACGCGTGCAGACAAGGCGGCACTCGAGGATGAGCTTCCCCCTAAGCGGGCCTCCTGTGCGCCTTGTGAGCGGTTCCCTGTTCCCCTGGGCCCCCTTCCCATATGGAGGACACCGCCCGCCCGTCTGCGGGGAACCAGCTCCCCAGCCGGGAGCGTCTCCTGCCCGCAGATGGCATCGCCCGTCTCCTGTTTCCTCTCGGCCAGCTTGAACAACTCTGCTACGGATTACGACGACGAGGAAGACGAGCAGCACAGGGAGCAGGAGGAGGGAAAGAATATGAGGCGAGGCGAAGCGCGGCTGACCCTCCCAAAGGACGGCACAACAGAGCCTGGCGGGGGAGCTGGAGCGTCGAATCGGAGGTTGGGGGGAGAGATCGCAGTCGAACGGAGCGCCCCCCACCGGGAAATCGGTTTCGTGCTCGCGTCGTGCGTGCGGAGGAGGCGAAGCTACGTGGGCGCGCGGAGGGAATGCTGCTGCCGTGGCCAGGGGGTGTGGAGTCGGTTGTCCGCCTCCTCCATCCCCCCCCCGGCGCGTGGTGGCCGGGGGGTCCCGTCGGTGGCGCGTCGGTGTCCCGTCGGTGGCGCGGTGTGCCCCGTCGGTGGCGCGGGGTGTCCCGACGGTGGCTCCCGGTGTTCCGCCGTGGTGTCTCGATGGTAGCTCGTGGGATCAGTTGTGATATCGAAAATGAGATCGATTGCGTGATCGGTCGTGATCATGAGATCGAGCGATCGATGGTGATATCGATCGTGTGTCCGACCATGACGGATCTTTGGCTGGGGGTGCCCCGCCGTGGCTGGGGGTGGCCCATCGTGGTTCCCCAATGATGTCTCGTGCGATGGCTTGTGAGGTCGATCGTGAGATCTCTTCTGATATCGATCGTGAGATCGACAGTGCGATCGACATCGAGAGCTATTGTAAAATCGATGGTGAGATCGATTGTGGAATTCGTGAGATCGATAACGCCATCTGATCGCCATCTCAGTCATCGCAGCTGTTGTCAGTCAGTGTTCCTGCCCCCCCAAACCTCCTTATCGCCCCATGGGTGGTCGTATAGGTACGATAATTTGACTGGACTTGCTAGAACCACGAGCTCACCGAGAAAAGACGAGCGCTGTCGAGGATCGGCGGTATCCGCCTCACTGCCGCGGACGGCCAACATCTTGAACCAGAATGGGCCAATCGGAGCGGACTCGGAGGAGCGGAGGGGGAAGGCGACGACGAGGAGGAGGCCCCGACACCCAAGATTCCCCCCCACCCCACCTACGACGACAGGAGACTGCCCCAAATCGCCACGGACCAGGCGGGGGAGAGGAACGCATTCGCAGTAGCAGGCGAAGGCGGGGGGGGGGGCTAGTGGGAGGAGGAGCGGGAACAGGACCTGAGGGAAGAGAGCCCGAGCAGGCAGGACCAGCGGGGGGGGCGAGGGGCGCGGGAGCGGGAAGAACGCGGGGGCCCCAAGCTCCCAGACTCGTGTGGAGCGCATGAACGCGGCCCCCCCGTAGGCGAGGGCAGCCTTGCATTACGAGCATCATTCGCGCGACCGGCGTACTTCTGGGACCCACGTGGCTTCATGTACACGTACGTCCTTCTTTCGCTCCGGAAGGGTGACTTCCCCCCCCCACTCGGGGGCGGCCAAGACGGGGGCGTCTAAGAGGGGGCGTCGCAAATCATGGCCGGCGGCACGTGCGCGCCCAGGGGGGGGGGGTGGCCAGGGACGCCATGGAATAAGAAGAGACGCCATGGATTCTGGGGAAGTCTCGTGCCCCACGCCATGATATCCACCCCCCCTGTTCATCACCCCCCTCTTTTCAGGGGGACGTAAGACCTTGGCACAGGGGACTCGGAAATCCCCGACGAGGTCGTCAAAAAATGACGAGGCCGAGCCTGCATTTTGACGAGGCCTCCCGCTGCAGACATCCCACGCAACTCCTCCTCGTCAAAATCCGAGGCGCGGTCGTCAAAAAACGATGGCGAACCCGAGTCCTGGCAAACCCGGGTCTTACACTCCCCCGATCTTTGCCGCCCCCGGCCCGCCGCGGCCCCACTGTCCCAACCCCCCGAGGGGTCGCACCGGTCGCACCGGTCGAGGCAGGCGCCCCCGGGGTCGGCGCACGGCAGGGCGCAGCAGCGCTGCTCCTGCGGCGTGGGCCAGGAGGGCGAGCTGCACACACCACACAGCTGCGCATACATACAGTCGGGGCGTTGACCTAAGGAACCCTAAATAAATAAGCAACGAGGCCCCTTTTTTCCATAAGTTGAACTTCGATTTCGTATCGAAAGCATGAGGAAAACCTGAGGCAAGCTGTGAAACACTTAAGGAACACCGAGCCCCTCCCCAACGAAAAGGGTTCCTTCTTCAGGGCCCCGACTGTACACACACTCGCTCTCACTATCACACTCTAGCACGCAGACGCAGACAGGCACACACAGACACACACGCACAGACACAGACACCGACACAGGCACAGACACACACCCACACACATAGATGTACATACGTATATCTAGATGTGTATATATACACACACGCTAGAAGCAGTTGTGCGCGCGCGCTCCGCGCGTTCTGTTTCTAGGTAGCTCCAGGCGTCGGAAGTCCAAACTTGATCATGTCTGATTCTTCACTTTCCTACTGATCGGCTCACTTTACTCAGCATGTCGTGGCTATCGTCTCCCAGTTTGCTTATCGTTGCCTTCTCCCTCCTTGCGTTGTTTTCTGAACCTTCGTCCACTTTCTGGTCTCCATGTCCCTCATTCGTCCCTCTCCCTCGTGTTTCGTTGTTCCTGCCTCACCCCTGCCTTTGGTCTCTCCGCCTCCCTCTCATTTCGTCCTCGTGTGGACGTGCGCAGAAACAGTGCGTGGCCGCTCCCTTCGGATCCTGATTCGATTTCCTTCGTCCCACCACCCCCTTCTCCTGGTGACGGTTTGGGACCCGAAACTTGTTCGCCAGGGCTAAATCGATGCCCGGGGACGCCGTTTTGAAGCCCTTCTGGGGCGTCTTGAGGGCCTTTGGGGGCCCCTCTGAGGCCTCTTAGGGCTGAAAGCTCGAGTTGTCAGTTCGCGTGCCCCCTCTGGGGCCATCTTGAGGCTCTTTTGGACAATCGTGAGGCCCTCTTGGGCCGTCTTTGGGTCCTTTTGGGCCATCTTGGGGCTCTCTTGGTGGCCCCTTGGGCCGTCTTGGGGGTGTCTTGGGGACATCTCGGTCCGTTTCAGTTCATCGGAACCCCGGAACTGCGAGAAAATTAAGCACTTAAAAAAACATAATCAATGATGTTGGCCTGTCGGGAGGGTTTTTGTGGAAGCGTTGGGCGGTCATTTGGCGCGTCTTGGAGCCATCTTGTGCGTCTTGGAGCGGTTTTCGGTGATCAAGATCCCTGTCGCATCCTTGTTGGGCCATCGTGGGGGTTTTGGGGGGCCTCCTGGCCCGTCTTCGAAGGCCAGACAATCCCTGCCACCGGCATGGAGGCCTGAAGGTTGCCCTTGGGGCACTCGACCATAAGCCAGGGGTGTGTACATACATGGACATATACATGCATACATACGTATGTATATAGGTGTATATGTATGTACGCATGTATGTACGTATGTCTGTATGTATGTAGGTATGTATGTATTCTGTAGATATGTAGAAAAGTATGCAAGCCGCTATATATACATATATATATATATATATTGTCACCTCCCTGTGATCATAACTCTCCCTGCTTCTCTGCTTCTTCATCGTTTTCCTTTCTTGTCTTTCTCTTCACCCTCTCCTCCTCCTCTTCCTCCTCCTCCTCTTCCTCCTCATCTTCCTCCTCCTCCTGCTCCTCCTCCTCCTCCTCCCCCTCCTCTCTTTGTAGCAATACAAAACCCATGCCAAACAGCGCTTGGCGCCGCGAGTGCAAGGAACCACATGTTCGTTCCCCGTCCCTTGTTTTGTCGGTTTGTGAAGCCACGAAGCAATGCTTCGGTATAGTTTTGCAGGCCCCGGTGCTCGCCGCGGCCTCCCTCGCAACACTTCTCTCTGAGCCGGCAAAACCAGAAACAACAAAGACATACACATCACTTGGCGCCTTCGGTGCAAGGAAGCACGATTTGTTGGTTTATGAAGCTACCAAACATTTTTTGGGGTGTTTTGCAAGTTCCACTGCTCGTCGCCGCCTCCCTCACAGCACGTCTCTCTGAGTCTGCGAAAATCAAACAAGAACCCAAAACCGAAATTAGCCTGACGAAGGCCCCAACCATAAGCAGTTATGGATACCGCATTCCACCGTTCGACGGGACTCCCTATGGGGCCACGGAACGTGTGAGGGGTGTGCCGAAATGGGCGGGGAACCGCATACGAACCCTGCCACTGAGGCCTTCGGCGGAGCTCCCTATGGGGCCACGAAACGTGTGATGGGTGTGCCGAAATGGGCGGGGAACTGCATGCGAACCCTGCCACTGGGACCTTCGGCAGAGCTCCCTGTGGGGCCACGAAACGTGTGAGGGGTGTGCCGAAATGGGCGTGGAACCACATGCGAACCCTGCCACTGGGGCCTTCGGTGGAGTTCCCTTGCGGGCCACGAAACGTGTGAGGGGTGTGCCGACATGGGCGGGGAACTGCATGCGAACCCTGCCACTGGGGACTTCGGTGGAGCTCTCTATGGGGCCACGAAACGCGTCAAGGGTGTGCCGAAATGGGCGGGGAATCGCATGTGTACCCTGCCACTGGGGATTTCGGTGGAGCTCCCTATGGTGCCACGAAACGTGAGAGGAGCGCGCCAAAATGCGCGGGGAACAGCATGCGAACCCTGAAACGTGTGAGGGGTGTGCCGAAATAGGCGTCGAACCACATGCGAACCCTGCCACTGGGGCCTTCGGTGGAGTTCCCTTGCGGGCCACGAAACTTGTGATGGGTGTGCCGAAATGGGCGGGGAACTGCATGCGAACCCTGCCACTGGGACCTTCGGCGTAGCTCCCTGTGGGGCCACGAAACGTGTGAGTGGTGTGTCGAAATAGGCGGGGAGCCACATACGAACCCTGCCACTGGGGCCTTCGGTGGAGTTCCCTTTCGGGCCACGAAACGTGTGAGGGGTGTGCCGAAATTGCGGGGAACCGCATGCGAAACCTGCCACTGGGACCTTCGGCGGAGCCCCCTGTGGGGCCACGAAACGTGTGAGGGGTGTGCCGAGATGGGCGGGGAACCGCATGCGAAACCTGCCACTGGGGCCTTCGGCTGAGCTTCCTGTGGGGCCACGAAACGTGTGAGGGGTGTGCCGAAATGGGCGGGGAACCGCATGCGAAACCTGCCACTGGGACCTTCGGCGGACCTCCCTGTGGAGCCACGAATCGTGTGATGGGTGTGCCGAAATAGGCGGGGAACCACATGCGAACCCTGCCACTGGGGCCTCGGTGGTGCTCCCTATGGGGCCACGAAACGTGTGAGGGGTGTGCCGAAATGGGCGGGGAACTGCATGCGAAACCTGCCACTGGGACCTTCGGCGGAGCTCCCTGTGGGGCCACGAATCGTGTGATGGGTGTGGCAAAATGGGCGGGGAACTGCATGCGAACCCTGCCACTGGGACCTTCGGCGGAGCTCCCTGTGGGGCCACGACACGTGTGAGGGGTGTGCCGAAATGGGCGGGCAACCACATGCGAACCCTGCCACTGGGGCCCCGGTGGTGCTCCCTATGGTGCCACGAATCGGATGAGTGGTGTGCCGAAATGGGCGGGGAACCACATGCGAACCCTGCCACTGGGGCCTTCGGTGGAGCCCCCTATGGGGCCACGAAACGTGTGAGGGGTGCGCCGAAATTGCGGGGAACCGCATGCGAACCCTGCCGCTGGGACCTTCGGCGGAGCTCCCTATGGGGCCACGAAACGTGTGAGGGGTGTGCCGAAATGGGCGGGGAACCACATGAGAACCCTGCCACTGGGGCCTTCGGTGGAGTTTCTTTTCGGGCCACGAAACGTGTGAGGGGTGTGCCGAAATGGGCGGGGAACCGCATGCGAAACCTGCCACTGGGACCTTCGGCGGACCTCCCTGTGGGGCAACGAACCGTTTGATGGGTGTGCCGAATTGGGCGGGGAACTGCATGCGATCCCTGCCACTGGGACCTTCGGCGGATCTCCCTGTGGGGCCACGAACCGTGTAAGAGGTGTGCCCAAATGGGCGGGGAACCACATGCGAACCCTGCCACTGGAGCCTCGGTGTTGCTCCCTGTGGGGCCACCAAAAATGTGAGGGATGTGCCGAAATGAGCGGGGAACTGCATGCAAACCCTGCCGCTGGGGCCTTCGGCGGAGCTCCCTATGGGGCCGCGAAGCGCGCGAGACGTGTGCGGAAATGAGCGGGAAACCACATGCGAACCCTGCCACTGGGGCCTTCGGTGGAGCTGCTTATGGGGCCACGAAACGTGTGAGGGGTGTGCCGAAATAAGCGTGGAACCACATGCGAACCCTGCCACTGGGGCCTTCGGTGGAGCTCCCTATGGTGCCACGAAACGTGTGAGGGGTGTGCCGAGGTAGGCGTGGAGCCACATGCGAACCCTGCCACTGGGGCCTTCCGTGGATTTCCCTTTCGGGCCACGAAACGAGTGAGGGGTGTGCCGAAATGGGCGGGGAACCGCATGCGGAACCTGCCGCGGGGACCTTCGACGGAGCTCCCTGTGGGGCCACGAAACGTGTGATGGGTGTGCCAAAATGGGCGGGGAACCACATGCGAACCCTGCCACTGGGGCCTCGGTGGTGCTCCCTATGGTGCCACGAAACGTGTGAGGGGTGTGCCGAAATGGGCGGGGAACTGCATGCGAACCCTGCCACTGGGGCCTTTGGTGGATCTCTCTATGGAAACGTGTGAGGGGTGTACCGAAATGGGCGTGGAACCACATGCGAACCCTGCCACTGGGGCCTTCGGTGGAGTTCCGTTTCGGGCCGCGAAACGTGTGAGGGGTGTGCCGACATGGGCGGGGAACCGCATGCGGAACCTACCGCCGGGACCTTCGGCGGAGCTCCCTATGGTGCCACGAAGCGTGTGATGGGTGTGCCGACATGGGCGGGGGACTGCATGCGAACCCTGCCACTGGGACCTTCGGCGGACCTCCCTGTGGGGCCACGAAGCGTGTGAGGGGTGTGCCGAAATGGGCGGGGAACCGCATGCGAACCCTGCCGCTGGGACCTTCGGCGGAGCCCCCTATGGGGCCACGAAACGTGTGAGGGGTGTGCCGAAATGGGCGGGGAACCGCATGCGAACCCTAACGCTGGGGGAGCATACACAATGATGGTCGCCAACGGCGGGACAACCCCCGCCCTGCCACGCGTGGACCACATCGCGGCGCCAACGGCCACCTTTTTCTACGATGCCCACTGCCGTGCGCAGCAATCAAAATCTGCCGGCCCCCTTGTGGAGCCACCGCCGCCGATATATCAAAATCTGGCTCCATATCGAATCGCGTCGCCGATGCATCGGCGACGCGGCGCGATCCTCCAACCCCATCCACAGTCGGGCTGCTAAAATAAGGGCGCGAAGTAGGGAAGGAAGCTCCTTTTTGGCCTCCACAAGCGCCTGCAAGGACGATGAGCGCCGCTAGGGAGACAGCTATGGAAGGACCTAATGTAGACAAGCGTGCTCCACTACTCGCAGAAGTACCTACTCGCAAATCGTTTGGATCCGCTGCGGGGAAACTAGGACCAATTACATCGAAGCAGACGTGTGTTTGTTTTCCGGACGTGTGCGAGTAGGCACCCTGCGAATCGTGGAGCGCGCTCGGTGGCAATAAGCACCGAGCTCCTTCCGAGCCCGACGCGGTCCTTGTTTCAACGTCTTGGCTGCACTCCGACCCCATCCGTTGAGCAAGGACCGACCGTCCCGGCATTCCTATAGGCCTACCACGAAGTGTTCTTAGAACCCCCAAAATGTTCGAATAACAAAAACAAGGTTCTTACAACGTAAACCCGATGCGTTAAACCAAGACAGTCCCAGCCAGAAATGTTCTAAGAACCTTTCGGGCAAACCACAAAAGGTTCTTAGAACATTCTTTGGTAGGCCTAGCCCGACACGGTCCTTGTTTCAACGTCTTGGCTGCACTCCGACCCCATCCGCGAGGCCCAGATCCTCGGCAGCCCATCCCCGCGACTGGCCTGACTGAGTGGCTGAGAGGGAGGAGGAGGAGGAGGAGGAGGAGGAGGAGGAGGAGGAGGAGGAGGAGGAGGAGGAGGAGAGGAGAGGAGGAGAGAGGAGGAGGAGGAGGAGGAGGAGGGAGGAGGAGGAGGAGGAGGAGGAGGAGGAGGGAGGAGGGGAGGAGGAGGAGAGGAGAGGAGGGAGGAGAGGGAGGAGGAGGAGGAGGAGGAGGAGGAGAAGCATGATGATGAGAAGGAGGACGAGGTGGAGGAGGAGGAGGAGGAGGATCCCGCAGGCCCGCCCCCCCTCCCCCCGGCGGAGCGGTCCACGTGACCCCTGACGGCGTCCAGCGCGTCCGCCGTGCTCGGCGCGCACGGCGGGTGCCGCACGTCGCGCGGCGAGACCTGCCGGGGGAGTGCCCCAGGGGCGAGGCGGGGTGCCATACTCCTCCTGCTCCTCGTAGCGCTCCTCCCCCTCCTGCTCCGCCTCCTGCTGGTCCTGCTCGTGCTCCTCCTCCTCCTCCTCCTCCTCCTCCTCCTCCTCCTCCTCCTCCTCCTCCTCCTCCTCCTCATCATCATCATCATCATCATCATCATCATCATCATCATCATCATCATCGTGAGCAGCAGCAGCAGCAGCAGCATCAGCATCAGCATCAGCATCATCATCAGCAACATCATCATCATCCTCATCATCAGAAGCAGCATCAGCATCAGCATCAGCATCATCATCATCATCGTCATCATCATAATCATCATCATATTCATCACCATCACCACCACCATTGCGATCACCATTACCATCACAATCACGATCGCCATAATCAGCATCAGTATCAGCATCAGCATCATCAGCATCAGCATCAGCATCATCATCACCGATAATGCCACCATCATCATCATCATCATCATCATCATCATCACTATCAGCATCACCATCACCACCATCATCAGCAACATCACCATCACCATCACCTTCACCGTCAGCATCACTATCCTTATCATCATCATCACCACCACCACCAACATCATCAACAGCAGCATCGCGGCCACCTCCAGCATCATCATCACCCTCACTGACATGTGCATCAGCAACAGCCTCATAACCATCATCAGCAGCAGCTTCATCACCACCACCACCACCACCACCATCACCATCACCAGCATCATCGTCATCATCAGCATCAGCATCATCATCACCACTACCACCACCATCATCATCATCATCATCATCAGCATCATCATCAACATTATTACAAGCATCCTCAATATCATGCCGCCTTCTCCCCCTGCTCCTCCTCACCCTCTTCCTCGAAGGATGACATTGGGAATCGGGGTAAGGGCAAACGAGGATGGACATAAGAAGAAAAATGTGGAGAGATAAACATGATGGACCCACGAACCCGGACAGGGATATAGACATGTGCAGCATGGTCACGTTTTCACGATATCCAACTGGGCGACACCTCACGAAACATCCCACGAGACACCCCGCGAAACATCCCAGGAGACACCTCACGAAACAACCCACGAGACACCTCACGAAACATTCCACGAGACACCCCGTGAAACATTCCACGAGACACCCCACGAACAGGCAACCACTCAACCAGACACCCCACGAAACATTCCACGGGGGTGCGACTGGGTGTGGTCGTGCTGGGGTGTGGTCGTGCTGGAGTATGGTCGTGTTGGGGTGTGGTCGTGCTGGGGTGTGGTCGTGCTGGGGGGTGTGCTCGTGCTGGGGTGTGGTCGTGCTGGGGCGTGCTGGGGGTGGTCGTGCTGGGGCGTGGTCGTGCTGGGGCGTGGTCGTGCTGGGGTGTGGTCGTGCTGTGGTGAGGTCGTGCTGGGGTGTGGTCGTGCTGGGGTGTGGTCTTGCTGGGGTGGGGTCGTGCTGGGGTGTGGTCGTGCTGGGGTGTGGTCGTGCTGGGGGGTGGTCGTGCTGTGGTGGGGTCGTGCTGGGGTGGGGTCGTGCTGGGGTGTGGTCGTGCTGGGGTGTGGTCGTGCTGGGGTGTGGTCGTGCTAGGGTGGGGTCGTGCTGGGGTGGGGTCGTGCTGGGGTGTGGTCGTGCTGGGGTGTGGTCGTGCTGGGGCGTGGTCGTGCCGTGCTGGGGTGGTGGTCGTGCTGGGGTGGGGTCGTGCTGGGGTGTGGTCGTGCTGGGGTGGTCCGCACCCTGTGATTTATCGATCGGGTCGTGCTGGGGTGTGGTCGTGCTGGGGTGTGGTCGTGCTGGGGTGTGGTCGTGCTGGGGTGTGGTCGTGCTGGGGCGTGGTCGTGCTGGGGCGTGGTCGTGCTGGGGTGTGGTCGTGCTGGGATGTGGTCGTGCTGAGGTGGCCCGCACCCTGTGATTTATCGATCGGGATTTCAAAAACAAGCGTTTCGCCTGAGACATCCTCAAATTTTAATCCGCCGGCCTCCTTCGACCTCGATATTTATCAGGGAAAGAATCCGCCGGCCTCCTTCAAGTTGGGCACGGGGGGATATGTTTACATACTAAAAGAGAACCCTGGGCCTTTGCCCTTTCCGGGAATAAAAAGCTAGGTGCGCTCGCGCCGCATCTGTTATCCTAATCCTCTCTCCCATCCCTTCCCATTGCGCTGATTTCCTGTAACCGCGGGCGCGTGTCATAGCCGAAGTGGAACCCAAACAAACAAACAACACCGCGTCATTCGCAATCGGAACATGGGAACTGCGTACACAGGACGAGGAGGAGCATGAGGATGAGGATGAGGATGTGGTGGTGGCGTGGTGGCGGGTGAGTAGGAGGATAAACAGGAGGAAAGGGAGGAAGACAAGGAGGACGATGTGGAAGGAGGAAGACGAGGACGAACTGTAGCAACAGGAACTGGAGTGGAAGGAGCGGAAAGAGCATGAGGGCCAGGGGAAGGTGGAGGGAAATGAGGGGGGCAACCACGATGAAAAAGGACTTGGATCCAGAAAAGTGGCCGCGCTGGGGCAAGAGCGCCACTCTGAACGACAGGAACAACGCGCCGATCCGAAAATGAGAACCACGCTGCAGAGGGCACACCATTTTGAAACGCCGAAAACACTCGGATGGCAAAACAAAAGACACATCAAAACAATACGCGGAGATAACCGGCTGTCTTCTGGACGTGGTCAGGGGAGAGAGTAGAGTAGCATTCATAATGTTTAGCTGTATATATATAGAGAGAGAGAGAGAGAGAGAGAGAGAGAGAGAGAGCGAGAGAGAGAGAGAGAGATAACAAACAAAAAGAAAGAGAGAGGAGAGAGACAAAGAAAAGGGAAATAGAGAGAGAGAAACAAAACATGATGGACCCACGAACCCGGAAAGGGATAAAGACATGTGCAGCATGGTCACGTTTTCACGATACCCAACTGGGCGACATCTCACGAAACATCCCACGAGACACCCCGCGAAACATCCCACGAGACACCTCACGAAACATTCCACGAGACACCTCACGAAACATTCCACGAGACACCCTTTGAAACATTCCACGAGACACCCCACGAACAGGCAACCACTCAACCAGACACGCCACGAAACATTCCACGGGGGTGCGACTGGGTGTGGTCGTGCTGGGGTGTGGTCGTGCTGGGGTGTGGTCGTGCTGGGGAGTGGTCGTGCTGGGGTGTGGTCGTGCTGGGGGTGGTCGTGCTGGGGGGTGGTCGTGCTGGGGGGGTGGTCGTGCTGGGGGGTGGTCGTGCTGGGGGGGTGGTCGTGCTGGGGCGTGGTCGTGCCACCCCGCGAAACATCCCACGAGACACCTCACGAAACATTCCACGAGACACCTCACGAAACATTCCACGAGACACCCTTTGAAACATTCCACGAGACACCCCACGAACAGGCAACCACTCAACCAGACACGCCACGAAACATTCCACGGGGGTGCGACTGGGTGTGGTCGTGCTGGGGTGTGGTCGTGCTGGGGTGTGGTCGTGCTGGGGTGTGGTCGTGCTGGGGTGTGGTCGTGCTGGGGGGTGGTCGTGCTGGGGGGTGTGGTCGTGCTGGGGGGTGGTCGTGCTGGGGGGGTGGTCGTGCTGGGGCGTGGTCGTGCCACCCCGCGAAACATCCCACGAGACACCTCACGAAACATTCCACGAGACACCTCACGAAACATTCCACGAGACACCCTTTGAAACATTCCACGAGACACCCCACGAACAGGCAACCACTCAACCAGACACGCCACGAAACATTCCACGGGGGTGCGACTGGGTGTGGTCGTGCTGGGGTGTGGTCGTGCTGGGGTGTGGTCGTGCTGGGGAGTGGTCGTGCTGGGGTGTGGTCGTGCTGGGGTGTGGTCGTGCTGGGGGGTGTCGTGCGGGGGTGGTCGTCGTGCTGGGGCGTGGTCGTGCTGGGGCGTGGTCGTGCTGGGGCGTGGTCGTGCTGTGGTGAGGTCGTGCTGGGGTGTGGTCGTGCTGGGGTGTGGTCTTGCTGGGGTAGGGTCGTGCTGGGGTCGGGTCGTGCTGGGGTGTGGTCGTGCTGGGGTATGGTCGTGCTGGGGTGGGGTCGTGCTGGGGTGGGGTCGTGCTGGGGTCTGGTCGTGCTGGGGTGTGGTCGTGCTGGGGTATGGTCGTGCTAGGGTGGGGTCGTGCATTTCGCTCGAGACATCCTGCCAAAATTCCAGGAAATCGTACAAAAACAAAGGAATTAGTCGAGACATCATCGAAATTCCTTCGCGCGGGGCGCTTTTCCGCGTCGCGGTCGGCTCTGCAAAACAAGCGTTTCGCTCGAGACATCCTCGGCAAACTCTGCGGAGCAAGCGTTTCGCTCGAGACATCCTCAACACACGAAAAAGTGGCCCGCACCCTGTGATTTATCGATCGGGATTTCAAAAACAAGCGTTTCGCTCGAGACATCCTCAAATTTTAATTCGCCGGCCTCCTTCGACCTCGTTATTTATCAGGGAAAAAATTCGCCGGCCTCCCTCAAGTTGGCACCGGGGGACAGGTTTACCAACTAAAAGAGAACCCTGGGCTCGAGCCCTTTCCGGGAAAAACATGATGGACCCACGAACCCGGAAAGGGATATAGACATGTGGAGCATGGACACGTTTTCATGATACCCAACTGGGCAACACCTCACGAAACATCCCACGAGACACCTCACGAAACAGCCCACGAGACACCTCACGAAACATTCCACGAGACACCTCACGAAACATTTCACGAGACACCCCGCGAAACATTCCACGAGACACCCCACGAAACATTCCACGACGACAGGCAACCACTCAACCAAGGCGGTGTGGTCGTGCTGGGGAGTGGTGGTCGTGCTGGGGGGGTGGTCGTGCTGGGGGGTGGTCGTGTGCTGGGGCGTGGTCGTGCTGGGGCGTGGTCGTGCTGGGGCGTGGTCGTGCTGGGGCGTGGTCGTGCTGGGGCGTGGTCGTGCTGGGGTGTGGTCGTGCTGTGGTAAGGTCGTGCTGGGGTGCGGTCGTGCTGGGGTGTGGTCTTGCTGGGGTGGGGTCGTGCTGGGGTGTGATCGTGCTGGGGTGGGGTCGTGCTGGGGTGTGGTCGTGCTGGGGTGTGGTCGTGCTAGGGTGGGGTCGTGCTGGGGTGGGGTCGTGCTGGGGAGTGGTCGTGCTGGGGTGTGGTCGTGCTGGGGTGGTCGTGCTGGGGTCATGCTGGGGCGTGGTCGTGCTGGGGTGGGGTCGTGCTGGGGTGGGGTCGTGCTGGGGTGGGTTCGTGCTGGGGTGCGTGCTGGGGTGTGGTCGTGCTGGGGTGTGGTCGTGCTGGGGAGTGGTCGTGCTGGGGTGTGGTCGTGCTGGGGGTGGTCGTGCTGGGGGGTGGTCGTGCTGGGGGGTGGTCGTGCTGGGGGTGGTCGTGCTGGGGCGTGGTCGTGCTGGGGCGTGGTCGTGCTGGGGCGTGGTCGTGCTGGGGTGTGGTCGTGCTGTGGTGAGGTCGTGCTGGGGTGTGGTCGTGCTGGGGTGTGGTCGTGCTGGGGTCGTGGTCGTGCTGGGGTGTGGTCGTGCTGGGGTATGGTCGTGCTGGGGTGGGTCGTGCTGGGGTGTGGTCGTGCTGGGGTATGGTCGTGCTAGGGTGGGGTCGTGCATTTCGCTCGAGACATCCTGCCAAAATTCCAGGAAATCGTACAAAAACAAAGGAATTAGTCGAGACATCATCGAAATTCCTTCGCGCGGGGCGCTTTTCCGCGTCGCGGTCGGCTCTGCAAAACAAGCGTTTCGCTCGAGACATCCTCAACTCTGCAAAACCAGCGTTTCGCTCGAGACATCCTCAAGAAATTCTGAAAAACAAGCGTTTCGCTCGAGACATCCTCAAATTTTAATTCGCCGGCCTCCTTCGACCTCGTTATTTATCAGGGAAAAAATTCGCCGGCCTCCCTCAAGTTGGCACCGGGGGACAGGTTTACCAACTAAAAGAGAACCCTGGGCTCATGCCCTTTCCGGGAACAGCATAAACACAGGAAGACGCACGACATCTTGGCCCAGACGCACGACGTCTTGGTTGCTCCAAAACGTGGACCCCCGAAAGGCTCGACGCATTCCCCCAGGCTGGCTTTCCACCCCGAGCCGTCTCCTGACCTTTCCCGGGGGGCTCGGCGAGGGCCCCCAGGGGCAGAACAGAGAAAAAGCCTTGGGGCCCGCCGCTGTTCTCCCACTTCGCTGTTCCACGACGCCAGTCCTCCTCCTCCTCCTCCTCCTCCTCCTCCTCCTCCGTGGGTCCGGGGACGGGGATTGGGCAGCAGGAAGGGGAAGCAGTCGCAAAGACGAGGACGCGCAGCGGGCAGGGATCGATGGAGCTGCCGACCGGCCGCCCGTCGAACTTCGCGCGCGGTTGCACGAGGCCGCCTTTGAGGCAGCGGTCCTGGGGAAACCAAGAGGTACCGATGCCGCTGCTCCCCGGACCTCTCCCGGGGCGCGTTCTGTCACGAGCGGCGCACATATCCGCATCCGCGACCTCGGGGTATGCACTGCAGGGCGCGATCCCGCGGGTACGCGGTCGCACCGACGCGTTCCGCGCGGGGCATCCGCGAAACAACTCCCCGTAACCGCGGGGTCGCGGCCCAGGGACCCAGCCCGCGACGCCGCATATGCTGTTCGCCCATGATTGTGACAAGGATTGCAAGGTGAATCCCGCGGTGGGCCTCACATGAGGAGGGGGAAAACAAAAACGGGGGACGAGTGGCGGTTTGGGCACCCTCTCCTCCTTTGCGGTCCTCGTCCGCCAGCCACAGAGCCACGGTGCGGCCAGTCACGCCCAGCATCGTCGCGATCGCGGTGAGCAACGCCTCGGCCACAGTCGGCAACGGCGTCGGCGCGTCGGCGTGGTCGTCGTAGCCGTCGTCGCCGTCGTCGTCGGCGGCGGCGGCGTCGTCGACGTCGAGCCGCTGGGCCACGCTGCTGCCAGTCACGCCAAAGCGGCGCCACCACCCTATCCTCGGGGGCCTGCCTCTGTCCGAGAGCCCTCTCTCAAGGAGGAGGACCACGAAGAGGAGGAGAAAGAGGAGGAGGAGGAGGAGGAGGAGGAGGAGGACGGAGGAGGAGGAGAAGGAAAAGGAGGGGGAGGAGGGGGAGCAGGAGGAGGAAAAGGAGGAGGAGGAGCAGCAGGAGCAAAAGGAGGATCAATCAATCAATCAACCATTGCGAGCCTCTGTCACTCAGCAGTCCTGGTGACCTCTGCAGGCTCTTGGATGCGAACTATCGCCTACCAGCGGCCGACGCTGGAAGGATGGCCCTCTCTGGCCGAAGCGGGACCGCTGTAAGGGGAACGCCCAGCGGCCCGCACGCGGCACCATCCTTCGTGAAAGGAACAAGCACGGGCGGACAGAGCAGGGGAAGGAGGGAGGACAAGTGAGCAAGGTCGCAACGCTTCTCACTTCTCTCTTGCAATATGGAAAACCCCGAGCCTGGGCGGCCCGCACTGCCGCGGCCCGCACTGCCGCGGCCCGCACTGCCGCGGCCCGCACTGCCGCGCAGGCGAATAGCCGGCGCAGGTTGTTCCAGAGCTCTGGGTCCTCTGCGGACTGGTAGAGGAATGCCCCGCCAGATTTTGATTCCCGTTGCTCTGTGTCTACAGGCGACCCCAATGCCAGAGTCACTCTGCTGGCGGCATGGGATTGGGGTGGAGATATCTACTAGCGGCACGATTGCTCTGATTCGGCACTGTCTCTACATTGACTTCTATTCTGCGCACCTGCTCACTACGCTGCTGGAACTCTTCAAATGACATGATGGCGGGAGGGTCTGCACTGCCTACCTGATGCAGCAAGACACTGCGGCTACCGTTAAAATACCTCAAGATGGGATGATGGACGCGATCCTGCAGGGCCTGTAATTGTGTGCCCGTGAGGCGGCCCTCCCTATACATCTCTGCCATACGCTCAGATCCGTTCACTGCTTCAAGGCGCAACGGCCTCAGAACCCCTCCCCGTCCTGGTCGCTGTCTACCTCGATGGGCTGCCTGTCGTTCTCGATCCCCATGCGCTTGAGCAGCTTCTCCGCTTCTCTCTCCAACGCCCCCTTGGGGGGTCCGCCCGCCTTGTACTCCCCGCCCTGCTTGAGAATCGCCATGCAGAAGGCCTGATGAAGCGGAATCGTGTTGGTCTGGTCGGAGGTGTTCCTCACGCCGTTGACCTGAGAGTTGGGGCTCATCATGAACTGGAGCTTGAACCTGGTCGGCTTGTCGTCCTTCTTGCGATCGTACCAGCAGCCCTTGATGCGCAGGAACCTGATCTGCTCCTGCAACTGGATCAGGCCCTCCTGCTTGCTGAGGCTCGTGATGACCCCCCAGTAGGTCTTGAACGCCTTGATCGTCGGCTCGTCCAGGTCCGCCATCTGGCAGAAGTGCTTCAGGAGAGCCAGGAAGACGTGCGGCCACGGAGGGCCGTTGCCGTGCTGCTTGCCCTTCTTCTTGCAGTCCTGGGCGTAGTCCTTGCCCGCCTGCTGCATGATGCCGATCAGCGGGGCGCACGCGGGGAGCAGAAAGCACGTGAAGCAGGCGCCTGTGAGGTCGGCGAGCTCCCTGGAGTTCGTGATGCTGAGCTTCGTGAGGATGGCGAGCAGCGCCTTGAAGTTGCCCATCTTGAGCCCGTCGCGCCTGACCTGCTCGGCCAGCCGCCCCTTCTTGTTCTCCTGGGCGTCTGAGGTGTCGTCCATCTCCTTGCGCTTGTTGGCCGTGCCGATGATCATCCAGTCTGGCGCCGACGCCATCTCCGAGCCTCCTGCTGCCTCTCGCTCGTTGGGCCTCGCCGCTGGTGCCGCGCCCTCCCCCGGCATCGTCGAGTGCAGGAAGGTGGAGGAAATGCGTGCGTATGTGGGCCCGCAGCGAGGCCCCAGCAAGAATTTGAGCCTTACACAATGGGCACTCATTCGTGTTGTCCTGGCCTGGATGTTTAAAGGTCGTGCTTCTGTGTGTGACGCATATACCCGTTTCGAAGGAGTCGATGAGGTGCTTATAGACCGAGTTACGGCTCTCGAAAACGCTCTCGCAGACAAAACATACATTAGAAGTAACTGCAAGACCAAGGATAGATCTGAACTCATGCCCCCTGCTGAGATGAACCAATAGCTGCCTGGAGGTATGGAAAGAACGAGTACAGCCTGGTACTGGACATGGTAACATATCTCCTGCTGCTTGTGGCGGGTCGGGTCGCGATTCCTGAGGATGAACATATCCAGGAGGGGGGATAGCTACACTTAACCACTTAGCTCGCAACTTCTTTGGGTCAAACTGGGTGAACCATTCGACTAAGCTCTCGTCCTGGAATATTCTCAATGGACTACTATCAACTTCTTGTACATGTTCATATTCATCATCTCCTAAGTCTGCCAGGGAGTTAATGTCTGATATTACTCTACGAGCCCAGGGGCAAGCATCATCTGTAAGACGCTCGTCTTGTCCGACAATCTGCAATCCTCTCTGCAACTCGATTTGCATGGTGCCAAACAAAGCTGCCCATTCTGCCAGGTGACGATCAGGTTGTTGGACCCAGCGCTGATACCACTTGATGCGCCGTGCGCGCAGTTCGATCTCAAGTGGTGCCATCTTCCAGTACCTACAAACCTCTTCGTTGCTGATCGAAACCTTATGCCCATTCTGCTCCTTAGTGGCCAGCCCTCGCATAGCACGTCTAGCATACATATTTACTCTGCTCTGCAATCGCTGTAGCTGAGCAGGCGTTGGGAGGAAAGCCTCGACGCCTGATAACGCAGACCCTAGGACACGACATAGAAAAACAGCACGTCGTTCAACATAAGGGACTCGTGCCTGGTACCAGAATCTCCCCATACTGTGATAACCAACATCAATGGCCCTAAGCCTATTCTCCAATTCAGAAGAGAAAGCTCCATCACTTCTAACGATACTACCCAGGTACTTAGCAGAATCTTTAGGTTGTCCAGCTAACCTAATATTGCCCGTCCGTATTTGTTTTCTGCAGTTCTGAGCTTGGTCCCCAAAAAGTGCAAGCACTGTTTCATTTTTTGTTGGGTTAAGTTGATAATTGTGTTCAGTAAGTCGTCGCGATAACAAGTCATCGTACTGCAAGGACTGCCTGCTAACCTCCTGCGCCAGGTCTGTCGTCTGGTCCGCAATAAGTAGCTTCTTAGCGGCATCATCTACATACGAATGAAAAGATAAATCCATAACCACCTCCTGGTCATCATCTGCTGGGAGCCTGACCGTGCACCACGTAGCTGTTTCGTCCTGGGAGTTATGATGATCCTGCTGTGCTCGTGCGAATACCCCTCCTATGTCTCGTGTAAAGACCTTAACTACCCAGGGATCTCCTTGTAACGCTCCCACCGTAGGCTTGGCGAAAAATACCCCATCCAGCCCCGAGAAACACACCGTAGATAACTGCAGCCTCTGGATCCCAAACCTAGCCTCCCCCTCCTTCATGATGCTCTGGTTAGCCTCCAGGATAGCCTCACGAGAACTGCTACCGAACGCGTTCGTGATGTCCTTATGCTCCGTGACATGCCGTATCCCTAGTCGCCGAAGCCTCCATCCGACTGACTGCTGGATCATGATGGCCGTCTCGCGGCGCCTCCTGGGAACACAACCATGAGCGAACTCGGGTTCCTGGGTGGACTGCACTGGGTCCAGGCTGGTGGCGATGAAGGCTTTGCCAAAGGGGCGCAAAACGTGGATGACCCTCTTCCAATTGGTGGCCACACCCATCGACAAGCTCCAGACTGCTGGTGGCTGGCTACTTCGATATATCTTATGTACGAATATCAGCAAAAATCGCCTTAGGGTACGCAGATCAAGGTCTGGGGCCTGGTATCCTACACCTCGGAACCTCCTCGACGTACGCCGGTATGGGTGGAACAGCATCCAGAACACTTCGATAGGAAGGGACCAGGGTGGCGACGTTCTTCGTTTAGCAGCCCTGCGCAGGTATTGCCCTATCAGCTTCAGTTTTTGTCGAGCCCATTCCAGGCCCTCCTGGGTCCAGGGGGAGATAAACTGCTGAGCCTCCAGTCCGTGATCAGGGTGATAAACGTAGTCATCGATCATCTGAGGCCAGTCAACTATCTCTGCCTGCATCCCTCCCTCCCCTGAAGTCAGCTGGAAACGGGCGTAGAGGTCCGCCGCCGTCGGCATCAGCTCGGTGGCCCGACGGTAGTTCCTCTTCCTAGGTCCCGTTCCTCGACCCGACAGCAGCCGACACAACCTCGCGACCTCTCCCTGCCGATTCTGAGACCGTGCTGCAAGCAAGTCCGAGGTGAGATCCCGACGCCAGAGAACAACGTACCTTCTGCGTAGCCTCCTCAGCTCTCTGCTCCTCCTCCTGAGCTCCTCCTTGATGTTCTGCTGCTGCTCCTCGTCCTGCTGCTGCCCCAACTGCTCCCTCATGTCCCTTCTCTGCTGCAGCAATTGTTTGACCTCCTGGGAACGTTCACGATAACCTGGAGAGTATTCTGGAGTAGCAGTAAAAAACCTGGATGCTTCCTGGTTAAGGATGTTGACAAAATAGCCCCATTCCGCATTCGTAGTCTGTTCGTCGCTCTGGAGGGTCTCGATGTCTTGTTCAGCAGCGAAGAGCCGTGACTCAACTGCCTGTAAAAATTCCGCTCGTTGGGCCCCAGTCCGAAGTGCATCCCCTATCGCTTCCTTGTTCCACTTGTGCATGGTGGGGACAAGGCCTAGCCTCTGGTGAGAAGGGATCTGGTTCGGGAGGCAAAGAACATCAGCTAACGAGTACGATATTCTGACATGTACTGGGATATGATCTCGTGGGTCGACAGTGTGAGCTAGTTGTAACCTTCGTGCCATTCTTCGTAGTGGGCCAGCGGCCGTAACATTAGGTAAACAACACTGCGGTAAGAACACAAAGTCAAGTTGTGAACTGTTGCGTGCGTTCCCATAAAAGGTTGGTCCAGCTCCTTTGTGGGTGTTGACAGCAGCGAGATCAAAGTCCTGTAACATAGCCAGCACAACGTCAGCTGAGTACTTTTGTTTTACAGGCGTAGCTGCCGTCCCGATGGCGGGGTGACGTACTGGGAGCCATTCATCACTGCCTGACTGACGTTGTAGTCCGAAGCCTGAGTTAACATCCGCACATAGTACTGGGACACATCTGTGAGTGCCCCATATTGGTAACTGCCTGGCCCACTGGATTAACAAGTCACATGTCTTGTAGTAGGCAGTGATCTGCTTGGAGTAATTGGGGACGGGCGGAAAGTATAAGCAGACGACCGCAACGTCATAACTTCGCGCTCTTGCGCGCAATGCAACTCCACGCCCAGCTAACGAGGGAGGAGCACACCAGGTATGAGTTACTGACCTGCGGGAGATCCTGGGACCTAACAGAATGCCACAACCTGCAGACTTGTTTGTTAGTGGTCCCCTCTGCCATCCTGCCTCCAGCATCCACCTGTCTCCCGCTCTCCTCCAACCCACCGCCTCCCCATGCCTCTTGCTGCCCGTGCCAGTCAACCCGATGAAATCCATGTTGGGGGCCTGGGCGGCGATATCGGTGAGCCGATCGGAGGTGGAGGCCGACTGGGGGTTATACTGCAAGAAAGAGAGGCTATTCATATCGTTGATGGCCGTCCAGCCGCTGAGGAACAGTAGGAAGCGGGAGGCCCTCAGAAAGGAACCAAGATGAGAAGAGGATGAACCATTCTAAGCGTCTTAGGTGTGGTAGGCTTCATTGTTCAATATGGAAGTGAGAGCAGCGCCTGTGCCGAGACGCTTAGCAAAAGGAGGAGGTGGAAGAGGAGGAGAAGGATGATGATGATGATGGTGGTGATGATGGTGGAGATGAAGATGATGATGCTGATGCTGATGGTGATGGTGATGGTGATTATGATGATGATTATGATGATGATGCTGATGTTGATGATGCTGATGATGATGATGCTGATGCTGTTGCTGTTGCTGATGCTGATGCTGATGCTGATGCTGCTGATGATGATGATGATGCTGATGATGATGCTGCTGCTGCTGCTGCTGCTGATAATGATGATGATGATGATGATGATGATGATGATGATGATGATGATGATGATGATGATGATGATGATGATGATGATGATGATGATGATGAGGGGGAGGAGACAGAGGAGGAGGAAGATGAGGATGAGGAGGATGAGACGGAGGTTGAGGAGGAGGAGGAGGAGGAGGAAGAGGAGGACGAGGAGGAGGAGGAGAAGGAGAGGGAAGAGGCCTCGTGGACAATTCATCGGTGTTCAAAATCCACGGGCCGTGAAATATTTAGCTGCCCCCCTCCCCGTCTCCCCCTCCATTGGGGCCCAACGTGCCGTTTGAGGTGTGGTGGTGGTGGTGGTGGGGGTGGGGGGGGGGGTGGGGGGGGGGGGCCGAAGGGGGACGAGTTCCTAAACGCATCGCCAGGGCCTGCGGAGCCTCTCCAGAGCCCCACGGTTGCGGGCGAGGTCCAACATAAAGCGCCAGAACAGTTCCGAAACCGGCCAAGAAAACGTGAAGATCGCCCGAGGTAGCCCGACGACGACCCCATGTGGCCTCGAAACGGCCCACGAGGCGCACACGACGGCTCCCAGAAGACCGCCGATGAGGGCCCCAATCAGCGAAAACCGTCCCATTCCCATGGGAAGTTGTACATTGTTAGCATACTCGCCTTCTTCGTCCTGACACCTCAAGAACCCCAAGATCGACCCAAGACGGCCAATGAGGTCCCCAAGAGAGCCCGATGACAAAGACGGCCGCAGGTGCCCCCCAGACGGCCCAAGACAGCCTCAAAAGGGCCCTCAGAGGGGCCCAAGGGGGGGATACGAACTGGTTCGAGCCTTTCTCCCCGATGTAGTCCCAAGAACCCCCCGAACACCTTCAAAAGGCGCCCATCGCCCTCGCTCGGAGGCGTGGCCTCACAGGGGGGGGCAGGGGGGGGGGACGGAGAGGAGGGGGAGGAAGCTACGCGGGGAGGAGGTCGGGGTCGTCAAAGCCACCAGGCGCTCTGTTCGTGATTTCACAGTGCTGCATTTTTCGTGGCGTCGGAGCTCAGGGAAGGACGGGGTTCCAGAGGAAAATGCGTCTTGCATCGCCACGTTCGGCCTGCTCAGATTGGAGAGCTTGTCCTGTGTGGCAAAGCCTCCGGGTCTAGGACCCGATTCCCTCAGGACCCCTTTTCCGTCATTCCAAAATATCTTACTTCCCTCCCCACGCACCTCGCCTCTCTGGTCTGGTCCACGGCGCAAGCCGCGGCCTCCGTGATACCGTGCAGCGCCAGGACCCTTTCCGCGTCCACGCCGCCGCCCTTTTTTAATTTTCACGCCGCCGCCCTTTCTCGGGCCCAGGCCAAGAGAAAAGGCGCCACTCGTCCCTGACTTCGAGGGTGAAGGCACCAACCTACGCCATCGTGAACCCACGAAGATCCCGATGGCCCGGATAACGTCCCGCGCGGAAGCCCTCCAGGTAGCACGAGCGGCCCACTGAGGCCTGGGGCCGACAGGCCCTGCGAAAGCCGCGGCGTTTGGTCCTGGCGTGGGCAGTGGCACCGCGCTTGTCACAACGCAACAGCGAGTCTTGAAACGCGACCGCATCAGACTCCAAGGCGCCCCGTTGCTCGAGAGGGCGAGAGGCGCAACCGCTGCCGCACGCGCGCCGGACGCACGGGCGTCCGAGGAGTCGGGGCGAGAGCTGGCAGGGCGAGCCGCTGGGCCAGGCATGGGGCTCATCCTGCGTGACCTCGCCCTGCCCCGAACTCCTTGAAGGAGTTCGGGGTAGGGCGAGGTCACGAACCCCAGGACCTCCACGTACCCCGTTTCGGGAATCCCGAAACGGGCATGGGTGGGCCGGGGAAGGCGCCCGCCAGCACAGATCCAAGCCGCTCCAAGCCCACATGGTCGCCGAACGTGCGGTCCCGACATGAAACCTGCTGATAGGGAGCCCACAAAGGACGTACGCGCCCAGCTATGTACATGAACACGGCCCCTCGATCTGCGAGACCGGCCGCGTTGCACGAACATTTGCGCAATGCGTACTCTCGAAACCAGCGTGGATTCATGTACATGTACGTCCTTCTTTCGCTCCCGAGCTGAACAGCAAAAAGAGCTCACCACGACGGGCCGCTACCCCCCCCAGCATTCCTGGATCGCCGCGCGGTCCTTGCCCGAGAGGCGAAGAGGTGAAGCTCCTTGTTTGGCCAGACAGTCCGCCTCCGAATCCCCGAGCCGCTGAAGCTCGGTGATCTTGCCGTCGCTGACGACCACCAGGGAGGCGTGCGCAGGGACCGTGTGTCACCTCCTGATTACCGATATGGCAGGGTCCGCAGACAACTCGCTTGACAAAGATCCTTGGGCTTCTTGCCGCAATTCTCAATTGAAGCGTGCCGACCTGCGTCGACCTCTGTGCGAATCCAGCTCTGACACCACAGCCTGCCCTGAATCATGGCTCTCGCGTTGATGCTAGTCTCGCGCCGTGTGCAACGCGGACGGACTAGACGCTATTCTTGGCGAGTCGCTACTTTGGTGCGCGCGCGCGTCATCCCTTCCCGCGCGCGTGCCAGCGGCGCACGCCAGGCTCGTCTCGCGCCGCTGGCACGCGCGTGGGGGGGAGGACGCGCGCGCGCCTCAGTCCCGCCGCGCGCCACGCCCGCGCGCGAAGGCGTGAGTGCGCGCGGGGAGTCCCAGCTCGGGCGCGAGCCTCCTGGGCGCACGGAACGCGCGACGACAACTCGCCCGACAAGATTGCGTGACATAAGTTATTTGCTCCGAGTGCAATGCGAACGGCGTTTCCGCAATTTTTGTTGCGCGTCTTCCACAAGTATCGGGTCGGGCGAAAGGGAGGGATAGCAAAGGGGGGGGTTGAGAATCAGCTCACGTAGCTGATTTTCCCTGCGCCTCCCGGCGCCGGGAGGCGCCCCTGTATCGAGGAATGGGCCCCTCGGTGAGGCCGAAACCAGCTGCATGCAGCAAATTTCGTACCCCCCCCTTTCCCCAACCCCCCCTTTCGCCCGGCCCGAAAGTACTACAGTCGGGGCGTTGACCTAAGGAACCCGAAATAAGGAACGAGGCCCCTTTTTTCCATAAGTTAAACTTCGATTTCCAATCGAAAACATAAGGAACACCTTAGGCAAGGTGTGGAGCAATTCAGGAACACCGAGCCCCTCCCCAACGCAAAGGGTTCCTTCTTCAGGGCCCCGACTGTATGTTGTCGCCACGTCGGATTGTGCCGCGGCTCTGCGCCGCTGGCGGATTCCGTCGTCTGCTTGTTTCCGTCGTTGGCGGTTGTTTGGTTGTCGTGTGAACTTGTCGTCGGCCTCGTTTTTTATTGCCGCCGGATTTTCCTTTTTTCCGTGGGCATTTTGTTGTAATCAGTCCTCTTTGTTTGTCGTCGGTTTTTTGGGTGTCCTTGGTCTGATTCAAAGTTTTACCCAGGCTCTTCAGCATGTTCGAGGTCCCTCAAGGCCAGATCCATCTTTCATACCTTTCACACTTCGCGCACCCCCATCATCCCGACTGGAAGCGATCCCCCGGCGTTGCTCATGGAAGTTCGATTCTTGGTCCTCGCCCACCCCTTTGAGAGACCGCGCGCAACCGCGGGAGGGGGCCTCAGCGCCGACAGCGTTTGAGACGCGTTATGTGTAATCCAAAAACTGTTGTCGTTCGTCGTTTTGTGATGCCATGGGGACGGAGTGAGGGACTTGTACATCTCTGCGCCCTCGAAGCGGTCCCGGAGCTCATCCCACATGTGGGCCCTCGCCGGTCTGCTGCTCGCGGCGCCCGTGGTGTTTCGCAGGCAGCCCGCAGTGTCAGCGCAGTCGATGTAGGTGGGCGCCCAGGAGGCCCAGGACCGCGCGCCTCGAGAACACCACGACGGCAAGATACTCCCCGTCGCGAGCCTGCTGCTCAGGACCTTCCGTGCAGGGAGCCACTCCAGAAGGGGCAGCCAGGGTCTGGACGGCCACTGACCAGCCCGCCGCCCGAAGTCCAAGAACGTCTCCGTCGTAGCCCGACCCGTCCGTGAATGCATGGGCCCCTTCGGGAACAAAAGGGGGCCCAACCTGGGGCCACGGAGAGTGCCTGGCGCACGGGTCCGAGGGGCCCCTGGGCGGGCTACGCATCCGAGACGAAGGGTTCGGGAGCATGTATCTGGACAAACTTCGGGAGCATGCATCTGGACAAACCAATCGCCAGCCGAGGTCGAGAGACGGCCAATCCTCCGAGCCGCCAGGACCCTGAGCTGGCCGCCATCACCTGGCCGCCTGGACCCTGAGCTTGTGGAGGGTGGTAGGGAGGATCCGAAGGATGTGGGAGCCCCACGTGGCCTTGGACAGGCCAGAGCCCCAATGCGAACGACACTGCTGGGCTTGTCACTCTGCCCGGGCATTCGCAAGACCGCGTTCGTCTGCGCCGACGCAGACACTCGGGCGGCCTGCGCGCCACCTCTCCGAGACCCACCGTCGTTCGAGTCGCCGCCGAGGCCCCTGTGCGAGTGACCAGCTCGTCGGCCCCCCACGTCCACCGAACATCCCGTACCAACCGAACCAGCAGGCTGCGATCTGGCGGGGCGGAGGAGGACAAGCTAGGTGCGCGTACGCCAAATCCGGCATCCCATTCCTCCCTCCCGTCGCTTCCCATTGCGCTGACATGTTCTCTACCCGCGGACACGTGTCAGAGCCGACCCGAAACTCCACAAAAGATCCCATCGTGTTTTGCGCAATTGGAAATGTGAAGCCTGTGGGACCTGTGCGACCTGGGGAACATCTGTGGCCTGTGAGACCTGCGACAGCTGTGGGACCTACGGAACCTGTGGGACCTGTGGGACCTGCCCTGTGGGAAATGTAGAACCTGTGAGACCTGCGAGACCCGTGGGACCTGGTAAACCTTTTTGTTGGACCTGTAAGACATGCGACACCTCTGGAACCTGTGAGACCTGCGGAATCTGTCCGACCTGCGAGGCCTGTGGGGCATGCGGGACCCGCGAGACCTGTGGGACCTGTCAGACCGGTGGTACCTGTGGGACCTGCGGGACGTCCCGCGACACTTGTGGGTCCTGTGGGACCTGAGGGACCTGTGGGGCCTACAAGACCTGTAGGATCCAGGAAAGTGGCGTACGCTGGGGCGAGATCGCCACTCTGAACGACGGGAGCACAGCGCCGATCCGAAAATGAGGCTCACGCTGCAGCAAAAGCGCCACTGTTGGAACAAAGCCGTAAAACATCGATGTGCAAAGCAAAGATGTGAGAAGCCATTTCGCGCAACTCCTGTAAGAAAACCAGACGCGGCGCGGAGGGGGGCGAACACTCTCAGCGCAAATTCGGGGGAGCGAGGAGAGTAGTATTCATATTGTACTCTTGTATAAACTGTTGTGGAGGGAACAATGGGAGTCCTCCTCTTCCTCCGTCCCCTCCTCCTCCTCCTCCTCCTCCTCCTCCTCCTTCTCTTCCTCTTCCTTCTCCTTTTCCTTCCCCTCTCACACCTACTTCTCCATCGTCCTCCTCCTCCGCCTCCTCCTCCTACTTCTCCTCCTCCCATTCTCCTGCTGCTGCTATCTCTCCCTCCCCCCTTCCTCTCCCGATCAGCCTCCTCCTCCTCCTCCTCCTCCTCCTCCTCCTCCTCCTCCTCATTGCGCGCGCGGGGGGCGATTCCCGAAGCACCTATGCAACTATGGCGGGATCCGAAAACCCTGAACCATGTTGACATCCCCTGGGGGGCGCACTTTTTACTTCCGCTGGCTCCCACCAGCTCCCGCCAGCGGAGGCGGCCTCATTGTACTTCCGCCGCCCCCCGCCGAGGAAGAGATGCCCCTCGCCCAGACCTCGAGGGCGAGGCCCTCCCTGGAACGCCGCATGTGGGGCGGGCCACCCGAGCAGACGTGCTCCATGGCTGAACTCTCGACCGGCGTCCACGGAGCCAAGAGTGGGACGGCACGGCTGCGTGCTGCCTGCCAGAAACTGCACCCCCCGCACGCGCCCATCGCGCGGATCGTTGATGGCGCACCGGCATAACACCCGGATGGATGACGACAAAACACGCGGTCCCGCGATTATCGTTTCTATCCCGTCCTCCAAAGCATCCTCCTGCCAGTTTATCCTCCCTCCGCCCCGCCCGGATCTTCCTAGGCACGCGCTGACATGAATTACAGTCGGGCCGCTGAAGTAAGGAACGGCATAAGAGGAACGAAACCACTCTGTGGCCCCATGGAGCCTCGAGCCCCTTTCGTGTACTCGAACTGCTCTTGATGTCAGCGTCCTGACTGTACGGATACGCGGGGTTGGCGCGTGGGGGCCGAGTAAAGGGAGGAAACTACCCTCACGAGGCATACAGCCAATGCCGCCTCGTGTGGCGACGGGGCGCGCCCATGACGCATGGAAGCGGGACCCCTCGACGATCCTCGCGCGTTGATCCATGTTCGGAGGAGGGGAACAGCTACGGTAGGTTCGTGCGGCATTGGCGCGCCAGCGACGCCGGCGAATAGGTTGAATTCCGCGATGCGGAAGCACTGATGGACACGGTGACGCAACTGGACCTGGCGGGAGTTACCCTTGAACGATCGGGGCCGCGATCGATTCAAAGTTGAACGATCGACGCGGTGTGAAAAACCTTGGCGCGCGCCGACGCCGCACGAGTCTGCCGTACATGTTCATAGAATTTCCGAACACCGCGAGGATTTCTTGAATCTGCGCTGGGCCCCCTGGCAAGCGGAGCGCGCCAGGGGCGGCGCCAGAGGCGCCGCCAGGGGGGGCCCAGCGCCGATGCCAGAATGTTTATGCTTATGATGTTGTTTCTTCTTCGATGTCCTCGATCCTCCTCCTCCCCCTCCCCCCCCCTCCCTCGCCCCCTTCCCCTGTGAGCCTGGAAGCTGCGCTGGGTCAGGCCCTGCGTGCAGCGCTCGCCCGCCTCCCTCTGGGAGCCCCGCAGCTGCTGGAAGTGCTGCTCCAAGGCGGCCTGCGTCCTCCTCCTGTCCGTGTCAGTGTCATCCTTCTCCTCCTCCTCCTCCTCCTCCTCCTCCTCCACCCCCCCGAGGGTGGGGGCCTGGCACCTGTTCTCATGGTGTCAGCGCCACACACTCCTCGGGGCACGCTGTCAGTGTCAATTGCCTGCGGCGGCTGGGGGCAGATAAACCGGCTTTCGTCGTTCCGGCGCCAGCCACGTGGCGCTTTGCCCGTGGCGCCGGCGCGTTAGCTGCGCCCGTGACCTTGAGATGGGTACCAGGCACGGGGAGTGTGCATTTGGTTGAGAGGCGGGCCCACGTGGTCCGTAAATCCATTGGGACCTTGTGTCCGCTCACCCTGGGGTGCAAACCCAGTTGCACATGCCATCCGATTCGGCAGGGGTGACGGTCGGGAAGTACTGCGCGGTGAAGCGGTGAACCGGCTGTCCCCCTACGCACCACGCCGTCTCGGTTGGGCAGCGAATCGCTGAGCGACGAGGTATCTGCCTTTCCCCTGACCGTCGGTGCTGGCGCCTGCAGGCCCCTTCCTCCTGTCTGGGAAGCCGAAGGTGACGGTTGAGCCTCGCTCGCCGTCCACTTCTTGGATCTATGCCACTCCTGACGCTCCTCCTCCTGCTCCTCCTCCTCCTCCTCGTCCGGCTCCTCCTCCTCCTCCTCCTCCTCCTCTTCTCCTCCTCCTCCACCTCCTTCAACCCTCTCCTCGTCCGCCTTGTCCTCTTTGTCCTCGCCCTCGTCGTCGTCGTGCTGCTCTCTCCACCCTCGTCGTCGTCTTCCTCCTCCTCCTCTCTCCGCCCTCGGCGTCGTCGTGCGTTTCCTCCTCCTCCTGCTTCTCCTCCTCCTCCTCCGCCCTTCTCCTCGTCACCCTCCTCCTCCTCCTCCTCCTCCTCCTCCTCCTCCTCCTCCTCTTCCTCGTCGCTATCATCGTCGTCCTCGTCCCACTGCAAACACACATTCGGTGCAGGCCTGAGCGGCTGTATTGTTCTCACTCAGACAATACAGCAACATATCATAACAACAGCTACAGAAGCTGTGGTGGAAGCTTTCCAAGGATGCAAGAGGTACTGCCTTCATGGGAATGACCAGGGACTCGTGCGAATTCGTACGCGGAGCCCACGCGGCCAACCCTCACGAACCTTTCGGAATGCAACCGGTTCCGTAGGAATTCCGAGTGTCACGTAGGGGTGGTCGAGTATCCAAAAAAGAATCATTCGGACTGCAAGATTCCTCAGGAACTCCTCGTAATCCAACAGATTTCCTAAATTGTCCGAAAACTGACCCAAGCATGCTCAAGAGCTCATGCGAATCCGCACGTCCAGCCTGTCCCCTCTCAGGGCTCTGTCCGAATACCACGGGGTCCTCAGGAGTTTCCCAAGTTCTAGGTGTATTCGAATGAACCTGACATTGGCAGGAATCCAGAGGATCCTCAGGAATCCTCAGGAACTCGAGTACTAATAATAAGACCATACTGCAATTATTTATTCTACAAATACTGATGCCGATACTAACAGATATACTGAAACAAGAATAATAATCGTAATACTAATATTCATAATGACAATGCGAATGACGATCACGATAATCCTCCTCCTTCTCCTTCTCCTCATACGGGAAAGAAGCACCAGCGGCGGCAGCAGGCGAGGATGATGATGAGGATGAGCCCACAGAACCAGGAGGACAAGGACGATGGACGAGGGCGAGTATGATGGGTAGGAGGGAAATGATGAAAGGAGAAGTGGGAGAAAGAAGTGCAAGCCCCAACCCCGCGTCAGAGAAGCTTTGGATTGGCTCAAGCAGGGGATACGGGCTCGAAGAACCAACAGATCAAATGTGTTGTTTGTCATGGGCCACGACACTATTGTAACTATGTGTGGTATGTTTCGGGCTGTCGGGCCTTTTGGATCTATCCACCTGAGCGCGCTACAGAACACTGAAAAGCGTGCACAACCCGTTGTTTCATTGTTTGCTTGCCCTCAGACAATAATCAAATGTTTTAAAGCCTGGTTCCCCTCTGGCTTGACAAGAGGCGCCACGAGGAGGAGGAGTGAGAAAATATCCTCACGAATTCCCAAATAGCCTTCCTGCGTAACCAAACGAACCTAAACCATCCAACATGACCGTGAGGATTTGCAGGAATCCGAAACGGAGGTACCCCAGGAATCCTTAGGATTCTAAGGAATCCTGAGCGATCCTGAAAGACTCCTGATTATCCTCCCCTCCTCCTCCTCCTCCTCCTCCTCCTCCTCCTCCTCCTCCTCCTCCTCTTCTTGAAGGGATAGGAGCGCCGGCGGCAGCAGCAGGCGAGGATGAGGAGGAGGAGGAGGACGAGCCCGCAGAAACATGGGGGAGAGGACGATGTACGAGTACGGGTAAGAGGGAGAGGAAAGGGGGTTATGAGAAGGAGAAGGGGGAAGGAAGGAGCGAAGGCCCGACGCCGCTCTACAGAGCCTTCGGATGAGCTCGGGCGGGCGCCGCGGGCTCCAAGACCCTCCAGGCTTTGACCAGGAGGTGCACTTCGCAGCTGGAAGCTGGAACGTCAGCCAAACAAACATGCGCGCCAGGGCATAAACATGATGGACCCACGAACCCGGAAAGGGATAAAGACATGTGCAGCATGGTCACGTTTTCACGATACCCAACTGGGCGACATCTCACGAAACATCCCACGAGACACCCCGCGAAACATCCCACGAGACACCTCACGAAACATTCCACGAGACACCTCACGAAACATTCCACGAGACACCCTTTGAAACATTCCACGAGACACCCCACGAACAGGCAACCACTCAACCAGACACGCCACGAAACATTCCACGGGGGTGCGACTGGGTGTGGTCGTGCTGGGGTGTGGTGTCTGGGGTGTGGTCGTGCTGGGTGTGGTCGTGCTGGGGTGTCGTGCTGGGGGTGGTGCTGGGGTGTCTGCTGGGGGGGTGGTCGTGCTGGGGGTTGTCGTGCTGGGGGGTGTCGTGCTGGGGCGTGGTCGTGCAACCCCGCGAAACATCCCACGATACACCTCACGAAACATTCCACGAGACACCTCACGAAACATTCCACGAGACACCCCGTGAAACATTCCACGAGACACCCCACGAACAGGCAACCACTCAACCAGCCACGCCACGAAACATTCCACGGGGGTGCGACTGGGTGTGGTCGTGCTGGGGTGTGGTCGTGCTGGGGTGTGGTCGTGCTGGGGTGTGGTCGTGCTGGGGTGTGGTCGTGCTGGGGGGTGGTCGTGCTGGGGGGTGGTCGTGCTGGGGGGGTGGTCGTGCTGGGGGTGGTCGTGCTGGGGCGTGGTCGTGCTGGGGCGTGGTCGTGCCACCCCGCGAAACATCCCACGAGACACCTCACGAAACATTCCACGAGACACCTCACGAAACATTCCACGAGACACCCTTTGAAACATTCCACGAGACACCCCACGAACAGGCAACCACTCAACCAGACACGCCACGAAACATTCCACGGGGGTGCGACTGGGTGTGGTCGTGCTTGGGTGTGGTCGTGCTGGGGTGTGGTCGTGCTGGGGTGTGGTCGTGCTGGGGAGTGGTCGTGCTGGGGTGTGGTCGTGCGGGGGGGTGGTCGTGCTGGGGG